TTTAACTATAACTGATTTTCTCTCTTTTTTCTTCTTTAATATTCTAACTTTAGTTGATTCTCTGACTATAAGCAGCTTTAAAACTCTTAACATTCTCAGTGAAAATACAAATTAAGATCAGTGAAATGATTTTCTGATTTATATAGAAATTAATAATAATATAAATAAGTAAATATATAACTTCTGATCACTTTTAAATTCTCTCTTTTAAATAATGTATGACAGTTAATAATATCTCTCAGAAAACTTCAAAATATTCAATTCTAAGTTATAAAATTTCTGAAATAAATGCTGATATGAAAATGATAAGAAATAATAACAGTAAAAGAGAGATGATTTGAAAAATTCAGAAGAAATTACAGAGAGATATGACAGATTTTCAATAGAAAATGATATCAGTAAATGAGATGTTTTTTAGAAATAGTAATTATATAGATAGAAATTGATGATATTATCAATATAATAATGATTTTTTTCTGTTCATAACTTGTTTACAATGATTTCACAGCTTATTCATCATTATATTAAGATTTATGATTCAGCAATGATGTCATTACTTATGGCAATAAATTGGCTGATTCAGCTGTAAAAAAAGATTCAGAATTAAGCAGATCTATTCAAAAAATTATGTTCTGATCTTTTATAAAGAGAAAAATAAAAGAATCTTGTTTAGACAAGTGAAATGAAAGCTGGTAGAAACAAAAGAAGAGTATACATTATTCAAGATTTGAAACAAAACCTAAGTGAAAATCTTGTTTAATTAAATGTAAAAAGAAAATATTCTCATCTATAATATAGCTGAAATTAGAACATGACTATTTTAAATCTTATATACAAAGATTTGATGATAGATTCAATTCAATAGAATGCTCATTCTGCAATGCAAATGAGAATTCTGAGCATATTGTAATGCACTGTGCATTATACAACAGTCTCAGAGTCAGATTGAAAGAGAAGTATGATTTAAATCAATTAAATATGAGATTCTTATTCTCAACTGAGACTAGACTGACCGCCAGAATCATGAATTTCCTGTTTGATCTCATTTGATCTGATCTCATACATTTCTTAGCATGAATCCCGCTGGGACTGACTATCAAAAAAACATGTAAAGTGACTATATATCAGATCTTAAAATGAAATCATGACTTGAAAAAAATGAGAAAGTGATTTCATTTGATTTCATTTAGCCTCATTCTTGGCATAAAGTTACTATTTTTAGACATTTTAAGGTTTTTTTTAGACTATTTTTAATTTTTTAAAAAGTAATGCTTTTTGATAACACTCAAATGAGATTTAAAGTCATTTAAAGCAATAAAAATAATTTAAATTGAGAAGTGGAAATCATGATCTCATTTGGAAAATGTGACAAGAGTAGACAGTAAGTCTCACTGAGACAGTATGAGACTACTATCTAATGTTAAAACTGTGTAATGGGATCAGTCGAATTGGTAATGAAACTATCAAAAAATCTGGTCCTGGTCCCAGACACGGTCACACGGTCAGTCTAACTGAGACAGGAATTAAATACTTAATAGACTTTCTATCAGAAACTCAAGCAGCTACAAGAAAATGACTGAATTCAGAAATATCTGAATATGAAGAGGAGAAAATTGATCAGATATAGTCTATTAAAACAGCTATATACTATCTTTTAATAATTTATTTCATTACAGTCTCTCTTTATTTTACTTTACTTTTTTCTTTCTATTCTTTTCTATCTATCTATTTAGTGTGTCTATCTTTAAGACTGTGTTCTCTTTTCTTTTGTCATGTCAAATGGTTTCAAAGTATCAGAAGATGTTAAAATACTGCAATTTGTAAACAGTTTTTGTATTCTGGGCTGGAATTTTCTGATTTTGCATATCTGAAATTGGTGAATGTATAATAGTTAACTTTATAGATATAGGAAAAACCCTGAGAACTTTTAGTTCTCAGGTAGATGTCATAGTCTCTGACTGCATACATCTATAATTGAAGAATAATAATAATAATAATAACGGTGTCACTACGTTTTTCCGGTATGGAAGCTCCCTATAAAAAGCCATGTAGCAACTAGCTTCTCATAATAATAATTAACTACTATAAGAAAGTTCGTAAAGAATGTACAGAGCTATATATTAAGTCAAAAGGATTGAAACTTCCCGCCCACACACAGGACATAGAGATTGTCTCCACGCTTCCCGTTGGCGGAGGATATAGATACAACCCAACCCACATGCCCGAGTCCCTTTGTTAAACAGAAATGTCCTGCCGTTCCGTCTCCTCTAGACCTTCCTAGAAGACCCTCGTAAACCGCGATTTCCAAATATATCCTTCTATACCCGCTTGCCGCGCGTCGGGGCCAACGCTTCGAAACATGCACAGCACAGAAGCCGTTGGCTGATAGGGGGTATAGCTAGGCCTGAACACGCACGTAAAGGTTAGATTGCATAAAGGACTAAAAAGTAAGATAGAGACGGGCATGTGAAAAGCTCCTTGAGCGGCATGGCTGTTCTGAGAAAAGGTTCATGATGGAAGAATCTCGGGTGTCCTGAAAAACAGGCCTCCAGGCTCGCGAAGGCCGGGGCTCAGCAAACTGTAGCGGTTGTTGTAGAAGGCCTGCTATGTAATGAGTGGGTTACAACAGTTGGTCTGGTCCTGTTGGAAAGGGTGGTTTGGAAACAAACCACCCTCCAAAGGGGGGATCTTCAGATTGAAGATGATGATGATGGCCTGAGAGTGATGAATCTGTCAGCAGCCAGCGTTCATCTCAAAAGGGAGGTTTTTTCTATTCTCGGTCAGTCCTCCTTGTGGCTCACCGCCCTTTCTGATGCCTTATTCTTTATTATCTTTTATTTGCGGTCCAGAAGCTATGAAGTTGTTTTTGCGTCGCAAATAATTGGATGCACGGTTCAAAGCCAAGGGTGCATCAGAGCGGAATAGTTACCAGTCAGTAGCCGCAAGTCCAGTTCATGCAGGAGACATTTGACGTCGAGGTAGGGCATATCATATCATGGTTCATGTGTAACGTTCCCGAAAGTGAGGGGAGTTCTCATGGAGGTGATACTCAGTAGTTCGGATTTTGGAAGAGGATCGATATGAAATAGTTCTTGGGCTGAATGGTAGTTAGCTATGCTTCTGGTAAAATAGGCGCGGGGTCCGTGAGGTGAGAATGAGACGACACATGCACGCTAGGTATTACACATTATTCAAAAGAAATAAGCATCATCATAAACAGAGCTGCACGACATCCGTTTTGGATGACCTGATGTACTGTTCACATATCAAGATCAAGGTTGAAGGGACGAGATGAGATGGTAAAACCGAAAAGAAAGAAATATGGCACAAACCAAACATAAAGCCGACCCGACCTTTGAAATCGAAGGCCACCAAACATGCACTCTCAAAGATAGAGAAGGCCCTTTCGTAGAGCTGTTCCCGTATAGTCTAGAGAGGATGTATTCATTCAATAATGAACAGTGTTTTCAACATAAATATGGGAAAACAGAATTTGGCAAAGTTGCGACATGTTGACATGTAGGTCTAGGACAGGAAGTTTGATTGTCGTACTTGAGATTTCTCGTTATTCCGTGTAGATTGACTTCTGATCGTGTAAGTTAGTTAACGGCGGTGAATATGTTGTCCATATAAAATCCATATAAAATGCCAATATACGTAGTTGGAAGAGCGTGAGGCCATGGAACACAAGCGCAATTCCCATGTGCCGTTCAGCTTTCATTTTCTTTTCTTATCTCTTTTCCTTTTTCTGTGCGCCAGGCTGTAAGGTATCTCTGTAAGGCGTCAATGCAAGCCCGCAATTCATGTCAATAATAGGGGAGATCTCATTGGTGACCCCGCCGGTCGGGCAACGTTGGACCGTTGTTTGCTACCCAATCCACCTTTTGCAGGAGATAAAGCGAAGTTGACACAAAAAGCCCTTGCAGAGAACGTCGTTAGTTGTGAGTGAGTGACACAGGCATTCGGACATTTATCACGTACCTACGAACCGAAACACGACTTCCATGCCCGCGGCACGGGATGGCGGGCGGGGGGGGAGTGTTGTTTGCTTGGTTGCTTGGAGATTGTCACTGTATTTATTTATGTGATTGGGATGGCTGAGCAGAAGAGAGGGATGGTGGCAGCCCGATGATTTCCCAGCTAAATATTTTTATTATAGACGTCGATATATTAATGATATGAATTTACCTCACTATTAAATAATATCTGGCGAATTGATAAATACTTGCAATTGAGCCCCAAGAACTTGCCCTGTTCTGTAGGCTGTAGCGCGGCTATTTATTCAGCTTTTTTCCTTCACAATTTTCATCAATCTGTAGTTAAACTATTTATTTAACTAAATATTTCAGCGGGACAATCGAGATGTTAATCAATTAATTAAATATCATAAATATTTACAATATCAGGTCAGGCCGCAATCAACGCCCTAAAACTCGACTGGAGCTTCACCAAACCCTGCATTCTGCATTAATATTGCATGCCTTTGCCCCATTATTATTCACCGCACAATAATAATAATAATACAACAATAAATATTTAACTACAGGGGGCATCCGGGTGTGTGTGACCATCACCAGCATCGAGCTTCTCAGACACCGCCTCGCCCGGGCGTCCAACCATTCAGCGCTACGGCAATTCCAGGGACTGACGGCGGCAGCTTGTCGTTTGCTAAATAATAATATGATGTTTTGTTGCAGCACAGGTCCTGCACGCCGCCTCGGACCCGCCCAGTCGTATTCTCTATCGTGGGCGAGGAGGCGATGCCTCAAACCCAGTTGATAGTTGATTGCTTGCCATAGTTACATATTCAACGTGGAAAAAAGGTTTTCCCAGGCACTGACTGCGTTCATTCGCTCAAATCGACAGCACCCAGACCAGTCACAAATGACAACTACAGGAATCATGTAACTACGCAGCGCAGCGTATCCTGCTGTTTCGCTGCTGTTTCGCTGGACTCTCCAACGCGACGCCCGGCTGGTGATTACCTGTCAAACACCCTAATGGTAAGCACAACGATGTCATCTCTGCTGCACGATAGAGGCGATTCGAAACAAGGCCATGATCAGGGGCCCTATCGTATCGATTCTACGCACTTGGCGATGCCATTCAGCAAGCCTGTTGCTCGCCTCCTTTCCGCAGCCGCTTTGGGAATGGAGTCTGGGGAAACGCCCGTTTATTCTACTGGAACGTGCGGAGACTATCATCTGTCTAGGGATGGTTGCCCCCTACTGGGTCCGGTCCTTGGTGATGCGCTACATTCATTGCCCATCTCTCCGCCCGCCTCTTATGCAGCCTTTACGGTATTCTACTGGCCAGGGGAAGAAATAACAGGGTCGGATCCATCAACATTATTGAAGCCCAACGAGAGTCGGTATCAAATTTAGATTTTTTTCTCTTTTTCTTTTTCTTTTTTTCTTGTTTTCCTCTTCTAAGCAATGCCCGACTGTCATGGTCAGGATCAGTATTTCTGGATCTATAAATCTTATATATGGCCATCCCCGGTACGGCTTCTGGAATATCAGATGTGATACAAGCAGCTTTGACACTAAATGCCCTTCATCCTTAAACCTGCCTCGATATAGCCATTATCCCTATTCCACGGTTGGTTCTCCATGCTGGATATTCCGAAATTCCCTTTCTGCTCGGACCTTACCACCATCTGGATATTTAAATCCTGTCGTGAATTTTCTTTTTGTGTTGCTGTTACCTTTGCGTGTGAGTTACGTGAGCCACCGGATTTCCCATGGACATTGTCTGATCTGAAGGCCCAGTTATAGGAAACAAACCAGCCCCTTGGATTTTACCATCGCCATTAATGGATGCACCCTGACAATTATTACATTTGATATATAATCTTTATTTCTTATATATCATCTACCTAATCTTGCTTTCTTTTCTTCATCTTTTCTGCAAAGATATATAACTATAATGTCCTCCACGGTTTCCCTAGGCCGACGCTGGCCTCCCTCACCCAGCGTTGAGGATGAATGCGAATCCCTATCCCGCGAACTCCTAGACTTGTCTGTCTTAGACACAATGTTGAATAATGATACAATGATTCCGAAGGGAACTGTAGATCAGTATCCCCTTATACTCCCGTCCAACATCGTCACTCCATGCTCAACACCCCCGGACGCATGTGGAAGCCCCATCAATCCAAACGCCGGAAGCAAATCATCCAACGGAAATATTGGCCTTACAACTGCTCAGTCTCCTCCCAGCAATGGTTCTGCTTCAGATACACAGCAGGGGTCGAATGCCACTGCTCCGTCTTACTTCCTCCATGAAGCGTCCAACCCCAATGGGTTTTCTGGAATTCCGGAGGTTCCTGAGCCTCATGGATGGCCAGTCAGCCACCCGCAAGACTCACTCCAAGAAAAGCCCGGCCTAAGCAGACATTTCTCTGAGGGAGACGAAAAGCTTGGTCTCCACAACGCACCCGTCAGGCGAGCAGAATGTTGCAGTGATGATGAAATACGTCCATCCCACCGTGGCTCAGACGGCCCAGAAACCCCCCAAAACACCTTACCGGTTAAGAAAAAGAAGGTGAACTTTCAGCTTCCCGACGACTCTCCCGATGGGAGACTGCCACAACATGACACCGAACCTGCCTTGAAGCATGAGTTTGAGCCTTCCCTTGGTCATTCAGAAGAAATCCATACTTCCCGCCGTTCAAGTCTATATTATGAAGATGAAACGCCAATGGATAACTACGATCCCACTTTCATAACTTATAGACAGGATTACACATATCTTGCCCATCCTCAGCCACTCAAAATCAACTGCAACTACGGTGGACCACGCAGCAGAACTTCTGATTCCGGATCTCCCTGTCACCTCACCACTAAAAACTGACCTCAAGAAGCCCATCTCAATCTCCAAGACGACATACCCCTTAGCCTTCGGGTTCCCCGCCTCAGCCCAATCGCTCGCGCTGCCTTGGATAAAACCAAGATAGCACTGCCAACCACGAATAATGACTCTCGAGCTTCCACGAACTCCTCCCCGGTCCGACGAAGAGGGCCTTTCTTATCCCCGCCTTTGTTGCCCTCAGGTTACGAGGTGATTATTAGAAGGGGTGGCGACAAGCAGTCAAAACGCAACAGCGTTCCAGCCATGACTCCATCGCATCTTCTGTCCAGATCACGAAGCTCAACAGTTCCCTCGCAGGTCGTAGTAGTGCGCCGTCATCAAGCCCCCGCGGCCGCTCCCCCTGTCGTTGCCCTTGCCCCTTGCCCTCGATCCATTCCCATGGCTGGCCATCAGGACTGGTACACCATCAAGGGCATGACACACTTGGACATCTGCCCTTGTTGCATGAGCCAGATTGGCGCCTCCCGGTTCCGGCATCTTTTCATCCCCAGCCTTCCCAGAGACCGCAATGCGAAAGTCCGCTGCTCCCTTAGCCAACCATGGGCACGGCTCGCCTGGGTCCAAACAATGAAGCTGAAACTCAACCACCTCGAGCTGCTCCAGCGCATTACCCTTCCCCCACCGGGAAGCCGTCCATGCAGCGGCCGTAACCCCTCAGTGCAGTCTTGGTACCGCCTTGCGGACCCCGAAACAGGCCGCAACATCACCGACTTCAGCGCGTGCTCCGCCTGCTTCCGTAACCTGCAAATCCTCATGCCCTCACTCCGCGACGCATTCCGCTCCGGCCCACTCGTCCAAGAGCGCATTTGCGACCTCCGCATCGACAGCCCCCGCTTCGTCCGCTACCTCGATCTGCTAGACGAAGCCGCAACGCGCAGTTACTCCGCTCCGCGCGGCCAACTGGACATGCGCGAATTTGTCAGGTACGCTCGACGCAAGAGCAGCATCCGCGACTGTCCCCGCGACCACTTTTCTGCAGGGCCATGGCATTATATCCCCAACCTGCCCGAGTTTACCATCTGCGAGGACTGCTATGATGACGTTGTCTACGATCGATCCCACACGGGCATTGGCAAGATGGTTTCACGAACGCCGCAGATGGTCCCCGGACCCCGGGATCAGCAATATACATGTCAGCTGTACAGCCCGCGTATGAGGACCGTGTTCCGCGAGGCCGTACAGGATGGGGACTTCAAATACTTAGCCACAGCTGCGCTGCGCAGGCATGAGGCGGAGATCACGTTCCGAGAACGGAAGAAGGCGCTACTACATGATGTGGCTAGGGGTTACGATAGGGACGCAGAGTTGAGGTGGAATGCAGAAGATTGGAGGAGGAGTGAATAACTTTTCTTTTCTCCTTCGATATCTGGATTTCTCTATTGCTTTTTCGTTTCTGTTCCTTTTCCTTATGACGTCTTTGGTTTTGGATGGATAGCTTCCACTGTTTCCTTCGTTCCCCCATATGCACCTCTGTTTCATACATCACGCGCGCTCTGCCGCTCTGCCGCTCTGTTCTTCATTTATCATCTGGCATTTTCAAGTTTTGTCATTTCATGCCTCTTCTACATTTCCTGATGCCCGGGCTTTTTTCCTTTTTTTCCTTTTTTCCTTTTTCTTTTTTCCCCCATCAACACCTGTATCATCCTTGCCTCAGTCATTCCCGCATTTCCTCACCCTGTACATTGTGAACTACTCCCGTTCATTCATCGCACTTTTCCCCCGCTGTACATCTACATCAACCATTCGTTCGATGCCTCCCTTTTTTATTTTTTTTATTTTTTTTGTGCGTTTTCCCCATATTGATATTGACGCCAAAGTAACCACGGCATCCATTATCAATTTGTATTCGTCCCAGCATATTATATGTTATCCTCATCGATTCTTGGCCTTTCATCAGTCCCCCTACTACCTCTCTATCTATCTGTCTAGGACCTTCTGAGCCGGTTGACCAAGAATTCTGTATATTATAGTACAACAGGAGAAGAAGAAGAAGAAGAAGAAATGTATAAATTACTGCAATGTTCAATTACTGTGCCTGAAATTGTTTATGTAGAATTCTTGCGCTCCATGGGATTCAGTCCTGAGATAGCATCGGTCTTAGTCGTTATTCAAATATGTAACGCATATGTAGCAGAGGACATAGTAGGTTGCTGCTGAATCAATAGCACCACTCATAAGTAAAAGACATGATATCCGTAGGATGACACGATCTATTGACTTAGAAAGAAAGGAAGAAAATAATAGTTAAATAATGGAAAAGAAGGAAACATAGTTTGTCTTCTCCCGCCTCCACCCCACCCAAATATACGGACTACGGAGTATCTGCTTGAAAGTTCATTAGTACTTAAATACTTGCATGCTATTATCTACTGTCTAGCAACGGTAGAGGGAGTAACCAGGGAGGTAGGAAGAGCTAGCTCCACTGTCATTTATTCATTATGTATCTATGGCTAAAATCTCCACTCCACTTCCTTAACCCACGCTTCACCCAAACCCCCCTCCCCAAATCACCCAACCAACCCCACCAACTCCCCCGGCCACCTCTTCCCCCATATCATAGCTCGACTAGGCACCCTCCCCCCAACGGGCGCCAGCACTCTAATCTTCGCCTTCTTCTCATCTACGCCGGCCACATAAACAAAGCCCATGACGCTCGCGTCGCGGATCTCATGGAGCGGGGCGTTGGGGGCTGCGTGTGTTACTGCTAGCAAGGTGTTTTCTAGCGCTAGTGGGACGGGGGAGGTTGTGGAGGGGGGCAGCTTTTTTAGAGGGATGGAGGACGGGTGAGTGAATGGTGATGTCGCTGTCGTTGATGTGGTGGTGGTGGTGGCGGTGGTGGGGGAGGAGAGGAAGGGGGAGGTGGTTGTTGTGTGGTCTGTGATTTCCTGGTACTGGTGTTGTTGTTGTTGCTGCTGTTGCTGTTGCTGTGTTTGTAGATTCTCATCGTCGTCGCGGTCGTTGATGCCGCCGGGTAGGAAGGAGTCATTCATACCGAAGGTGGAAGGGTCGTAGTCGTCATCGTCCTCGAGCGTGGCGGTGATGGTGTATATGGAGAGAGCGTCGAAGTCGAGCTGTTGCGCGTGCGGGGAGAGGGTGATTGTTGTTCCTGAGGAGGTCGCAGAGAGGGAGAGGGCGGAAGAGGCGGTGGAAGGGATGGGGTTGCCGAAGAAGTAAGAGCGGATTTGCGAGTCGCGGACGCACTTCATGAAGGAGGCATCGCGGTCAACGCTGCCGCCGGATTTTGTCACTTTGACGACGGATATACGATCGAGGGTGGACGGGGTGGCTGTTCCCGCAGCGGCGGAGGTGGTGGATGTGGATGTTGAGATGGGTTTGTTGTCGTAATGTTTTACCATGGAGCTGTAGAGGCGTTCAGAGCCTAGTACGAGGATTGTTGTGACTATTTGCAATCTGTTAGTATATATATATATATATATATATATTCCCCACACGTTGAAAAATAGGCCGGGACTTCTCGTACTCGAAAACTCAGTAACGATATGGTGAATAACATCCTCCCCCTTCCCCCCCTGGCTAAGAACCCCAGGCGTATCAATAACAATCCCCGCCTCCCCCGCATCCCTATCCTCCGCCAACCGCCCGGCAACCGCCAACGCCAACCTCGACACAATGGGCTTATACACCTGCCCCTCCGCATCCAACGGACTCGGCAACCCATAAAAATACACCAGCGGCAGTTTCACCGGTATAGGACTGGGGCCAGACATGGGGCTACTCCCCCACCCTTCCTCCACATCCACCATAGATCGAAACGCCGTCGCCGTCAAGCTACCGGGGACACTCAGCATGCCCTCCGACGGGTCCAGGTTGACCACAACAGGCTGCCGCTCCCGCTTCGTCGCGTAGCCCGTCAGTATCTTCGTGAGCTCGTCTTGCCCGCATCCTCCGGTCCCAGGATGAGTAGCGGCGGCCTTCGCGGCCGCTAGCCTTCGCCTCGGGCGCGCATCGTCTCCAGCGCGCCGTGGATGTTGACATACTCGGCCATGGGCGTCTCCTCCGCCACGTATTCGACCTGGCAGCCCCCGCTACCGGTGCCGGGCGGCGGGGGTGCGCTGCCCAACCCGCCAATGGCGATGGGGTCGCCCGCGCTCACTTCCAGCGTGCAGCCGTGCCATGTGTAGATTGCGGCTTTTGTTCCGGAGAAGGTATATGTTTGGGAGGCTGCCAGTTCGGTGCCGAAGAGTTCTGCGGTGCCTGCTAGGAGCTAAATGTGGTTTTTTTTTTTTGGGGGGGGGGCGTTCTTGTCAGGGTTTTTGAAGATATGAAAATAAAATAATTAGGATGCTCTGTGGAATTAAGTTACGTACTTTTACCCTCACTGTTCGCCCAAATGCGAACTTTAAATCTCCACTCCGATCCCCCTCGGTAGACTATGCTGGACTGGGGGAGCAGGGGGCGCTGCGACCTCCGGGGGGGAGTTTGCGTGAGCTCCAGGCCGGGGGAGGGACATTTGTTAATACGGGATGGGCTATGCGGGTAGAGACAAAAATAGGTGGGGCTACCTTTTAAGGGGATTGATTGCTTCGTGGAAAGGGAAAAAAAAAAAAACCCCCAAAGCTCTCGAAACTACATATTTATCTGAGATATCTGCCGGTGTTTGTCATGTTTGCCCTGTTTGGTTCGTCCAACAGCTGGATAACCTATCTTATCAATCTAATCTGGTCCGCGCGCTCTGCATACATACCAAAGTACACCTGTTACAACCTCTAACCAGCCCAATACTTACGAAAAAGCGAAACGCAGGAGCAAAAGTGAGCAACTGAGAATTGCTGACAGCAGCACACACCTATGAGCTAACCAACAATTTACAAGAAGACCGTAACCCCTTTCCCGCCCATATACTCCGTACGATCCAACCAGCCAAAGATGAACCCGGCAAAAGTCTAAGAAGCTTATAGATTTACTTCCGTACACACAGCACAATAATATTCAAAGCTTAGATCCTGCGCATATGGGGGGATGGGATAGCCATGCCATTGCCATTGCCATTGCCATGCCTAATCATGCGCATTCAATCAATCCAATCAATTCTCAGTTCTGGACAGATAAAAATGAAGGCGAGCAAAGGCCCCCGTCCACCATCCATGATGTAAACGAGAGAAAAGAGAGAGAAGGGTTATTCTCAAAGAAGTTCAGTATCCCAATTTTTTCCACTCAGGACGCAAAAAGCCTGGTAGTCGAAGTGATTGTGCAGGACGCAAAATCGGGTCCAAAGTATGATACGGGGTAAAAACAGGGGGGGGGGAAAGCCACGAGGTTCCAAACAGACTCACAAAAACCAATTTTTTACACCATCTTTTTTTTATAGAAAGGAAAGGAGTGGGTTGTATATATCTGGGGAAAATTATCAACTGGAATTTTGGCATGAGCAGAATGGGACAAAAGTTGAACTTGAAGTTGGGATGTAATAATGACGTGGTAATGAATGTGTGGCAGTTTTTAGTGTTCAGTGATGGGAAGACAACAAAAATTTGATAGCGCCTAGAGAAAGCCAAACAAAGCCAGATTGGACGGGATGATGCCGCAAAAGTAGAAGAAGAGAAATATATGTTGTAAAATAAAATAGTACCTAAAAAGAGAAGAATCGAAAGATATAAAAAGAAGAATAAACCTGAATTTGAAAAGGATAAAAGGATTTCAATAATAGACCTTATCCTTTAAAAAAACAAACGAAATGATTGGGATTAAAAAAAAAAAAAAAAAAAAAAAAAAAAAAAAAAAAAAGAAGCAAAAATAATTTCTTGGGTTAATTGGTAAACAGTAGCCAAATTTAATAATTTTATAATAGGAACGGGGCGGAATGGTGTAACAGAGAAATTTGGGGAGGTGTGGATGAAGGAGATGGTAAGCGCAACGGGGAGGGGGTGGGAGCGGTGGTGTGGAAGCGGGTGTGGGTGTGGTTGTGGGGATTGATAATACCAAGAGATAAGAAAAGGAGCAAAGGCTACGCTATTTTCTCAGTAATATAACAAGGGGATTGGGAATGGGAATGGGGATATTAGGTTTCAAAAAAAGACGAAAGAATGAAATGTGGCCTGCCGCCTTGGTAGGAGAGCCGGCTGTGGCGTGCTGTGGCGGGTGGGGGAGAGCGAACGGTCGGATGTATATATGTATGCAGTGTGAACGTAAGAAGTGGTATATCTTACCCACTTCTCTTTTCCTTCTCCTTGCTTCAACAGGGAAGGAAACCAAAACAAGTAACGTAAAAAGAAAACATAACAAAGGAAAAGTTATTTACAATATATTAGAAGAAGTATGGTATTGCCGCACTGTCAAGAAAACATCACACTCTGGGTTAGAAAAGAAGTGTTCATTGTTTTTGGCTTTATTGGTAGCGTGTTAGAGTGAAGAGAGTGTAAAAGGTGGGAGAACTTACGCGAGTGCCAATGTAGCTGTAACCCCAACAAGTGCGCGATTCCGCACTCTCTCCCGCCGTAGTTTATCTTCTAGTAGTCTGGCCCGCTTAGCTGGCTGAGCAGGTGTAGCATCCTGTTCCGAAGCCGCAGCAGCATCACTCGAGTCTTCTGCACCCTCCTCTTCTGCAGAGGAAGCTTCTTCCTCGGCCTTCCGCTTCCGAATAGCCATACCCCGTTTCTTCGAAGGTGACGACGGTGACGATGAGGGCTCAGCTTTTTGCTCCTCCTCTTCCTCCCCATTCTTATTGTTCTCAAGGTTCGCAGCGTCAGCCACCATCTTCTTCGCCTCAGCGAGCATCCGTTCCGAATCTTCCGCCGGATTTACCTCTGGGAGGATACGGGGCGCAAAATCCACACGTCGAGTTTCCACGCGGTCTTCTTTACCTCCGACTGCATATTCAACTGTAGCTTCCATCGCTTTGACGGATTTGTTAACAATATGATGGGCGCGATCTTTGGATTTCTTGACTGGTATCTCGTATTTTGACTCTTGGTCTTCTTCCTCCTCCCCGTGGACTCTGGAAGTGGGTTCTTCAGCGCCGTTTGTCTGCTGTAATTTATCCTCGGAGGCTGACGATGTCGTTGACACCGTCGACGCGGCGGCATCCAAGGTGCTTTGGAGGGAGGCATTGGCAGCGGTTGAGCTTGCGGCGCTGGCAGCCTCCTTTTGCGCACGGGTTTGTCGAAGTTTGCGACCAGCAGTACTCTTCTTTGGCGAAGCCATTTTCGAGGGAGACACGGATCTGCGGGTTCTGCGGGCGATGGGCTGGGGTGGCGCAAATGCAGAGGAATCAATTGGTGGCAGCTCGAATTTTGGTGGAGGGGAGATGTGTTTCTCCGGGCTCGTTCCGTTCTGTACGATTTCCGTTGGATCCAGAAGAGCTCGAACCCAGTCAAACATGCCGTAGTCCTTTGCGATTTCGAGTGCTAGATTGCAGGGATATGGTCAGCTGACACTAGAACCTTGGAAAACTTGTTGAACGGAGGGGGTTGGAATGTCTCCATGGTGCATACCTAGATCAGGAGAGATCCACACATTCCCAGCGACCTCATCTTCACTGGTCTCTGTTCTACTCTTCAAGTACTCCCGTTCAGTTTTCTCATCAGAGTGCTTCGCCCAGGGGAATGCAATTTTGAACATGCCCGTGGCGCTAACATAACCATCCTTGCTTCGTCGCTATCACCAAAAAGAAGAAAAATCGCCAAAGAGTTAGTGGTCTGCTTTTCCATTATTTGCGAATTGCGCGCGCGCATGCAAGAGAAAATCCGGGGGGATCGACATGAATAAATAAGAGGATTAAGAAAGCAAGAATGGCCAGGCTCACCATCAGAAAATAAGCCTCTGGATTTTGCTGTGGCGCTTGGGAAGAGAAGATTTCCGAGCCCTTTAGATCCTTGGGCAACGGCGCTCTCAAGTGTGCATACTCGAACATTCCCAGGTTCTCGGGCTTGGTCGCGCTAGATGTACCTATCTGGCCGGGTTTGACTGATAGATTTGTCTTACCCAGTCGACGGCGCGATAGAAGATCTTCATCTAATATCGCGAAAACAAAGCAAGAGAGCGCAAAAGGCACATTAGCGAAGAGCGTTGGAGTGGTAGGGATCAGGGGCTGGGTGGGGGAAGCGGATGGGATAATTAAGGTCGCGTTTGCGCCAATGGAACAAGGAAGTAGGTTTCGACAAGACAAGGTGCAAATTGAATGAGGATTTGGGAGGGCATTGGGCATGGTTACAGATAAATGTCGAGGACTTACATGGTGGTGAAACTTCTGGCAGGATGAGAGGGTTGATTCTCTTTGGAAGGGAGCGCATGGTGACTGGCGGCCGGGCAGTGTGGAGGAGAGAAGAAGATTATAGATTAATAGAATGTTGCTTTTAAGTCAAGAGGCGCGAGAAGAGATGGGATGCAAGACAAGGGGCGATGGTTGTTGAGATAGAGACGAGAGAGGAGTTGGCGTGGCGGTGTTGGCGGAGTTGGGTCGGTGATGCGCCAGGCCGAGAGACGACGGGTGCCACGTTGCAGCGCGTTCTGTCTCTCTGTCTGTCTGTCTCTCGCTTTCCTCGATTAATCAGGTCAAGATCAGACCAACACAACCCAACGAGGCGACGGGGGGGGGTTGGGCGCGGTTGTCTGGCTGCTGGCGACGATAATCACAACGCAATTGACAGCGGGAATACGGAGTACGCGGGATTGAATGGAATAACGGCCTTGGTCAGGAACCCAAGAAAAAAAAAAAAAAGAAAAAAAAGAAAACGAACAAGAAAAAGGGATGGCTGGGGGGGTTTAGACTAAGAAGAGGTTGCAGCACCGGGAGCAGTTGGGGAGAGGACCCCGTGACCTGACCTGGAGCTTGCTTATGTAACTTAACTAGCTTGCGCCTCCAAACCTGGAGAGACATCCGTGGATGAGGTCATCGATCGTTGTCTGTTGTACAGACCATGCTATATTCTCTCCCGCTGATGAGTGCGGTGGTGCTTTAATTTTTCTAGTGATTCTAAATATCCCATGGAATTCTTCAGTTCCTTTGGAGCAATATAATAATAAATTGGTCGGGATTGTAGGCAGTCCACCCACCCCATGAAATCATAGAGCTCTATCCTCGTTGTTTATCATTTCCTCTCAACAAGATAATTAACTTATATTTTAGGTAACTCTAAAAAGCCAAATCCGTTCCTGTCCCCTTGAACTCCTCCTCCACTTAAGCAGGCTAACCCTAACCCAGGACGCTGGCTTCGGCCCAGCCCGTCCAGTCCTGGGCGAAAATACAGCTTGCAACGCCAGGGGGGGGGAAATATACCGATTCGGAACAACACTCATTTTATAGAATGAGAAAGGTAAGGACCAAAGCATTTGTACTGGTTTCGGAAGATGTTACTGCCCTAAATAAACAGCACAACCTTCACAAGCTTCGGAATATCAGTATCCTTCAGGTAACCGACCCTTCATCGCAAATATAGAAAGAATACTTTATTTCCAGAACCCTAAAACGCATTGAGAATCAACATTAAATCTAGCTGCCTCGTTGTCAAGGAGAGAAGCCAGGCGGGGAAAACAGCCAGATCCTCTTATACTCATACAATATCTCCCCTCCCTCCCCTCCCCCCCTCCCCCCCAGCAGCAGTGCAGAAAAAGAGCCAAGTCGATTTCCCCGGACCCGTTATCTAGCAATCAAAAATTCCAAACGGGCCCGGTTGATCGCTTCTCCCTCTTTGCTCCACGTCACCATTTGATGTGCATGAATGCATCCATGCATGCGGGCGGGCAGGCGGCTATCCCTGACGCTATGATCTCAGCTCCATATTACTCTGTACTTACGATTATGGAACATCACGGCGGGGGCGGGGGGAAGGGAGGGCTGGCGGGGACGAGGGACTCGGAGGGAGCACGGAGATCATGTGTGCAGAATGATTTGCGGGGTTTTTTTTTTTTTTTTCCTTGTCAAGTCAGAACTCCGTGGCAGTGGTATGTATGTACATGTACATGTAATTTGGAACATGTTATGAATCCGATGAACGAACTATTTAGCTATTTGGCTATTTGGCTGGGTGGCAGGATGGCAGACAGGCCATAAGAGGCTGGTCTGGACCATGCAGCATCTGTTTCAGAAATGGATGTCTATCAAGTAGTTACACCAAAAATAATGTTATTTCTGGGGTGAGGAACCCCGCCCGATTGAGCAGCATAAAAATACTTCATCTACTATGAGGGGATGTGAGCGGACCAGAATCTTCAATGAGAGCTACTTACTTACTATCTCTGGGTGACAGCTGAAAAGGAAATACGTATGGCTCCACCGCCTTTCATCAGTTCAGTTCGCTCCCAGCGTAACTAGTTAGTTAACTTACCCCCACCAAAACAAACGTCCAACTGTTAGCCTCATCCATCCGCCGCCAGCTCTGTCTCGTCTCTCTCCTCTCTCTTCTTCTCTTCTCTTTCTCCATTTCCTCTTCCTCTTCTCTCTTCCTCTCTTTCTTTCCCTGTCTCTTCTCTTCTCCAGTTCTCCTCATACTTCTGGCTCAAGATACCAATATCCCAAAGTTCCTCCACACCAGAGACGCAATCCATACGCACAGACACTCATCAACCCCGCTCACCAAAACTCCCCCCCGCACCTCGAAAATAAACACAAGCAGTCGAACGAAAATGTCCAACGAACACGATGATGATTTGGCAGCAAGCAAAACTGCCGGCTTCAAGGTTGGTGAGAAGAAGACTCTCGAGGAGTACCAGCAGCTAGGTATGTAATGTATCTGATATGCTTGTTCATTAATTTATATACACCTCGGTCCATTTGTTTTGCAAGCATTTGCTATCATTATCATGCAAAAGTTTGTGGATATGTTGTTTTGTTTTGGATGGAGGTAGAGGAAAAGTAATTGATATAAACGGGGCATGTTTTGTTATGCACCTGCTGTCTTTTCAACTTGCTCTCGTCCTTCTTGCAGCGAAAATGATGTTCAGCCTTTTTTTCCTTCTATCCCACCGCGCTTTCTGAGATTTATTTATATGCAAAGCATACTATATTACATGTCCCAGCTTGAACATGGCAGAGTTGGGAAACATAAATACATTTCCCCCCAGCCGCAGCCCACAGAATAAGACGGAAAAAGAAAAAAAAGCAAAAGCAAAAGGGATTCCAATATCGCTAACATCACACCTCCCACTCCCTTGCTTGGATGAATCCACAAAACAGACGCAAACGACGAATCCCTCAACCGCTGGAAAGCGTCTCTAGGCCTGGGTACAGGTACCTCGATATCCGACCCCAACGACCCCCGCAAATGCATCATCAAATCCCTCGCGCTCGAAGTCGAGGGCCGCGACGACATCACCATCGATCTCTCCGCCGAGGGCTCCGTTGATAAGCTCAAGGACAAACCCTTCACCATAAAAGAAGGTTGCCGCTTCCGGATGAAAGCCACGTTCGTCGTGCAGCATGAGGTGCTTAGCGGGTTGAAGTATATTCAGGTTGTGAAGCGGAGGGGGGTACGGATTAGTAAGGATGAGGAGATGCTGGTGAGTTTTTCTTCTTCCTTATATATATATCTCTCTATCCCCCTTGTTCCTTTATCGGATACCGTTGATGCCGGAATGGCTGCTGATATATCTCTTCTTCTTTCCTTGTGTCTGGTGTACCAGGGGAGCTACCCACCAAACACCACCGATAAACCGCTGTATGAAAAGAAATGTAAGTTTCTTCTTTATGATTCGTGGCCCCTAAGCCAGTTCCTTTATTTTCCCAGAACTGGCCTTGTGAGTCAAGTTGTGCACCATACCCCACCCCCTCTCGAGTAAACGAACCGTCTGTCTGTCTGACACCCCTTGTTTCGTTCGTTTTTCGCAGTCCATCCCGAAGAGGCTCCGAGCAACTTTGTTGCTCGAGGACATTATACCGCACTCTCGAGATTCGTAGACGACGATGACACCACCCATCTCAAGTTCGAGTGGTCTTTCAACATCGCCAAGGATTGGTAGATAGATTGACAAGAATCCCCCCGAACAAAACAAAATTCGAATCTGCATTTTTTTTCTCCGTTCCCAATTTGCTCTTCCTTGTGTTGTTCCTTTTTCCTTCTTCTCTTTTTGCTCTAATGCTCAGAACGAATTTCCTTTTTATACTATTTTGGTTTTGGTTTTTTTCTTTTTTTGTTCCCCGTTTCTGCTCTGGTGGTTCCCAGGGCAGGACGTAAGTTAATATAAACATAAATCCGTGCCCGTTCTGCATGAATGCCATATTAGAGGTGGTGATAACTTTCTCCTCTCTTGCTTTCCTGCCTGTGACTCCCTCTTTTCGCAGCCCATCCATCTCTTTCTATATCAGTTACAAAACCAAAACGCCCAACTTATGCTTAAAAAATAGCTCGGAAGATTTATTTTATAAGAGAAGTGGAGGGATAAGAAGAACGAAAGGGGAAAAAAAAAATCAATGAAATAAAACATGACGAAAAAAAAAGGAAAATACACCCAAAGGGTATCATAGAAAATATTCAATTACAGGATTATGTCCATCCTTACCCTGCTGCTGCGCCTGCTGCTCCCCACGTACATCGTTATTCTCAGGTGCTGCATCGAAGATATTAAAATACCGCTCCCCAGTATCGCTGACCTCAAGCACACTCGCCAGGTTCCCACATCGGTAGCAATAATTCGGCGCACTCCACACAGTGCTTAACCGATCATCGTAGAGAACCTGATACCCTTCCTGACACAGCTGATGTGCACGGAGGATGTGATTCATATTATTCACCTCGAGGAACTTCTTCACCACCTGCGCGCCAAAGGTATATCCCGCACCCCGAGGCGAGAGGGAAAACTCATCCCGCTCCGTATCGGGATCGGACCAGACCAGATCCGCCATGGGGCCCTCGTGCGGAATCTCGCGGAACCGGTCGATGATTTTGATCTGGTCGATCGAGTGGATGGACGGGGACAGGCCGCCGTGCACGCAGAAGATCTGATCGTTGATGACGACGCTGAGGGTGAGGAAGTCGAACATGTCTGTGAAGTAGTGCCAGACGTTTGCGTTGCCGTATTTGCGGGCGCATTCGGTGTAGAAGCCGTAGGACTGGGTGACGCCGCGGGACTCGTGGTTGCCGCGGATTAGGTGGACACGGGCTGGGTAGCGGAGTTTGAGGCAGACGAGGAGGGAGATTGTTTCGACGCTGAAGAGGCCGCGGTCGACGTAGTCGCCTGCAACGGCGATGACAAGGCGTTAGAACTTCATAGGGATAGAAGAAATAGATTATCCACGCAGCGAGCTCAGGAGCAGAAGAAGAGGTCCCATACCGAGAAATAGGTAATTTGTATTCGGACAGAAGCCGCCGATTTTGAAGATCTCAATCATATCGTAGAATTGGCCGTGGATGTCTCCGACGACGGTAACGGGGGCTGCGATGTGAACGACATTGCTCTCCTTCATGAGCAGTTCTTTCGCCTTGGCGCATATTGCCTCGATGACGGAATCTGCTAATAATTCCTTCCGGTATAGTCGTTCAATGCACTCATCCAGATCGATGCTGGCTAAATTGTTTAGACGAAAGAGGATTCATTCATTAGTTTCCGTCATTATTCTTTTTTCGCTTTGTTCTCAAAACATGCGCGAATTTCTTAGACTTCTAACCACTTGAGATTTGGAACCTACATGGTAGACCTGGCATTGCTGCTATCCGAGAGCGGAACCGAAAAAAAAAAAAAAGAAAAAAGAAAAAAGAAAAAAGAAAAGAAGAGAACACCAAACAGAAGTTATCGGATCTCGGGTATCTTTGTATATATCGAAAGAAACGAGTGACAGTGGGGTATCTGAAAAGAAAAGAAAGCAGACAAAGGTTCAGGAGAGGAGGAGGGAGGTCAGATAGCCGGGCGATTCAGCTTTCATGATGGTCCAGGAAACGGCGGAGCGCAGCATCTGCGAGGCAAGAAGACAACGCGCAGGGGATCGAAGGTTGTTCGATATGCACTATGCCATATGGACGGCAAATGCAGCTGGGTGTCTGGCTAAGAATAATCCGCAACCCGTTGGTTGAGATTAGCGCTGTTGTCAAACTCCGTCTTGACTTGTTTATCGTAACTCGAGCGTCCGCCGGTGCGGCGGTGCAAGTCAGTTGGATGATGACTAAGCTCTGTGATTATATAAGCTCGTTGTTTTCCGTTTCCATTTACAACGGTATTTCTGGAGACCAGCGGGGACTTTGAATGGTAGATTCCCATGGATGCCTCGCCGAATGCTTTTGCGAATAACTGTTTAAAAAAATTCGGTGAATAGGTATATACATCGGCGGCATCACCCACGAAATCTCAGCATACCACGGCATATATTATTTAGTTCGGTATCGTCCGCAAGGATGATTATTCTTAGAAACTCCTCCGAACCCCGATAAACATAGCGCTGCCAAGCTGCCAAGCTTCCGCCATTCCAATCCGGGCAATTCTTGGCAGCCGCAGCCCGAGTAGTCACGTGACATATTTACCATCTCCAACTTCCAACTGTCTTTCTGTGCAACGACGACGACGTCGGTTCTTTCAACGTCTCATCAACCTCATCGCCTTGCTGAGACCGGGGCACTGGCCTATCTTTATCTTCTATGTATTTATATATTGACTTCCTTTAGGTTTTTGGTTAATCCCTTAACTTCCGGAACGCCGGACCCAAGGAGTTCGTCACTGGCAGACCTCCCCTTTTGCCCAATTTCCTTGTCTCGCACCTGTTCTCTAGGAATTGGGAATCGCCAGTCGTATTTTTATTTTATTTTTGGATATTGCCCGTTTGTTCTTATCATTGTTAATTTTTCCAGACATTTTCTGGACAGTTTTGTTTTGCTTCGGCGCTTTCGGTGATCTTGTGGCCACATTGTTGTCTCCTTCCCTCAGTTTGCAGGGTCCGTTTATCTATCTCTGATACTTGCAATGGGAGAAGACTCTAGGTCTGGGCTTTGATTGTTTTCTGCATTTGTATCTCGTGCTCGTTGAAAACTGGCTTGGGTTGTCCCTTTGCCTGTCAATTAAGCCAAAATGGCCTCGTCTGCCATGCCCGGCGATGGCGGGCAGCCTTTCCACGCTCAACCAGTTCCTGCCCTCAATCACAAACAACGGGGCCAAAAGCACCCTCGAAGGGGGAAAAATCGCCAGCACCACCCATATGCTGGTAGCACCGATGGCCCACCCAAAAACTCGCAAGCCCAATCCTGTTTTAATTGTGGCTCCCTGGAGCATTGGGCCCAGCAATGCCCAGAACCTCGGCGCGAATTTCCCGCGTAAGTTCGAGGTGGTCCATATATATAATGCCATCCAAGGCTAACGGAGCTTTCTCCAGTGGTAGTATGAGGCCTGGTCGCCCGCCCAAAAGACAGAAAACCACAGGTTCTCACATCTCCTCAAATGCAGGCGACCCGCATTACAACCACTCGCATCGGCCCCCCCAAAGGGGCTATACTCATCCTCCCGTGGCGCATTCGGGATACCAGCCCGCACCAATGTCAACTTCACCATATGGCCCCCCAACACCCATATCTGTGCACCCTCATTCGGCTGGTCCCTGGTCCCAGGAACACCCACCCCCGCATTATAATTCACCCCAATCGTACGGATTACCCACTCCCATGGGCGGCTATGGATCACAGTTTGCAAGTCCATCTACTTCTATGCCACCCCATCAAGGCCATTTCCCGCCTCATTATTCACCTCAGTATGGAAAGGCTGAATATCATCGAAAATCCTTCGATCATCGTCAACAGATTCTACCACAGGCCGGGAGCAATCGCCAATCAAGAAAAAAGTGGCGTCGTTTAGACAACGTGTCCGCAATAGCAGCTCCAATCGAACCTTGGATGGAGGAATTGCAGTCCCTTGACATCCCAGACAGCGGTGCAAATCAAGTAGAAATTGGTGCGTTTTAAAAACGAACGATATTTCTTTGGTCGCTTCTAAATGATCTTTGCTAAAGGTTTATTATAGTCTGGAGGCCAGCCGTCCAAGTTGCCCGCCCACTTCCTTCAACCTTTGATGAACGTGATGATGTGGGAATGCTTCCGCCATTCACATCCCTGCCACCTGGCATGTCTGTTTCGAAATACATCTTAGACAAGGGACCTGAAGAGTTTGTTTCCAACATTAGGAACACCGAAGATTGGCCCTTTGTGATGTCAGATCCTATTTTCCTGGAGATTTCGATGGAATGTGAACTTATACCACTAGACGAGCTCATCGCCCGTCGCAAACTGATATTTAAGACCCATCGCGTCGAGCCGCCTCCTGTCGTTGAGGAAGCCAGTGATACTAACGAAGATAACGGATATAATGAGGCAGATGAATCCGATGATGACAAAGAGGCAAATGAATACCAGGAGAGAGAAGTTTCCATTGTTAATTCTAATGAAGAGAGCCACGAACGAGCTACGAATAGGAGCCACTCCGGCGAGTGGTCTCGCACCCCATCTCACACTTCACAGGCAGACCATGGAGACGGTATGTCTTCTCCGAGATCATACCCAGCGGATGACAGGGAGTCATTGAGGGAAGCTTCTCCGGAGGTGGCAGACCATCCAGCCTCCCCTAGTCCGAGGACGTACTACGGCCACCACGACTCTCATGATCATGAGAGCTCCAGACAAACAAATTCGTAAGTTTTGGCTCATTTTTAGTAGCTGTGCACATGGATTGTTCTTTCTCCTTGGGTTGACTTCTAATTGAAACGTTAAGAATAAACCCTGGTAGGGGGCGGTCGAATGACAAACGACGTGGGAATCAAAGAACCCCGAGAGATCGGACGAAGCAGATGGAGGTTCCAAACCGCAAAGCCTCCCAGCAAGAAGGCAGGCGTAATGCTCCTTTTGATCGTCGAGGAGGCCGTGGTAGCCACTTTAATTCCCAGGATCGACGAAAGCCAAAGCCGCAACACTTTAAAGGGACAAATAAACCAAAGACCAAGAAAGGACCTAATAACCGTGGACACCCATCAAACCAGGGTGATTCTGGGGTCCGTAACAGCAAGAACCGTGATAGCCAATTTGGAATGGACGGCAACACCGGCCCCGACCACACTAATAATCCGCAGGAGCATCAACGCTCCAAGGACCACGCTGAAATTCAACAGATGAAGCCATTCGATCAGCATAGCCGCCATGGTCAAGTTGGTGGCGAAGATACTGGCCGCAAGAGGAGCAGGCATGATGAGTCGCCCACAAGACCTGAAGAACCCAGACGCCAGGAAGATGACATCACTCCAAAACTAAAGCGACGGCAACCTCACGTCGCTGAGGCCTACAGGTATGGCAATTTTCAACGTAACAACTGTCTTCAATTTAAGCTAATTTATCCCTAGCCGTCGATGGTGAACACAATTCCGCCCTATGATATGTCTCTTCTTGGCATTTTATTCCCTTTTCTCACATGATAACCCATACCCGTCAATAAAACTTCACTTCACTCTTTTTCCTTTTTCAGGCCAAGGGCCTTTTGGACCTATATTTAATATATCTATATATCTATATATATAAAACAAGTGGGATTGTTTTGCGTTTGGGACAGTCTTGCTGTATCCAAATTTTCTTTTTGGATTATAACTTTGTGTCCCGTGTGAAACCTGGCTATTTAATCCTTGCACCCGGGAAAGGAAGTTTTTACTCCCCCGAATGTGCATATTTTTCCCCGTTTGCGTAGGCAACAGCGGGAGGCTTTTTTGTACCAGAAACGGGATTGCGTTCGGGCAATGTTTTAAGGCCTATTTTTATCCTCACGTCAGTTAGTTGTGGTGCTATTTTCTTTTTGCTGATCCTACTATTTTGTGCTCATTCCGAGTTTGGCACGGCATCATACTTTATTCCTCAAAAAGGCCTGGTATATGCGCCTATATCCAACCTCACAGGAAATATTTTACTTTATGGGCTACTCCTGCTTCTACTGCCGCAGCCTAGTCCTACGGACAAACCCTCTCCTTCCTTTTCGAAGCGGGTTTCACAAGTAAAAGAAAACAGGACACTACGCTTGCAAATTGCCCGCTTTTTTGTAAAACGATAGAAGCGATTTTCCCTTTGGCGAATATTCACCAGGGATCATCTGGTTTCGGCTTGCACAGGCCATCCGGACAAGGGAGGCTCAATATCACTGCTTTCGGATATTTTCCTACTCATCATTCGGCTCAGCGGAGTAAGCCCACAGGCGCCTTTTTATTTTTCCTATATATTCCCAGTAGCCATACGGGAAATCCTACTATAGGTTTTCTTTTCATTTCTACGTTATTCCCCTCCTTTCCTTTGACAACTGAGGAATATCCAAGGAACCGAAAGCTGGCCAGATTGGATACCCTACCGATAACCGACAGTAATGTCGACCTATCCAACTAATACACCGCTATCTCGTTGTTTATGGATGGGACGAAGTTGAATGCATGCGCGTAGGCTACCAAGCCTCAGGTGATAAATGTTATTTGTATCCCGGTTTCTGCGGGATTTAGGACGCTGTATGACCAACTACTGCTATCCGTCCGTTAGGTCAAGGGGGAAAACTACCTTCAACGAGGTGGGCCGTGATATTCCCAGTCCTCTCCCACGAGATCAGGAAGTGCCTTGCGTTGGCAAAACGATAGATAGTAGCCTTGATTACCAACCAACACAAACATCCAGGCCAGCGAACGAGCTGAATTGAGTTGAGAACCAGGGTTGCCGCCGCCATACAAAGGGCTAGAAGAACCAAAAAACCCTTTGGTTGTTGTTCATGTTATGTTTGTCGATATTATGTTATTTATATCCTGCCGGTACACCATGGGCTTTTTGGCCATCTTTGCAATCTTATGATATTTAGTCGCCCATGCGGGCACGTAATTAAGGTTCAGATAAAAAATAAAAAATAAAACTGCCATTTGGCCAGGGCCCTTTCATACACATTTTACATTTTTCCCCACTTGTAATGCGATGTGCTGGATAGAACCTATAGTACATGTTGGGTTAGTTTTAAGTTGGATTCAAATTTTGGCGAGCCCTTCCAAGCAGTCCAAGCAGGAGCAATTGAAAACAAATAATCTACAGAACTAACACGAGCCATCATCGAGTCCTGGCACTGGCCATAGTAATTCAAGAAATTTTTCTTTCTTTGCTCTACGTTGCAACTTGCGCTCCCTTGTATTTGAGGCTTCAACAGAGGCTGACCGACACAGCATAAGATGGAGGCTTTGGAAGGGAGTTGGTGAGGTTGGAAAGATGCGATGACAATGCGACGACCAATCGTGAAAATGCTATCCCAGCTTAAAATACAGTGGTTAAAACAAATCTCACAAAAAGTAGGTGTTAATTAAACAAGGGTAAAAGAAAAGAAAAGAAAAGAAAAGAAAGAAACAGAAAAAGAAGAATAAGAAGGACTTTGTTAGGTCGTACTGGGACTCGAACCCGGGTTTCCAGAATCAGAATCTGGCGTGCTAACCGCTACACTATACAACCGTAACTTGATTGGTTGCCGGCGGCATGGATTACGTCTCATTTACATTTTACTCCTCGGTGTGAAAAATGAAAAAAAGAAAGAAAAATAACAGAGAAATTTAAAAACGAACTTCCACATTTACACATTAGGTCGTACTGGGAATCGAACCCAGGTTTCCAGAATCAGAATCTGGCGTGCTGACCGCTACACTATACAACCGCGAGTTATTGGCAGACCCGACCCCACTTCCATATTTTTGGGCCAGGCATTTGATCACGAGATAAAGTTATACAGTTTTGCGGAAGCAACTCAGTAAGCTATGTAGCTATCTTACCATCTCTCATTTCTACATACTTAAATTACTGATTATATGTCCTCGATAATAATGGAATGGACTGGCATTCTGAACAACTGGGACGGTGCAGACCGCCCGCTGTTCATTCAGCGGGTCCCTGCCCAGTTTCTCTCCCCCTTCAAAAGTCAGAACTTGGGGATCCTAGAACATCTCAAACGTTACAGCTCTTTTCTGCCACAACTCATGCATGAGCTCACACCCAGGGATTGGAACCAACTGGCAATTTAAATAGGATTGAATGCCGTGTAACTGTTGGTTAAAATGAAGCAGAGGCACGTGATTCAGGGGTATATCTGTTTTCGACGCGACCAGGACGCGGTGGCTTTAAAGTCATCCATCCCGTTGCCAGTATCGTCAAAAGCAGCAACCATACCCATCCCAATATTGTCACGATAGGTGGCTCCAAAGTGCGATGGATACCGTCCATAACCCTTCCCAAGACATCCCTTCCGAGGGCCAGAATCACCATGAATCCAACAACCAGACAACAACTCACGATGCAAACGAGCCCAAGCTTCACAAGACCCTTGACAACCAACGCACCATCACCCTCTCAAGTGCTCTGGACCAAGAGGAAGACATGAGAATGGAGTTGCAATATTTGACAAAAATGGCAGACCTACTTACAAATTTATCAATCGAAAAAGAGGAGATCCGAAAGCTTGTTGCTTCTCATTGCGGGTTAGCCAGCCCTGATATGGTTCAAGTGCCGGATATGATTGACTCAAATAATCACCTGACGTGGTTGTATGGAAGCTTCAACGTGTGCATCCCAGTGCGCATCAACGCTGGATCACACCTACCTGCAAAAATGGCATTTAGGGTGCCTTTGCTACATAAGATTGGTGAAGAGGCGTTCCCTGGTAATGCTGAAGAGAAAGTGCGGTCCGAGGCTGCAACCTACATCTGGATCCATGAGAACTGCCCGGATATACCAATTCCAAATCTGCGTGGATTTGGCGTCCCTGGTGGCCTTAGTGTGAGTGTATAATCGCCATTTCGGTTGCCGCTACATAGTCTGCTAACATTTGGCGAGATGACAGTTCTTCCAGCCTAGCTTCGTTCCACTCTGGCAGAGGATCAGGACCCATATCTGGCGCTTTTTCTATAGTCTGTTTCGAAGTTCAGACGGGAGCTATGCGTCTTTTTGCAAATACATCCCACAAAAGAGGACTACATTCTTTGAATATAGTTATATCCTGATTGACTGGATCGAAAGTGACGACTCGCAGATCCTCGCGTATACATGGCAGCAGCCTCATACAGACAAACAGACTGAGAATCTATACAGGGGCATTTCAAAAGTTATGATTTCTCTTGCTAGGATCCCACAACCCCGAATTGGCTCTTGGACCATCGATAACGACGGCCGACTAAGTTTGTCCAATCGTCCTCTATTCCTTCAATTCCATCAACTGGAAAATTGGGCTATTCCAACTATCCCGCGAAACATCACCTACTCAACTGCTGATAGTTTCTATCTTGATTTACTTTCTTGCCATGACAGCCGACTTCGATATCAAAAAAATTCTGCCGGTAGCGAAAAGGATACACGTGAACAAGCCCGAGATCTAGTGATGATGAGAGCACTTCTTCATGAATTTACCAGACAACACTCCCGGAATGGCCCGTTTGTCATGCAGCTGACTGATCTGTATCTTGGAAATATCTTCGTGGATAAGGACTGGAATCTCAAGCATGTCATTGATCTTGAATGGACATGCTCTTTGCCACTTCAAAACCTATTGCCTCCGTATTGGTTGACAGGTAAGGGCATTGATCAACTCGAAGGCCCAGAGTATGGACCGTTCAAGACATGTTACGAAAAGTTTGCGGAGATATTTGAAGAGGAAGAAGACAGGGCAGGACAACTACACCACAATGGACACCACCTGTCTCGGGCCACGAGCTTGAAAAGTGCCCTAGAAGATGGTCGATTCTGGTACTTGGCCGCACTCCGAAGCCCAAAGGGTCTGTTCAACGTTTTCAGACAACATCTAATACCATTCTATGGACTCACTAACGAATACAAATGTCTCGCGGAGACTGTATCTTCATTCTGGACACCTGGAATGGCTTCATTTGTGGAAGTGAAGATGAAAGAACTGGGCCAGTACAAACAAGAGGTTCGGGATATTTTCGATGATAGTGCAAAGAGTGGGCATCCTCGATTCTCCCCCACATAGCCATGGTTTTGTTACTTGCTCCCACATAATGGAACGGTTCTACAAACTTCTAATTTCCCCTATGGCGTCGTGCAAGAGCGTCATGACCACTTTTGCTCACGATTTGGGCTGCTTGGGGATTCTGGGCTACCCCTGCGCTGAAATTCTCTCCTGTCCTTTCTGATGCTGCCGTAGGTAGTGCCCTACCCGTCAAGGCTTGTAATGTTAGCTCTCTGTCCCTTTTGACGTGTTCGGGAACCGTAGTATCGCCCGTTGTATTGCTTTCAGCAGGATCGTGAGTGGTAGCAACGTTATCAACTCTTTGTTCATATGTAGAGTCTTTAGTAGTGCTTGCTGCCTGGATCGAGGAGTCCATGCTAAAGGCACTCATCAGTTGAGGCTGATTATGCCCAGACTGATTGTCAGAATCTGGGCTCGACGAGTACGGGCTAAAGCGACTAATCTCTTCATGCCGACAATGTCCAGGTTGATTGTTGGATTCTGGGCCCGAGGAGTACGGGCTAAAGCGACTAATCTCTTCACGCTGATTCTGCTGAGGCTGATTGTTGGTTGTCTGGCTAGAGGCAGGGTTTCCTTGCCTAGCTCTGTTGATCCTACGGCGGGGATCTGGCATGACGACTTCCTGTCTTCAACATTAGCTACGGTTATGAGTGAAGAGATGCTGTGTGTTGTCATACCGTGAGTTCTTTCGCAGAAAGAAAAGGTTTTATCTTGCTATCTTGCTATCTTGCTATCTTGCTATCTTGCTATCTTGCTATCTTGCTATCTTGCTATCTTGCTATCTTGCTATCTTGCTATTGAGATCTCTTTCGATTCCTGATGAAGTCCGGAAGCGTGCAAGCAAGGCATTTTATTCTTGACAGGGCAATGAGCTGTTGCATATTTGCCTCCCCAGGTAAGGTACCTGGGGAGGTAGGTATAGTAGGCAAATCTAATCTTATGATCTTTGTTAGAGGGTTTTCTTTTGCGTATAGTTGTTCCAAACATAGTCAGGGGGGAGAATGATATGAAGCGAAGCATGAAACCGACCAGTTTGCAGACTCACCTTTCACCTCAAAGTTGTCCATTCTAATCCGTGCCATTTCCCCCAGGCTGGATTAAAATGGGAATTCTCACTATATTGCCGCCAAAGTCTTTTCTTCCTTTGTCATATGGCATTGCATCATGGTCTGAGCAACCCCTCCCAGCTCAAAGTTCTTGGTGTCTTCGTGAATCCTTCGAAACAAGATGTTGGATTGTTTGCGTGGCGGCTGTGTTTGGAATTGATATTTCATATCAATTCGTCAGCAATCATAATATGCAAATGAATGATAACTGACCTGCTGAGCAGTGATGGCCCTGTTTCAACCTCAGATCCCCTGAGCACATACATGCCCAGGTGTTGTTGTGTCATGCTTCAGAAAATCCCAACAATTGAAATTGAAACAAAGGTGTGTTGATATGTGCTTATAGATATTAACACATAGGCTTGTCTTGTCTAAGTGGCATGAAAAAGATGATACGTCCAATTCAATCAATAGAGCCAAAGTTAAACCATTCATCGTACCAGAGCGGCTTTTTCATCATCCGAACCCGTATGCTCGTCATCTTCTTCATACTCATCCCCTAGCTCGTCCTCTCCCTTTTGGCTCTCCTCCTCTGATTCCTCCTCCGATTCTTCACTCTCCTCGCTCTCATATTCCGTACTTCCTTCTTCGTCCTCCTCATCTTCCTCGCTCTCCTCACTCTCCTCTTCCGCAAGCCAATCATCCAACGTCTTCTTCCCATTCCCCATTGCAGTCCCATTCTGCCTAACCCTCCCCGTATCAACATCATGCTCCCTGAGTGCATGATCCAACCTCTCGCCAGCCGTCAAATTCACCTTCTCAACAAACCCAGCTCTGCTGCTGGCACTATCGTCGCGCAGTTTGGGATCAGGCTCTTTTCCAGCCTCGACCCAGTCCGGAAGAGGTTCATAGCCACGCAAACCATGGATACCGGCATCCGGCCCTATGACCAGCGTAGATGTGCCGAGGAGCAGGCCCTTGCGCGTTTCGGATGGGGAAGGAGTAAAGGGGACTGGTTTCGGGGCAAGGAGGAGGAGGCTAGCGAGTTGTGTGGAGCTCGGAACTGCGAGTAAAGATTTGTAGAGGCGGGCGCGATCGCGGAGGTCGTAGGAGGTATCATAGCGGGCTAGGAGGAGGATATACTGCCATAAGACTACCATGGGGTCTTCTTCTTTTTGTCCTTCTTGGAAAGGAGGGTGTGAGGGGCCATCATGGTCATAGCCGTGGTTTACATCATTATTATCATCGGCCGTATTTTTAGCTGTTTCGGCGATATTTAGGAGGTGATGGAGGTAAACCTTCGCGCCTAGAAGGACAATTTGCTGCTTTGACGCTTCGGATTCATCTGCGAACCCTTTGGCGAGAATCCGCAGGACATCCGGAGCAATATTATTGCCCACGTCAATGCCCGCAAACTCTCCCACTAACCATATGATGCTGGCCCGTGCATCAGGGCTAGTTGTTGTGTCTAGGTGTTTAGCTAGCATGACGACTGTGTTTTTATGTGATGCAGGATCCTGCTGGATAAGATGCCTAATGACGGTTAAGGCCTCTGACACAAGATTATCGTCTGCGCTGGATATCTGGCCCAGGAGAACTCGAAGGCACCGCGCTGACGTGGTCGCGTCACTTTGAGCACATCTCCCGATTGCCCTTACACTTTCTCGAACGAGGTCAGGTTGGGATCCATGTGAAAAATGCTCCAATTCACTAAGAATGATGCCTTTAAGGTGCAGCCCACAGTGTGGGAATAGTAAGGTCAAGATCTCTAGTTTTAACCTCCATATATGCGGAACATCGGACGAGCGAATTAGAAAATGCGAAGCGTATTTCAAGAAAGGCTTGGGGTCGACGAGTGCAATGCATATGATGTTGTATAGCGCCACATGTTGAGTATCCTGCGGACCCCGCAATAGGGCAATTAATGGCCCAACTGCAGTATTGAGGTATGTGGGCGTTCCTACGTATAGAAAGAGGCGGACGACGCTCACGATGACGGCGGAATTCCGACTTTGAAGCAGAGGTTTGCACGCTTTTAGCAGGAGATCAAGATCTGGGTCGACTACCTGAATCTCCTTGCCGAACTCCTCGGGTTCCGCATTCCCTTCATCTCCATCTTCATAAAAACCCTTGGGGTTGGATACCCTTATTCTTTCTGTCCTCCTAGGAAAGCATTTTCTGGCATATACTGTCATCAGCCGTAGGGTCGCAAGCTGGCCCCATTCATCCATATCCACCAGCTTCCTCACCAGGCTGCGATAATGTTTGTGTATCAAATCAATCCTGTCAGGGCACACCTCGAGAAAGGACGATACTGCAGGTCCCACGACGAAGTACTGACTGTCGCCTAGGAGTGTAGATAGATATTCCAAAAGCTGAGGCAACGTGGATGGATCTAGTCTATAGCATTTTGGAATGGCTAGTGCTGCAGCTTTGCGCACATGAGGACTCATATCTCCACAACCACGTTTAATGGCCAACGACACGATCTGGTTAATAACGGGAACCCTGATCCCCGACATTGTCCGCAAAGCCATGGCGCGCACTTGAGGATTCTGATCCGTCAATGATTTTTGAATGGCGTTGATAGAGAGGAGTGCGAGATCCGGTTCGGACTCGGCATGGTGAAGTAGGTAGATGTAGACTAGTTTCTTCACCTCGATATTTGGGTTCGCGACGTTCTTCACAACTGAGGAGAAGAAGGGTAGACATGGTTCGCCTCTATACATTAACTGGATACTCTGTCAGCGCCTTTCATTAACCATATTAGAGTGCATCGATCATACAGCTATGACTTTCCGCAACCCGTCCAGTATATCCCGATCACTCCTGCTGTCGAGGAGCTTCTTGATCTGCGAAAACGAGATATGGCGGTATGGTGAGTTTGATTTGAAAGCGCCCCGGGAACTGCTGGCGCTTTGAGCGGCTTCGATTGTGAGCTCCCGAGCTGTAGATACCATATAAGTATATGCTGATGCTCCATATGACCGGGGAATCTTAAAACGGGCAGCGGGTTAATTACCTGTTTCCAGCATGGAGGAAATGCGCGAGATCGACTCCATTTTTCAATTTGGCCCCAGCAGCTGCGCGCGCCCGCAGCTAATCTGGTGTAGTCGAGCAGCTCATGGAATAGAAACGGAATGGTGGAACAAACAAGGCGGTGGGCGGGGGTGAGTTGGTGTTGGTAGTGCGCAGGATGACGCTGTGGTTGAAGTTGCCGAGTGATGGAGCTTTGGTGGCGTTGTTGTCTTGTCCCTCGCCAAGTACGACAACGACGACACACCCAAGACATCAACTGTGATATATCGATGGATACACGCCTGTTGTGCTTTGCAATATCTGCACTGAGATATAGACGAGTGAAACTATTACTATGACATTTATAGTCTCACCCAAACATCTATCTTGCGGAACAGAGCAAGATCTCTCTCCCCTTGGCGAATGCCCCTCGATATGGTCTCCAATCGCAGCCCAATTATCCTATCTCTAGACTCCACAGGAGACTTAGTGGAACATCTACTTGCAAGAGACGCGCCTGCGACCACACTGATTGTATGCTCTACCAGAGATGCCTTTTTACAGCAACTGTGCGCTGCAGTGACGTCAACTGAACAGGGAACTGAACAGCCGCCCTCACCACAAGATGACCACGGCATGGACTACCATATATCCTCAAATTGTCGGTTTTACAATACCATAGGGTTGATTGCTCAGTCTAAAAAGGTCACATTGGCGTTTTGCCCAAGCCTTGAGCATTTTCGTGCTTACATATCTGTTTTCCGACGTCGGCGGCTGCCGTCACCTCAACAAGAGCACGGTCGTCTCTCATACAGAAGTAGGCCTGTACTGGCTGTCCTTGGTCTGATTGCACTTCATTACGATACGAAGGAGTTTTCTGCCCAGGGCATTGCGAAAAATCTTGCACTCACTGTTGAGATTGCTGCTAGGGAGGGGTTTAATTTGACCTTGTGCGAGTGCGTTGTTGTTGGTCGTGAAAATGCCAGTGGTGGTCGCCTGTGGGATGCTGAAGTGCCTCTGCTAAGCGGACAGACACTCGTGGCGGGAACTGAAAGTGCTCATACAGGGCGGACTGTGAAAGTGAATCAAGTTGCGAGAAGATGGTTTTATTTTGTTTGAGTGAACAAAGTATTTACAAAGACGAGAAGGAATCCTCCTTGAATTATGGAACCTGCCCCAAGTTCCCCAAGTTTATGCAAGAAAGCCCCCGAACCAGAACCGGGAAAATAATACCAAATCAACCTTGAAACCATAAGGGTATCCTGGAAAAAAGAAAAAAAAAAAAAAAAGGCACGCCTAACCGCTCGATCGAACACCCAAGTCCTAACTCCTAAAACCCGAGCCCAATTTGAACCGACAATCAATTCTCAAAGACATTTTTCCATTTCCGTGATGTAAAGCTTGATGTGGGACTCTAACTTCAAGTACTCGTCGTGTGCGTTGTGAATTTCATTCTCGATATTTTCTTTGAGGTCGACCATCTGCAGTAGAGGTTAGTTGGGTGAAATTCCAAGCCACAAGTATTTGAAACTGTTGTAGACAGTTTCTGCGTCTGGTGTGTCACCTTCTTCTCTGTTTGCTCGATCCGAATTCTCCGCCTTTCCATGTCGCGCTGCTTCTCGGCACGTTCCTCGCGAAGCTGCTTCTGAATTTCCCTCAGCTCCTCCATCCGCGCCTGTGCTGATTCCTGTTTCTCTCGGCTACTTCTCCTTAGCGCTTCCGTCCGTTCGTGCCAACGAGCTAGTTGTCTTTGTAGAAGTTTCTCCGTTTGAGCCACTTCCCGGACTGTATTTCCCCGCTCTGTGAGCGCGTCTCTGTTCCGAATGGCTCGAGCATCTTCTTCCTCCTCCTTCTGGAGTTCTAACGCAATGTCTTCTAAAACTTTTACACAACTTTGGACATCATTGGAAACAACATTAAATGTGTCCATTGATGTCTGTAACGCACGCATCCTCCTTTCCATATTATCAATCTGCAGTTTGTCCCTCGTTAGACTGTCCGACAACTCGGTTAGAGACGCCTGAAGCGACGCTGGGCTTTGTAATACGTATGGCCGTAACTTCTCACTCTCCTGTTTGCTCTTCAAGATTTTCTCAGTCATCTCCTCGAGATAGGTTTGTTTTCGGGCCTTCTCCATCTTAACTCGCTCGAGGGTTTCAGCAACACGCTCTTGACTCCGCCTCAACTCCAACAATCTGATTTTTAATTCATCATTCCTTTTAATCTTTTCGTTCACGGGTCCTTCCATCGCTTTTTGCTGCCTGCTCATCTCCGCTAGTCGCTGTTGCATTTCCTGGTTCTCCGCATATAAAGCCTCAATGCGTGCCTTGGTCGTTTCGGATTTACTAAAATGCTTGTCAATCACGCTCGTTTGCGTTTCGCGAAACCGGACAAAATTAATAAGGTAAGAGAATATTTTGACAAGACGGTCGTGTGTAGGTTTTGTAAGATCGGTAAAGGCAAAGTCGTTGACACCGCACTATATATATCAGTTGGAAATTGCGCATTATAAGTATACATAAGAGGACATATATCCAGCATACCTCAACCATCAGCTTTCGCAGGGACATGAAGAACCCCATCAGATTGCGAGTGTCGGGCGGGATGAGATCGACATGGTCTGGACATATATCCTCCGCAGCTGCGCGCATAGCCGGCTCGACAGTCTCTCGGGTCGCATTCATTAGTAGCTCGGCGAACGATTCGAAGACTAATTGGATCTGTTGCGGATTCGGCTTAACCAGGTCGGCCACGGAGAACGGGACACCAATATCGTTTATACACCCTGCGATTTCCCTGTCTGGCTGCAAAAATAATTATTATTAGCAAACACCGGGTTGCACTTATGGATACAATACAATAAAACTATATCTGCTCACAAGTCGCATCAGCGCATCACTATCGTCTTCCTTCTTCTTGCTCCGACCACCACCCTGCTGTTGATGGCCCCCATGCCCGTGCTGGTTCATTCGGGAATTGAACGCCATATTGCAGATACATAAAAGAAAATGCGCATCGGGCAGTTATAATCTTCGTGGCGCTAAAGCGATAAAAAGGTTTATATATAGATTTCGCTCACGATTGAATATATTTCTTCTTCTATTGCGGCCGTGGACGGAAGGAATTTGTTTTGTTTACGCAGGGACGATGACAGCATGCATCCAAAAGGGGTTTAGCGGACGTGAACGAGGGGTTGGTTGTTGCAAATAGTACAAACAGGGCGGCTTGTTTTTTGGTGGGAGAAAGTCTTGGCATCAACTCATCCGCGATTTCAATCATTCTCCGACTGCTGCGTGTCTTTCAAGCTTCAAATATTATTCTCTTGTCGCAGATCTCACTGATATGTGATTGGCTCCATGGTGCAGCTTAGTTTTTAAAATATTAAAAACTTTCTGCCCGTAGAAAGACTTCAGCCATCCCAAATATCGAACCTCTGACTCACTTCCCCAAGCAGGGGCATAATACCTCCCCGCTGATAGCTTCTTTGCGCTCATTTCTTGGTGCAATAAACGACTCGCACTTATACCTGGCGCCATCTACCTGCGTGCCGAATATTAACACCAGCTAGCGCAATTACTATCTGCCAGTGGGCGGACGTTTTCGCGCCCAATGGCAACAACCATGTCGTCCGCAGACAGTTCCAAGCCTTTTGAGTATGCATGCACTACACTCCACCGGATAAATTCTACTGAGTTGAACATGGGCACTGATACTCCGCTTACAGCATCGTTGCCACATACAATGACCTCCTCCTTTCCGACCCCGACCTTACAATGCCAATCGCGGCCATCGAAGCATTGGTTCTCCTCCTAACTCACTCCCCCTCCTCCACAATATCCGAAACCTTGGATCTACTAGAAAGACACACGGCACACTTAAAACGCTCAATAGCGAACCCAATTGGTCTTTCAGCAGGTACTGATCTTTTCCAACGGTACCTCATAACAACACTACAAAGACCAGGCCAGCTAGGGCCCGCGGGAGATTTCAATGCAATCAGGTCGCATCTACTGACCAACGGCCGGTTATTCATCAAGCGCGCGAAGGAAAGCAGGGATCGGATTGCTGCATTCGGAAGAGGCTTTGTACGGGATGGAAGCACGGTGTTAACGAACGGCGATTCTAGGGTGGTAGGGGCCTTATTGCGGAAGGCTGCGGATGAGCTGAAGGAATCTGGAGCCCCCGCGGCTAGATTTCGGGTTATTTACGTGTTGTCGAACGTTCACACTAAGGATGGCAATGGCGATGGTAGTTCGTCTGGGTCGGACCTGGAAGGTATGGATACGGTCACCGCACTTAGATCTAGAGGCGTTCCGGTAGCTACAATCCCGGAGTCGGCAGTGGCATATGCACTGGGGATGGTGGATATGGTTATTGTGGGCGCGGAGGGCGTGGTTGAGAACGGCGGTATCATATCGCGCCTGGGGACGTATCAAATTGGTCTTCTGGCCAAAGCGGAGGGCAAGCCATTCTATGTCGTTGCAGAGAGCCACAAGTTCGTCAGGCTGTACCCACTCGGCCAGTACGACCTGCCGATCAAACAGAATGTTGTCGATTTCAAAATGGACCAAAGCAGCGAGTCGGCCAGGACAACCTCCAGCGACCAAACAGGAAGCCAAAACCACGAACATGCAACGAAAGAACCAAGGAATCACCTCAACACGCCACCTAGCGAGCAAACGCCGACACCTACCGAGGAAAAGATATCCATAAAACAGGATGCCGTTGATTTCACACCTCCTCATCTCATCTCCGCTCTGATTACAGAAAGCGGCGTGCTTACACCTAGTGCCGTTAGTGAGGAGTTGATCAAGATATGGTTTTGAATTTACAACCCTTTGCCTCAGACTCTTTAAATACTTCTTTTCTTTCGTCTGTCGCTGGTTGAGAAGTTATGCATCAATCGAAAGATGATATGGAATCGTTAATAGCCTTTTCCGCCTCGATGTTTCGTGAAAAATATCCGGGCCGTTCTGGCTGCTTCCCAACGGTTGCTGACAGTAGCTTCGTAAGCTCCTTATTAGCCAACTATATAATCCTTCATTCAAAAGCAGAGCCAGACACGGGTGGCATAAAAGATAGGAAATAATAAAGTCATCTTAACTTAATATACATCAGTACATTCACTATTAGTATTTAATAGGTATCATAATTTAACCCAAAACGCCCACCCCAATTTTTACTGAAAAATATATATTACACCAAAATTAGAAAAGGAAACCACATGAAAATAAGCTATGAATAAATAAAAAAAATAAAACAAAATAACAATAAAAACAAACCAAGCATGTATATATCCCTTTAGGCCAAGAAAATCATGTCTCTCACAGGAACTTTCCTAGTCTCCTGCGCCGGAGTTTTTGCCATGTGTTTTTTCACTTTTAAATTTCATCCTGGGGCGGGCCTGGTGCTATACCTTCTGGCTGAAGGGGGATGACTTTGTATGTCCGTGGCTATCACCCCCTCCCCCCATCAGGCACATCCCCCCATCAGGCACATTGATGATAAAGGTGAGGTGATAGGGTATGGAGTGTTCGGAACATGATGTTACTTGCTGTTCTTCTCCTTGGGTTATTATTTGGTGGCGCAAGCTCGCAAAGGGGCGCACATCTTAGCAATGAACGATGGACCGTTATCGGGGTGGTCCGGCTCTGCGTCTGGTTGAATTTGGTAAAGCGAATGATGATTCTTCATTCCTGGTGTGGACGTGTAGAATGAGTGTTTTCAAAAAAATTGTGTTTCATGGAGTGATACCAGGTACCGCCAATCATGCTACCTGTATATGTCTGAGGGTGAAATATAGCCAAATTCAAAGGTAATAAGAGTTGCGTGAGCGTTCTGTCTCGCATTGCAGATATGGTGTGTCGCGGTTGTTAACTTCTTTCGTGCATACATGGCCACATATGTCGGATTGTATATCAGCTGAATTTCCTCGCGAGAGGTCATTCATCCATAGAGGTGTAGAGTTATCATCGGAACATGGAGTAGCGACGGAAAATGCTGTTTATCTCCAGGAGGGCCCATCTGTTCTTCCCCCAAAGTCTACCTATTCATTCCTCCCCCTCTTCCTCAGGGATAGGAGGAAGAATATCAATCTCGTATCTCGCATGCGTGCCCAAAACTTCCCTATACATCTGAGCCCCAGTACGAGGAATGGGAATCCTGTCAGGCATCCTTGGCCGTGTATTCCTTCTCGCAATCCCTTCTACGAAGAGGACAATCATGCATGACAGTAGAAGGGCATTGCGAAAGTATTCTAAAATGGCGTTGGTGCGCAGGGAGAAGATTTGAACTGTCTGGATGAATTTGCTGATGGCATACATGGTCATGCTTCAACCTTTTCTGGAGTGGATGTGTATGTAGATCTGTTCAGCGATATGCAGATGACGTCCTGGAGTAGATATATGTATATAGTCAAGCATAGAGATATGTAGTTAATTTTATCACTTGTGAGAAGCATGAGAGTAGACGTGCATGGGAAAGAGGGTATGGGAATGAAAAGGAAATATAAGAAATAGAATAAATCGGAGGAAGAGATAGATACTGTTTCCTTCTGACGACATTCTTTTGAGTTTTCGAAGATACACCTCAGAAAGCAAGATTAGATGAACTTATTCCTTAAAGGATGGAGGCAGCCGTAATAAGTAGAGACCAAAACTATAATATAGACATGTCCGTAATGGCCACAAAGTATGCGAGCGCCGAAAGAGTTCATCATGCATCTGGAGAACTAAAAACGGGTTGAACACAGTTTTGACAGATATTAGGCTCAAAAAGGTAAAGTAGAAATGGTGTTTCATGTCGTGAGCAAGAAAAACAGTAGATGAATGCAATGTAACTGATCTCTACATCTGTAGAGCTAACCTCGACCTCTCTCGAGGTCTCAGGCCATGTATCGCCTAGGTATGACGAACAGTAGAAGACATTTCCTTGTAGTTGTAGAGCTATTCAGAATAACTTTCAAGTTACATTTTGTCAGCTTGCTGGAGAAAAGCAAGGTGTGTGTGTATATATCAGGTCGTTAACGAGGATTTGTATGTCGACGAGAATAGTTGAAACGTTAAACGCAGCATAAGCTGGGGTGAACCTAAAAATAGGCGGATTTAGCAGGGCAACGCGGCTGGCGAGAAAACTCTATTTTTTTAAGCTTTGTCGGGAGAAGCTTATTTTAGCCGCCAAACCACCAGCGTCAAAACTGGAGGATGGGAAGGTTGAGGATATGCAAAGTTAGATATTTTGTAGGATTGCTTGAACGGCACGTGTATATAGTTCGACTGAAGTGGAAAGGTCTGTTGACGGCCCCGAATATAGCTAGTGAGGCATCGTAGGTTTGGATGAACCATAGTATAGTTACTCCGTACGGAGTACTAACTAGCCATAGTGAGCTCCTACTCGAATTAATCACATCAGAGCACTTGGAAACGGTAGCCTGCAATAACCACCGACATTGGTTATCTATCTATCTTAATAGTTAAACTATTTATAAAAGGGATGTCTATCTAAAAGTAAAAGTAAAATAGAATAAACCTAAGAACTACTTAGAAACAAAGAGATGTCATAATCATAGAAAAACAAAACATCATTAATCGCGAGTTTAAAAACGAGCACATACACACAACTCCATCATGACTGAAATTCCCCAAACTCCCCACCGCCATCATCGTCATTATCACCGAAGCCCAGGACCACCTTATTCTCTTCCGTGTTCAACATAGACTGCGGCCTTCGCCGTCGATCGCTCCGCCCGCCGGATGGCGGGGGCGCGATCATTGGAAACGCCGTAGAGGAGGAATCGCCATCTCCATCCCCTCTCGAAGCCGGCGCTGGCGGCGGAGGGAGGCAAAATAACGCCGTCTGTTCCTCCTGGGCAGCCATAGCGGGGCTGACCAACTTATCCGCGGTGTTGGGTTTCTTCCCACCAATATTGATACTGATCGTCTGCCCGGGTTTCAGGCTGTAATCTCTTGGCGGCTGCTGCGCTGGGCTTCCCGGTGCCGGTTTCTGTTGTGGGCCTGATCCTGGTAATACCCTACCCGTTTTGGCTGTTGTGGTAGCGGCGGCCCTTCCTGTACCTGTCTGCCCACCCTGGGCAAACCCCAACACCTTCCGCGCCTCTTGCAGCGTGACGCCGAAATCGAAGGCTTCGCTTCTATCTTCGAATCCAATGCCTAATATTGCTTTTCGCCCGTCATTCATAACTCTTATCGCGAAGAACCGAGAAGAATCGATGGCATGCTCGACGGCGCCTGGATCGGTGTACGGGGCTGCCGCGAAGAGGTTTCCGGTGCTTGGGTCCTCCAGGACAATGTCTACTTTGACTTTTTCTTGCGGACTAGCTACCGCCGCCGCTATGGTAGTTGCTGCTGGGATGCCTGGACGGGGTGGTATCTGTGTCCGTGTGTGCGGTTGCGGGGGAGCAGGGAGGGTAATTGCGGTCTCAATAATGCGAAGTCGGGCAGTGAAGATCTGGCGGGTCTGGTTGTTATTCTTCGGATCTGGAACGGTCCAATCGGCAGCGGCGTAGCCCTTCATAGAGGTCAAAGGTGGAATTGCATAGACGTGGACGGGATGGCAGATGAAAAGGACTCGTTGGATAGCATCGTTCGGGAGCTCTTTGCCCGTTGCGGGATCGATTTGACCAGACATTCTAGAAGTAAGTTAATTTCGGTATGTGGGGGGATGGGAAAAAGCTCGCATAGAGCGCTTTGAATGGTACGCTCCGAAACTATACACAGGATGTGCGGTGTTTCCCTTCCATCTTGTTATGATTGCTGAAGGCGGCGGGTGCAACAGCTGGAAACCCCGCTGCCTGGTGGGGTAATAACAATACGAAATTTTGCGCAGTTGGGCTATTTAAGTCTCGTATCGATTGGTAATGTTGTGACGCACCCTACGCCATAACTGTTCCGTTTTTGGAACCCCACTCTATTTTGAATATTAATACCAACTTGTGTAACTTCTATGTGTTTGTCGATATTCCATTCTCTAGGAATTACATGTCTGGAAAATGTTGATACAAGACAACGCGGATGGGTTTCGCGTGTTGTTTTACTTGTGCGTCATCTTAACTATGCATTCCTGGATTTAGTTGAGGCTGGCATCTATCTTCCTGACGGATCCATGGATATACACCCAGGAAGGACGTTTGTTGCAGGCCAATGATTGTCCAGGCAGGAGAATCCAGACCAATGCAAAAAATTGGATCTACTGGTGAACCCATGGGAATGCAGAACCTATCTGCGGACTTTGGAAGCCATCCTCAAACTTTTGTCTCTTGGATTATGACGATATTTCGGTGATTTGTCACAATCTCTATCCGCAGAAGCATGGCCGTAGAAAAGCTCTGCCCCTCAAAAATCAGCTTACGTGATGATGATGATCATCATCATCATCTTGGACATCATCATCTTGGACACTTTCCGCAGAACATGTATCTTCAATGGGCTCCTTGAAAACATACCCCGTGGAAAGGCTAATGAGGAGAGGAAAATATATTTAAAAACCATCTACAACGTCCGCAGGATCAATCACCTACAGCCGGGTAATATCTCAGGACGTAAAAGGATCGAACGCTGTCAGGGGCAAGCCGACGATGTAGAACTTCCAAGACGAGGGTGATTTGATTTGCCTAATGCCTAATGAACCCTTTTCATTCCAACTAAGTTTTTCTAAACCAGATGGGATGGATTGGATGGATTGACAACCGTCGGTCCCTGTTCTTAAAGAGTTCTGCTGCTGAAAACCAGGAAACATGGAAAACTAATATCAAACTCACCAGTTTGTTAGTTGGTTATCACTGGAACAGGACAAGCAACCGCAGACGAGATTACGACACGATGTCAAGCGAATTAACGCACTATTTTGCTGGACAAAAAGACACTGCAGCCAGTCTCATTGCGACGCCACTGTTCATCCACCGCGCGATGGGAATCGACATTTCGAACGAACTGTGAGAAAGCAGAGAGACATGGTTCCTCGCCGGATCCGGCCTGCCAGATGGTGAAAAACCAAATATGCTGACATATTTAGGACATTTTTTTTATGATATTATACGTAGAGGCAATATTATTTTCAGTACGGCGCCATCCAGTATGCTTGTTTGAGTTAATGATAACTAGTTATTGGGTGGAATGTTAACGAAAAAAGAGAATGTTTATGGAAAAGCAAGTAGACAGGTTCTCCCGCTTTCTTTGTCTCAAGTCTTTTTCTTTCTTTTTTCTTTTTGCTCGTTTCTTTTCCGTGACTGTGCCACCCAGCTTGATAGCGGGGTCGTTGATTGCTTCTGACACCGCTGTAGATCGGATCTCTCCATCCAACCAACCCCTTCGCCAGGCGCGCCAACGAACAAGTTTCAGGAACAGGGCTCAAGAAGCAGGAACAGGAATGGCCAGTTATATATATCCCCAACCAGAGGATCGTGTTGGCAGGGCAGGAGGAGACTGGGCCTTTGCCCTGAGAGCCGTAGCCCATTTCCCGAGATTTTGTTTCGAAATACGAGCCACGAGTCGAGAGGGGAAGAAGAATAATGGTTGTGAAGACAATGATACTTGGCAGTTGGAACCATGTCAGATAAAATCAGATCAGCGGAAAAAACGAAAGAATTTTCTCTCGACTGAAGTCCGTTCAGAAATTTGTATTGCAAGAATCAGTCAGCCCTATAACTGTGTCCAGCAAAAGTCAAAATAAAGTATCATAGTAGTCAGGTTTAGAGTGTGGTAGAATTTGCGGGGAGGTGTCCCCTGCTATCTACTACCCCAGCATGCCCAGCCTAGGTAGATAATTTCAGGGAGTGTCGAGAAGAGGCTGAAATGAGGCGAGCGTTGATGTATAGGTATCTTTTGTTGGCGGTTGGCGGTTGGCGGTTGGCGGCTGGGCAAGCTGGCAAGCTGGCAATTTGGCAGTTTGGCAGTTTTTGGCAGATGGATTTGCCCCAATCCAATGCAACCATATCCGGACACAAGATAATCCAGGCCGAGACAACCAGCGGTCCAAACAACATGACATATCATTGCCGGAGGCTCCACGGTGCCTGGTACCTAGGGACGCGGGGCGACTAGGCCCAACACGGCTAGGGCCGGAGGTGGTGAGAGTGTTTGTGGTAGGAGCGAGTGAGACCTACGCCGGCTGCCCCTTCCTGTTTCGCAGCGCCCGTCTCGCGGTTCCCCTGTGTGTGCCTGCGGCGAGTCTGTGGGCGAGGCTCCTCCTGCCTGGCCGGGCTAGTCTGTCTCTCTTTTCCATCGCATCCAAACCTCATCTTCAACTTTAACTTTAACTTCACCTCCTCTCCATGTCTATCCACTCTACACGCCCACCGCCACGTAACACCTCTTCATCTAAACGGCTTGCTTTCAACGGTTCCAAGTCTCGCTTTGACCCCTGATAACGCGTTGTCTTATTTTATTATCCTAACTTAACCCTCTCCCACTCTCCCGCTCTCCCACTCTTCCACTCTTCCCACCCTGGGTACCCAACAATGCCCGAATGTACCCTCTCTGGGAATACCGTCGCGGTGTTGCCGCCATCCTTCATTCTGACCTCACACTGAACCTGGTGTAGTTGGTCCTCAAAAGACACACTCTGTGTGCCCCTTTGATTTATATTATCCGTTGTACTGTACTGTGTTCCGCGTTGAAAATCTATCGCCATGGCCATATGGCCCTTTGGCCGCCGTAGGAAGCGGCCCCGAAAGGCTGCGGATAACGAGGCTTTTTCGGGTTCTGCAGCACCTGCTGGCGGTGATGCTCTGGTACATGTACTCTCTCGTGGCTTTGGCGGCCATGGCTCCCATCAACATCAACCTAATTCCCATAGTTCCATCTCGGGCTCTGGAAAAGCTACCAGGAGAGGCAGCAAGCGGAGGAAACGAAATAATATCCCCCCTACAACAGCTTATGATCTACACCACCGTAACGACAACGACACTGTCCGTCTGACTGATTTACCTCCCGGTGCCATGTCCATCGCTTCCGCTCGCTTCCATCGTCAACCTGCTTCGGTTGATTCTTCTCTCTCGAGGAACTTTGCCTTATCGCCCTCCAACTATCACTACTCCCCAAGCACCGCCTCGCAGACGAGCCTTGGACAAGCTGCTCCAACACTACACGGTCGCCGGACCAGCACCGAAGCTACCATATTCAAACTGAAACCTTCAAAATGCAGACGGAATGATTATTCGAGGGAGTTGGAAATTAAAAATATGACCAGCCACGTGACTGTCCTACGACGACCTTCTATTGTGTCCCCTCCCATGCAGTGGTGGGAGTCCAACAAGCGAGGGACGAGAAACATAAAAACTGCTCATGGGCCGGTATCTTCCCAAGTCTCTCTACACGTTGATTCGGGTCGAAGCTCCCCCTTTGATATGGAGTCATGTGCATTCAAAATCAGCTCTTTCGCGGCTTTGACACCGCGGCCAATTCTGAGATATGCGGAACAACCGCGGTACGGACTGGAGACAAGGGGTCATTCTCGAGCATCCACAAAGAAAGACTGGAGACAGGTTATCCCGGCGGAAGATCTTACACGTATATCCCGCATCCACGATCTAGCAGATGATATGGATGCTAGTGCTTTGAAAGAGCTGATGGAAAGAGATCGCCGACGAAAGGAAATGAAGCGGCTAGCTGACCAACAGAAGCTTCAGAGAAAACTACAAAGAAGAGCAGACTTCCAGCGTGAACATGAACGACGCAATCCTCCAGTACCATCGCAACTTGCAACTTCAGGAGATGGCGTTGGGCTCCCTGCTAGTCGTGTACATGGTGCTACCGAAAAGATTGGTGTGACTCTTTCAAGCCGTATTGCAAATGCCGTGAAGGCCACTGCTTCTTCAGAGTCATGGCTACGAGACCCATCCAAGGAAAGTCTACACGATACACCCTCTCGTCCGAAGGACCAAACCTTGTCAAGGGTAAATGGAAGTTCTGCTGTATGTTGCTCGCCGCGAGGGCGTTCAAGTAACATCAGCCGCGATATTAGCATGTCGGGGATGAGTTGTCAGCATTCTATTGAGCTAAGCCACGGGGCCAAAGCCGCGGACAAACTAGGTGCTTCTCAGGCCCCAGAGACCGCACGAGGATCGGCAGGAGATATGCCTACACAGAATTCTGAACTCGAGAAGGGTCATTCCGATAGCGCTGGAAAGCTTTCAACCTCGTGGACTGCCTTCTTCCGACGGGGGGGTTCTCGATTTCGACGGCCAAATGCGGAGCGGACAAAGACACCATCAGAGTTTTCAATCCCATCCAGAGAATCGTTTCAAAGAATCAACCAGCAGCCAGCATCAGCGCAACCCATTCCGATTCCGGACCGAAGCTACTTGCGCCCCAAAATGCCTCCTCGATCCCAGTCCAAATTTACAGAACATTTTACCGAGCCAATTACTAAATTCCCACCTCCTCCCGGGCGCGATTTCCAATCGTCAAGCGACCCTCAGCTTTCGTCTGCCGCTGTTGGATTACCCATTGCGGGTATTACTGCTAATAATGAGCATTACAACGTGGACAGGGATTCTGCCGTTGTTACGTTTGAACAGTGTGACTGCAACCGTTCATCTGGGGCCGGCAGCCCAGAAACCAATGCTGAGAGCATCTTTCTCGCCCACTCACTCGCCTCTATAAACTCTGAGGGTTCGTGGCTTTCCGGGAGACCCTCCCGGCGCCTCTCTCAGCCCCCGAAGAATTCAAGCAGCGCGAATTCCACTAAAGAGATTCTAGACGAGTATGAAGAATACAAGTATAGGGTTGATAACGATTATGACCCTCAACCACCTATCCCTTTAGAGGAAGCCGTCAATGAGAACGAAACGCTTCATGCCAGCGTCGGAAAACGCGCTCTTCTCGTCCGCCCAGACCACCGGCAATTCTCCAACAAGGACAATATCATCGTCGACGACAACCACAAGCACCTTTACATGGAAACAGAAGGAGTTTGAGCAGACACTAACTCCCCTAGCCCAGATAGCCCGCTCGAAGCCGACCCGGAACTCGGTCGCGCGACTAGTGTGGATCTAGGGAGACAACATGCTCGCCACATTAGTTCCGGAAGTGCAAAGCTTTTGGAGATTCCACGGCGGCCGTCGGAGGCTAAGCGGCTTAGTGTTGATTCTGCAGGGAGTGGTGCGTTGCCCAAAGACGCGTAACGCTGTGGTTGGGTTGAGTGAGCAGTGGTGGAAGGAGAGAAGTGTGGGATGGAAGGAGCTGATGGTGGAGATGATTGATGACAACGACGAAGAAGCATTGAAGGAGGAGAAGAAGAAGATCTTCTCGAACTGAATTATCAGGCAAGCCCGCCCACATTCCTTTAGTTTTGGTTTTATATTTTTCCTTGGTGCGATATTTTTCGGAGAATGGATTATACACAATAGTGTTGTCACTAAAATGAAAAAAAAAAAAAAAAAAAAAAAAAAAAAAAAAGAATGGTGCGATATTTTTCGGAGAATGGATTATACACAATAGTGTGTCGTGGAATGGAAAAAAAAAAAAAAAAAAAAAAAAAAAAAAAAAAAAGAATGATAAAAAGAAAAAAGAATGATAAAAAGAAAATGAAAAGAAAATGGAAAAAAGGCAAGGAAAAGAAGAAACAAAAAGAACCTATGAAAAAAAGGCGAGGAGGAAAAAACTCAACTTGTCAACAATGCCAAGGTTAACAGCAGACTGACCACACTCATTTATTATTATTTCCTTGAATCTCTCATCTCTCAACCACTTTTTCTTTTGTTATCTCTTCACTTTCAACTCCATACACTATTTTGGGCTTTGTCATGATAATTCAGGTGGAGAATCACACTTTTTCATCTATTTATCTTTGCTTTTCATGAAATTTACAAATGATTCATCTTTCACATGAAAATGTCTTTTTGCTACACTTGCATCATTTATACATTATCACTTCTTCTATTAAGTCTGCATAATTAGGCTTTGTTTGACACTTTCTCTACAATTCTGTCTGTTTTCTGATTCTACTCTCAAGTATTTTGCTTTGATTATTGATTCTTCCTGTTCTCACCCTTGTCTCATTTTCACTCTGGTTCTTTTCTTCTGTGCGGATTTCACTACTATTCCCCATCCTGTTTTTTTTTTTTTTTTTTTTTTTTTTTTGGGGGGGGGAGGGGTTAAGTTCTTTCAGTGTGTGTCTTTCTTGATTTACTTCTTTCAGAAATTGGGGGAAAGGGAAATAGCCGTAGCAGTAGTGGCTTGTTATTTGGAATAGGGAAGGGATATTTGAATATTAGGGAAACTGAGAATGGAAATGGAAATGAAATGAATTTCAATGAGAGCAGTTTAGTTAAGTTACAGTTACATACATGTGTGAACAGGACATGTGAATATAATAAATGGATTAGATCTGAACTGGAAGAAAATGACTAGAATGAGCATTCCCTCTCAAGGATATTTGATTTACTTCATTGTTGTATTTATAATAAAAGAGTCTGTCTGCTCGAAGGCTCTTCATCACCATCAAATCATTAAGGTGTGGCGCACGCAAGTACAGTACAGTACGGTGCGTAATAACACCATACCCAGCCTGGCATGTATCTCCGATGTCACGCGCGGTTCGGTTCTGTTTACCACCAACCGCGACCTATTATTATTTATTTTTATTTTCAAGAATGTATTTTCTATTTTCTTCTCTTTTCCCTCTTGATCGAAGCTCAATCAATCAAATCAATTAAACAAAATCATCACTGTGATTTCAAATCGAAGAACCCGAGACAACTCCGGTATAAACAACGCCCCTGCTATTATAACTAACTACCTACCATTGTTATGATTACACACACACCTGCTACCGGCAACACCACGAACGCAGTTAACTAAAAGAATTGCGAAATCCTCTCTGTCTCTCTCTCCGTCCCCCGTTCGCATCGGTCGGCAGCACCCGAGATACTCCGGTTCCTCGCACTTCTCCGACATCCCGAATCATAAATATAAATACGGGGAAGCCAGTCGATTGATTTGGAATCATCCTGGCTCACAATTTGGAAAATTAAAAATAAAATATAATAAAATATAATAAAAATAATAAAAATAATAAAAATAATAAAATATATATAAAAAAGAAAGAAAGAAGAAAGAAAGAAAATACAAAATACAAAAAACAAAAATAAAAATAAAAAATAAAGAAAAAATAAAAATAAAAATAAAACTAAAAACCAAAAAAACCAAAAAACCAAAAAAACAAGAAGACAAGGGGGGCGGCTGTGAATCCAAAGATTAATAAAAATATTACAATTTCCATATAAGTGGTTAACCCAGCAAACAGCAACAGGATGCTCCCGAAGACGTCATCGCGGGCTCTCTTTCTGCACACAATTCAACATCATCAACCACGCCAACCCCTCTTCACCACTTCCACTTCCACTTCCACTTCCACTTCCACTTCCACTTCCACTTCCATTTCCACTTCCACCACTCTCACCACTCTCACCACCACCACCACCACCACCACTCCTCCTCCTTCCGCCCCACTACGCCTATATAACTCGCTCCGCCCCTTGTCGTTCTTCCTGCGCACGACATCTACCTCCATAGCATCAGCCTCTGCTTCCTCGCTGAGTACCAATCGCTCCTTCACCTCTTCCGCCCGTGCCAGCTTTAGACCTACCGCCGGCACCATGGTTGTTCATAATCTGAAAGAGTGAGTGTGGTTTTTATTTATTTATTTATTTATGGTTGTGGTTGTGGTTGTGGTTAATAGTTATCCACTCCCATCCCATCTCCATCTCCATCTCCATCTCCATCCCCATCCCATCATCCCATCATCCCATCCCAACCGAAAAAAAAAAAAAAAAAAAAAAAAAAAAAAAAGGAAATATACAACTAACCCCCCCAAACAGCCGCGCCTCCTTCGACTCCGCCGTCGCAACAACCACCCCCGCCAGCACCGCCAGCACCGGCCAGCCCCCCAAACCGCTAATCGTCGTCGACTGCTACGCCACCTGGTGCGGCCCCTGCAAAGCCATCGCCCCCAAACTCGTCGAGTTCTCCGACACATACCCAAACGTTGGCTTCTACAAGGTCGACGTCGACGAGTGCCCGGACATCGCGCAGGAGCTGGGCGTGCGCGCCATGCCGACCTTCATCTTCTTCAAGGACGGCCAGAAGGTCGATGAGGTGCTCGGGGCGATGCCCGCGGCGATTCTGGCGGCCATTAATAAGCATGTTTCGTCGTGAGTGTGTGAGTGTTTGGGGGTGGAGGGGAAAAAGGAGGGAGGTTGAATGGTATATTCTGGTTTTGGCTGCTTTTTGCCTTTTTTTTTTTTTTTTTTTTTTTTTTTTTTTTTTTTTTTTTTTTGTTTTTTTTGTATACTTAGTATGGAATGGTTTCCCGGTGAGGGATTGGGAATGGGAAATGTGGTAAATTACATATGATATAAAAAAAAAAACCGGAGACAGAAGAAAATAACAAGGATGTGATTTGATTTTAATATCTTGAATATGAATGATAGATATTTGTATTAATCAGAAAAGGGAAGAAATGAGTGAATCATATTTAAAACAGTGATCTCATATATACTATAACTACTGTGTTGTATCATATGAGTATTCTAGATTCACTCTTTTTAACTAAAGAATTACTGATGTGATTGAAGACTGAGATGAATCATCAAAAGAATGAAGAGCACTTGAAAAGTAAGTTATGACTTGAATTTTACACTTTCACTTTATTCTTTTCTTTCAATGTTCTCTACTTTCTGATGAAGATGATGATAAAGATGAATGGTTTGATTGATTGTTATTCTAATCTGATCAACAGCGCATTCTATATTAGTCACGTAGCTCCATATTATACAGCCAATGTATAAGAGTAAAACTCACCCCTCTTTACTTCATCTAATGACTGTGTAGAATGAAGGAAAAATGAGAAAAAGAAGAGAAAAGAAAGAAAAGAATATAATATCACTCTCTGAGTAGTTAGGTTTTACATTTACTATATCTCTATGAACTGCATCACACACCTGGAACAGACAGAGAGAGACAAAAAAAAAAAAAAAAGAAAAAAAAAAAATTGATGAGAAGTACCTAAATCACAAGCGAAACTAAACAAAACACAAAGAGGTACATGGAACAGCTTTCCCAAGACATGCATGCATTACCCTGAAAATGATGATGAAATGTACAGAAGATATGTATAGAGAAAAAAAAAAAAAAAAAATAGGGGGGGAGAAGGGGAATGTGATGATTGATGCAGTTTGACATGGTTTGAACAGGGACAGAAGGGGAATAAGAGGAAGAGACAGTAGGCAGAGGGTATTAAAAAAGAAAAGTGAAAACAAAACATGTTATAAGAGATTTAAACACCAGACTGGGGAACCAAACATGAACATAGCGATCATCAAAAAAAAAAAAAAAAAAAAAAGGAACAAAAAATGTATGGAAACAAAAAACCGCTCTCCACGTATGTGTATGGTCTGTTTATGATGGTGTATGGGTTTGTATCGGGGGGTGTAAGCGGGCGACGGAGATTTTGTGTATCCATCCGCCAAAAAAGGCAAAGAAAAGAAAAGAAAAGACACAATGCGACGCCAATGCGATGATGATGATGAGCTAGTAGTTCAAACAAATGAGTAAAATGGAAAGACATATAAAAAAAAGTGGAAACCTCGGAGCGTGGGAGTGTGTGTATGCATAAGAGGGATGGAGGGATACAAAAAGCGCAAGGAAAAAATTGAAAAAACTTCGTGGGACCATTATGCAGGAAAATAGAAATTATCACCCCAATGATGAAAACTCCGCGCTGAGAGATAAGATGGAATAGGATGAGATGGGAGGCAGGTGACGAGGCGGAAAGGGGCGATGGGGGATGGGATAGCGGAAAGTGGCAAGGGAAAGATGAAAGGGATATAACAAATCGTTCAATATAGCGCCGTCATTATGAAAGGTGGAGACGGTGGGAGGCGGGAGAGGGAGAAGATAAATGGAGTAGGTGGACTTGCGACATGGGAGGATAGGATAGGATAGGATAAAGGGAGCCACGGCGATAAATGCTTAAGCGGTAATGTATGATGGCACTGTGAGATGTGCCACGTGAAGGTAATATTCGGAGGTTGTTTATTGATGAAATTTCAAGCGGTCTTAGTTGTATGTATGTATGTAATGTATGTACGGATGGATGCTGGTATGTATGGATGTGTGTAGCGTTGTTATATGTAAAGTTGCTCGGGTCCGTAGGTCTCATTCGTCGTCGTCGTCGTCTTGATAGTCGCTGTCATTGTCATCGTCACCATCACTACTATCATCCTCATCATCATCCTCATCATCATATTCATCATCGGTATCATCGTCTTTAGGGTTCGTAGCCTCCGAGCCTTGACTGGCACTAGGCGATAAGGTCCCGTCACTACTTAGGTTGCCATCTCGATCATTATCATCCTTTTCGATCGATTTCACCACGGTGACGTTGGTCTGATTCTGCTTGATGTGGTGTTTTCCCACGACAGGTTCGGCACTCAGATTGCGTGTGCTTGTGCCAGTATGGCCGTGGAAATTAACACGCTCAGTGTTAACATCGTCATTTCGGGTTTTATCATTCTGGTGGTCGTCACTTCGATTGGGGTTGTTGCATTTTTCGAGCTCATTGTCATCATTGTCATTGTCATTCTTAACTCCAACTGCAAAGACCTCACCGAGATCCCCGAGGATATCAACTGTGACATCCTCCAGCATACGACGTTTTGGACACCTGCCACGGCAACGGCGGGTAGGGGGTAAGATAATGCCATCTTCGTCGTCTAGGTCGCTGTCGTTTGCGGACCGTTTGCTTCTCACGCTATGGCGAGAAGAGGAGCGCGAGGAAGAATCCCAGCCAACTCCGGAGGATGGACTCATTGTCGATGATTTGGAGTAGTAGCCGCTACTGCGAGCAGGAAAGGGAGGGTTTGTAGTTGTGTAAGGGATTGGTGATCTGGGTGAGGAGCGGCTCTCGTTCTCGACTGATTTGTTAAGAGTGACAGGGAGTTTGGGGTTACGCTCTTCAATCATGGTGGTGAATGGCCCGTCATCCTCTGCTGGGACTTCATCTCGTCCAATGAGGGCTATCATCCAGTGCATATCAGCTGGATTAATGGTGGGGGAACTTGGGAACTCTGTCGGAGCAATCTCCGACTTAATTTCTTCGTCAATCTTCGGATGTTTGCGTTGGGCTTCTCTGTAGATAATATCTGCCCCCCGAAGTCGAGCTGAGAGCTTTGGATGACCAAAATGGGGTCCATCGAGATTCCGTACTGAGGAATAGTGTTGGAACGCCTGGAGAAATGTCAGTAAACATGATATACCTGAAGCTGGGAATGTGGGCGTTGGCATACATGAAAAGCTAGATGTATAACCTCCCGGTTGGGATCTGCCTCAGCAAAGGAGCTTTGGAATCTCTGAACTCCGTCCTTTGAATATAGCAGCACATCCAGGCCATAGGCTTGGCAAAAGGCTTGGATTTCAGGGGCGCCACCCCAAGAATTCTTTTCCGCCATCTCGTCAAGCTGGAGTGTAAACTTAGTTGCTTGCCCTTCTGCAGTAGCAACTCTGTCTACATTGGCATAACCTAGGCGGGCAGCTTGAGCAGCGCTCCTTCTGGGAGCTCGACGCTCTCCGCCTACATCGGCGGTAAAGTGTACGAAGTAGTCGGCGTTGTCCCGCATATGTTGGACCAAACGTGCTCGGATTTTAATGTGGCTCTCGACATCTCCATACAACTGGTCTGAGAGGGAGTAGAAGAGGCAATTTCCTAAAGAGTAAATCCACATACATTAGCCATCTATCCGATGTTGTCTGGCTTATATATAGCTGGGATAACGGAACAAGAAGAACAAAAAAAAAAAAAAAAAAAAGTTAAAAGCAGAACTCACCATCGCCCAAGACGGGCATAGCATACAGCTTGAAGTAATCAAGACATTCCAACTTGAGACTGTCCTTGGTAGGCATCCCGGCCATAGCCATCTCTATATGCTTTTTCATGGCCCTGTCTTCAGGAGAACGCTTCCTGGTACTTGCGGGACCAGCCGAGGCGGATTTGCTTCGTGCCATAATCGGGACGACTCTGGGGTTTGAGGGTGGTTTAAGGTAAGCCATGGTTGCAATATATTGGTTTTTAGGTTCTTCATCTGGTAGTGGTTCTGTCTTCAAGTTTCTGTGATTTTGTGCCCGTTTGCGGGGGGATCGGGCAGGCGGGGCGATTGGAGTGAAGCGGAGAGATATGTATCAAGAAGAAGTGAAGTATTTCGGAGGATCAAAGTGGCTGGTGGGGGGTAGAGATATAGACAAGAGTAGGAATAGTGGAGATAAGTGAATAATGAGTTTTCATATATGTAGAGCTGAGTGTGGTGGTTGGGTTGTTGGCAACGCAGATAAAGACTCGTGAATAATATAGGTGATGGTGGAAGCGGAAGCTTTAGTAGTTCCTTAACGAGATCGGGGGTGTCAAGTTACAGTCCCACCACCGCTTCAAAACCCGCAGATAAAGACCACGGGAGTTCAATGGAGGCAGAAGAGCAACAAATCAAGGGCAATAGAGATTTATAGCGAGTTAGAGCGAGATCAGTGGTGCAGTTGTCGAGTGAAAGGTGGTGGTGATAGATATGTAGCTATGGAGTTAGTCCTCGCTTCTCTCTATCTAAAGCCGCGACATCATCGCCGGCCGTGGGCTCGGGGCGCCAAGATGCTAAGTCACGTGAATTTCTCCTATTTTTATGACGTCAATCCAGGCACAATCCAGAGTTTGCTCTGCACACTTTAAATCAACACGCGCTGGCCTATGAAGCTTCGGAGTACCGAACCTTAACGTCGAGACTTGAAACCTTGCTGAAAACCATATATACTGCGGCAGTTCCAAGTTCGTCGGGAAAAGATGCATTCAACGCTCTTAACGCTGTTGTAGAACGATATATGACGGGGCAAAAATGCCCTGCGTTTCCCATTTTCTAACCATGCCCAACTTAAACATGAAAGTATCACCTGAACTAACTCACAAGACGCTGCCAGTACTGAAACTACTCTGGATAAGGATGGCGATTACTGCAAATGCTATCTACGGCGGATCCCTCGGATTGGCAAAGCTCGTGCACAGAGACAATTTCAACATGATGCACGAGAAAGGCACTCTTGCCTCTTGCCGCTCGCTTCAAGCTTTCATCTCCATGCGCCCTAAAACTGCGTTGCAACGGATACGGCATTTCAACCACCCCGCCTAGTAGAGTTTGCCCGCTGGATCTAGAATGTCTCAAGAAGCTGAAATCATTCGCCTGCTTCAGGAAGAAGGTAGGCTTCGGGAAGAAGGCAGGAAATGCATGAAGATATTGAGCATTATTTTAGGCCTGCAAACTACCATACAGATATACAGATCAAACCGGCCGGCCAGCTATTAAATTTTTGAGTTTGTAACGGTGCGCAAGGAGCCAACCGTCTTATGGTCTTTTTTGGCCCAGTAGTTAGGAGCCCGGAGCCTGACAGGCTCTAAGCCATGACAGAGTTTCTTGATACCTGCCATACCTGTCTCTTTCTGGTCCCACCGTTGGCGAGCTCAACGCTTCTCATCAAAAGCACCTGGCAAACTTCACTCAAGATAAAGTTTTGTGGGTGGTTGAGTTCTGCTGAGGAACAAGAGAAAACCTAGAATGAGCCCCATGAGGGTTTGATCATTCGCAGCGAAAAGGCTATGTATTCATCTAGCACAGATTTGTATGTTGTTCGTTTTCTCCGTACCATCTAGCTCCAAGAAGCTAAACTCGTGGAACAAAAGAGTGGCAATACATTGCTTATGAGGTGATAACCATAGATCTTGACTCTCAAAGGGCTATTGTGAAAGTTCATACACCATGACTTCTTCATGTAGCTCCATCACATCCGTGCTTCACAAGTCTGAAAAGTTTAGTGACATCCTCTCTTCAAGAGAGCTGTGCCAGGCAAATTCTGATGACAAGGTTATATTCAGTGCTGCTGCTCCGTAGCATAGACTCTGGCTGTGGCCAACGTAATCAAAACTGGACATTGGTGAGAGTTGAAGCCTTGATACCTATGTGAAATTTTCGTGGCAAATGTTGAACCTCATCAAGAGAAAGCGAACTATGCCATGCGTCGTTGACACTTTAACTCAAGCATCGGCATATCGCAGCCTCAGCAGAAGAAAATCATCAAAGAAGCAATGACTCGAATGATTCCCATCTCTTTTGTCTGCCTTACTTCAAGAGTTTGATTCGAGTTTTGCCCGAGATATCCTTCTCAAACAGCCCTTCTGTTGAAGAACAGTCTCATCTAACATAACTTCCCGTGAGTTTCGCCCGGGCCCGTTCAAGCTAGCATTCGGCCTCTGAAGGCCCCTTTAGGCTATTCATTAGCTTGTGTGCCCAAAGCTTGATAAGCCCATCCATGTCGATTAGTGACCGCTTCAAAGGATGATTGGGTTTGATAGAATGAATGTCTGGCTTCCCCTTGCCGGAGGGATCTGATAGCTCACTAGGAGTTAGGACGAACAGCCTCCCGTCATCATGCATCTGAAATGCAGGTAATTGCCCCGCTCCCCTTTCGTTTGTTCGACAGGGAGCTATTTTCACCGGAGGGTGAAGGGCCATGTGATTTTTATGCTATTGAACAGTACAAATGGGGTTCCACGACCAATTCTGGTGGTCCAAGGAGTAAAAGAATGTCCAAGAGTAAAAACATGCATTCCCCATATATACTATAAGAGGAAATGAGCTTGCTAAAGCTTTCGAATCTGTCTCGTCAGTGCACATTAGCACCCGATAGGGCGAAATTGGGGCCGGGTTAGGGTTGGTTAAGGGGTGGGCCTGAGAAGTACTGGTATGAAGGAACATGACACCTTCTTCAAGAGAAGTAAGTGGATGTATGAAATATGACCAGCGAAGGTCGAATATTTTCAATCTAGATAGAAATGTAGCTATTGCGGTAGCTGTTATGTAGCTTCCTTGTGTGAGGAAGTGCCGAATTACGTAGCGTAGAGCGCAGGGAGTTAGTTACTGATTGTGCAGTTCGGCTCTGCTGTAGTTACTGTAACTACTTCGGATGAATACCAGGGGATATAGAATTAGCAACCAGACCGGCTCCATGGTTAAATAACCTATTCCTAGACTGGCAAGACCAGTAGCTTCAATATATCCTTGGACCCCTTTTTTTATTTTATTTTTGGAATTAATTCAAGAATTGCCGAGCGTTGCAGCGAATATGCGCGACCCCACTCGGTGCCAGTAGAACGGCCGAAACACGGCTCTCCGTAACAGCCCAGTCCACGCCATATCCGATATATTATTTTATTACTATTATTACATCGACTCTACGATTCTGTTCCTGTAACCTCCCATTGGCCTAAGGACAACTGAGCATTCACTTCCTCACAGTTTTCACCTAGCAGTACGTAGTGGTTAGTGTACGGTACATACAAGTGCGACATGGCATCACACAAGATCGTGGTGCTTGGGTTAGTTGTTTGAACACGCCCTTCCATCTTCCCCCCGAAACGCACGCCCTGATTACAACCGCTGACCTATCTGTTCTGCTTTTTTTTTATTTATATCCTCCATCCAGGGCTGGCGTGACGGGTCTTACTACCGCCCTCTTGCTCTCCCGAGATGCCTCCAATCAGATCACCGTTGCCGCAAAACATATGCCGGGGGATTATGATATCGAGTACTGTTCTCCATGGGCTGGCGCAAACTACCTCCCGTACGTTTTATATATTTTTTATGCTTTTTGGCCTGTTTTCCATTCAATGTCGTGTCCAATGAGAACCACTTCTTGATTTATTTTCGTTAATTGATATATATATATATCTCTCTATATAGGGTCGGGCTGCCCGGTACTACCCATGCCGAATGGGAGAAGAATACATGGCCTGTTTTGGCGGATTTGGCGAAAAATGACCCGAGTGCCGGCATTCATTTCCAACGTGGGTTTTCATTTTTATTTTTTATTTTAGAATTCCTCTTGTAGAGAATGATTGTTTGTTGTTTGGCGACTGGGTAGGTTGTTATTTTCTTTCTGCTCACAGAAACTAACTCTTTAGAAATAACGGGTCGATGTAGGGACGGTAATAAACACTCGTGATAAGGACGCAAAGTCCACTACCGGCCAGTGGTTCTCTGAACTGTCAAGATCAAACCCGTGGTTCAAAGACGTCGTCCCGGATGTATGTACTAGCCAGTTCCTTTTTCTTTCTGACCAGGTTACCCTCGTAAATCCCCTTTGTGTGAAATCCTTGGAAAGCCTGCGGTTGTACATGTACATACATTTACATGTATATTGACAGGAAGAATAATACTGAACTATATAATAGTTCTATCTCCTCCCTAAGGAAGAACTAGGCCCCGGCGTCGACTACGCTACCTCATTCACCTCTGTCTGCATCAACACGGGCGTCTACCTCCCTTGGCTGGTCTCCCAATGCCTCAAGAATGGCGTCGTGTTCAAGCGCGCTGTCTTCAAGCATATCGCCGATGCGGCATCCGTGCACCACTCGGGCAAGAAGGCGGATCTTGTCGTGAACTGCACAGGCCTCGCGTCGCGGAACCTGGGCGGGGTTGAGGATATGAAGTTACTGCCCGCCCGCGGCCAGATTGTTGTTGTCAGGAATGACCCGGGGATCATGACGTCGATTTCGGGGTCGGATGATGGTGATGATGAGGTTTGTTATATTATGAAGAGGGCTGCTGGTTAGTGGATTCCTTTCCTTCCCCCCCCCTTGTTTTTTCTTTCTTAATCTGGGATTCTTCCCCTTCTTTTATCTTTTCCTGAACTATATATATCTACATCTACGTACCCTTGACTTACCTGCGTTTTCTTCTTACAGGCGGCGGCACAATCCTCGGCGGCACCTATCAAAAGGGCAACTGGGAATCCCAACCAGACCCATCCACAGCCGTGCGCATCATGAAGAGATGCGTGGAGCTCTGCCCGGACCTTGTTGGTAAAGACGAAAACGGCAAGGATCGCGGTATCGAAGGATTAGATATCATCCGGCACGGCGTTGGTTTGCGGCCGTTGCGGGACGGAGGGGTGAGGATGGAGACGGAAACGATTGGGGGTGTTACTGTTGTCCATAACTATGGGCATGGTGGGTTTGGGTATCAGGCTTCCTGGGGTTGTTCGGCGGCAGCGGTAGAGATGGTTAGGGAGGCGTTGGGGAAGAAGGGGATGGGGATGGGGATGGGGATGGGGAGGGCGAAGTTGTAGGGTTTATTTATTGTGTTTGAGTTGGGTGAATGTGTTTTTTGGATGATATATACTTGCTTTCTCGCTCTGTTACCCGTTCTTCTTGGGATATATTTTATAGATGTGAAGGCAACGGCATCTACTACTCTGTTTTCTTGTACTATACTAGGTTGTCATTTCGCACCCACTCACAGCCCATATTCGTGGACCTCGTAGGTGGAGGATGAGCAGTTTCAGCAAAATATGACAAGGGAGCGAAAATTGGTAGTGATAGAAACAAAGAATCTGATACATTGAGTCAGATCCAGGCAAATATAACGCCTAGGCAATTGGGTGTCAAGTAGCCATTCTTTTGTTGAGCAGCGAGAGCCTGAAGTCGAGGCTCCCACCCGTTTGGCTTGGCCCCTTGGTGCAAAACAACCTCGTTCCTTCAAACCTCGAGACATGAGAGACGTTCAAAACTGCTTCTACCTTCAACTTAATTATTACTCCGTATACTTATGCGATAACAAAGCTGTGCTAGAAAGGCTCTACGGGTGCCCAGAGCTCGGGGTAAATGCCGGTTGAGGCTAGTCCCCGCATACTAAATAGTTACCACAGTGCGCTCTTCATCCTAAGTCCTAAGTTACCTCTTCATCCTGAATTACCATCGGCTCACCAACGATCTCAATGAAAGCCGAATGGTAGCATTATTATATCATGCGCCAAACGCCCTTTAGGAACTTTTCCTCGGCTCGTTGCGTTGAGCCTATAAGCCCGCTGAGTGTTAGCATCCGAGCTCGAGCTGGCTGATACCATTGTTCCCGAATCAGCCCATACATAGTTTTACTCTACAGATGAAGATGTGTGAAAATCAGCACTAAGCTTCCTGCAATGAGAGGTTACGGGTTTTTCGGCGCGCGCTACTGCCTATGTGAGGGACAGTTCAAGCTAAATCCCCTGAGCCTGCAGCCGCTGGCCATTGGGCGGCGGATTTAATTGCGCTTTTCATCCTAGCTCTACGGCCCTATACTAGAGACAATAGGGGTAGGATATGCTCCGTTTAATAGGTGGTTGTTATATATTATGGTAAAGCTGCAACGCTGGGAAAGGAAATATGGGCGTTGGTGGTCCTTTTATGTTCGTTTTCCTGGATCTTTTCTATTTATTACTGTGTTCAATGCCCCTTTCAATTGAACGATGATACACATTCTCTCCCTTGCCGCGGTACTGGCATACTATGCCAGTACCTCAATCGCACTCTCTACGTGTGAGAAGCTTTCGCTAATATCAAATGTCGAGATCAAGAAGAAATTGACGATACCGTATGCAGAAGAACAACGGGAATACTGGTATGGTTGACGTGAACCTGGCTGTTCGATGCTCCACATGTATTTGTACTCTACGACTTAACAACCAATCTAATTGTTCCCAGGTCGGCAGAGTGCGGGAGACTCAAACCTTCGTGCATACTGGTGCCTGAATCGCCAGAGGAGCTATCGATGATTGTGAAAACGCTCGGGGAGAATAATGAGACCTTTGCTGTAAAGAGTGGCGGCCACAACCCTAATCGCCACTTCTCGAGCGTTGTTGGCGGCCCTCTTATTAGCCTGAAAGGTTTCAACGAGATCAACTACGATGAAGCGTCGGGTACGGTGAGAGTTGGTGCTGGTAACCGCTGGACTGATGTTGTCAAGGTCCTTGAACCCAATGGTGTAACTGCCGTCGGAGGTCGTGTCGGACATGTCGGCGTGGGTGGGTATATTTTGGGAGGTAGGTATTTTCATATCTTAGTGTGTTTGAACGCAGAATTTGAGTGAATTTCGAAACTGAGGCTATTTACTTATTTAGGCGGATTGAGCTACCTGAGCACGCAAACTGGTTGGACTATGAACACTGTCGTTGAGTTCGATGTTGTTCTCGCAAACGGTGAAATTGTCAAGGCAACAAGCTCTGAGAATGTTGACCTTTTCAACGTCCTCCGTGGTGGTGGAAATGCATACGGAATTGTCACGACATATACCCTAAAAGCACATAAAATTGGAAAAGTAAGTTGAAGTTGCCGTATAAAAAGGTTTTCGGTAACTAACAGAAACCGCATATAGGTTTGGGGTGGGAACCTGATAATCGGTGTTGATAAGACAAATGAAGTCCTGGCTGCCGTGCGAGATTTCACAGAGTACTATCCAGATGACAAGGCTGCCATAATTGCTACCCACAACATCGGTGTCGCAGATCTGTTGGATGTCTGGTTGATACTACTCTTCTACGATGGCGAGACTCCCCCTCCCGGAACATTCGACAACTTCACCGACATTGGTCCAACCCTCAACACGGCCAAAACCCAAAAATATTCAGCTTTAGTGAGTGCCCAAGACGAACTTGTCATCAACGGCAAGATAGTCGACATGGCAGTCGAACACTCTCCACTCCCTTGCGCCGCCAACCCGGAAATCATGCAGTCCATCAACAACCACTTTGAAACTGTCACAAAGAAGAATAAACTAGTCCCCGGTCTAATGGGCACTTTATCCCTACAACCAATCCCTAAGCGTCTGGCCCGCCATGCCAAGGAGAATGGAGGCGACCTACTCGATCTCGACGACTCTGTCGATAGGCTGTTGATAGAGCTTAACTATTCGTATACTTGCCCATCATATGTGCCTCAGATCGAGCGTGCGCTGAAGGCTGTCACGGACGCTGTCCGCAAGGATACCCTAGATCGGATTAGAGAGGGGACGCTGCCCGATGCGTATCTGCCCCTTTTTATGAATGATGCAAACCATGCGCAGGATTATTTTGGTCGGCTGCGGCCTGAGACGTTGGAGTATGCGAAGAGGATAAGGGACATATATGATCCCCAAGGCTTATTCCGTGATCGGACGGGAGGGTTCAAGATGTGAATGAGGGTCGTAAATATTCGTGCCGTGGATCCCCCTGCCGTCGAGGATTCCTTTTTCGATTTTCGTAAATATAGATATGTGTCTCTTTTGAAAGCATGCAAATCCAAGCTTAAAAATGTAGTTTTATAAAATATATTATTCACATAATTACTATCCCAGTTTGATCAAACAAAAATCCCCTATTATCTATCCCCATGATCCCGCGCCAAGAACAAGCGCCAAGGCGCGATGCCCTTAGCCTGTTTTGATCCCCAACAACATCCGTATGGGATCTCTGGGAACATGCTGTTATTTTTTACTCCTCAACTCCGGCGCATTAGTTATTATTGCAGTTGTCAACCGATATTGTAACGGGGTCCTCATACCGTCATCGCCTTTGCTCTCCTTACGACATTCGGCTCCCTTATAAGTTACTCCTTACCGTGCGCGCCACATAGTTACAGAAACCCAAAAGCAAACACCCAAGCTCCGCTCTCCTTCTCCAGCCACATATTACGTACGTTTCGAATGAAAGTGATGATTTAAACTTTGTCGCTGCTACCTACGCCAGCCGCAGAAACAGCTCGACAGCTTCTTAGGCTGTGACATTTCGGTAAAACCTTTTTCTTGAATAAAAGCTTTTGCGCCGGGACCGCTTCCTCTACCTCCGTCCGCGCCTGAAAAGGAAGAAGCCATCGCGAAAGGGGACAAAAAGCGCAAACGCCGGAGCTCTTCTTTATATTATTAGGGAATTTTGATTGATTGATACGAAGAAAGGATGGACTTCTCCAATATCTTGTATGTGATATTTCCCGTCTTTAATTGCCTTCAATTTTCCACCTCCGATTCCGGGGATGCGGATTCTGTGGAGAAAATTAAAAGAAAACTTATCCCCTGTTGCGCTGTTATATTTCCGCAATCTCTACGTAGGGGTGACCGTCGCGGAAATAAGACGCGTAATGAGAACTTGGACAAATTTCACTGACGGTTCTTTCTACTTCATTTGTTACAGCCGCTTGATCAACCTGGGCATCGGGGCCATCATGGTCCTGGGTGGCGTCAGCCAGTTCTTCCCACCAAGCATGTAAGTACGAGCTACTTCTTTCCTCCCAATCCCTATCACTTATCCCAGGACGAATGATTGGAAATGAATTCCCATTTCTCGCAATTGGTACTTTTGCGCGTTGTGGATCTGGGATTGAGAGGTGATGTTGTTTCGGAGAAGAGGAGGCAGTTGATATGCGAGCTTGCGGCTTCGCGGTCTATTGCGAATTGAGCACCGCAGAAAACGTTTGGCTAATGGAGATCCTGTCAAATTTTATTCGGTGATATAGAAGCAGCGTTGTCGTCGGTGTTTATGTGATTCTGTTCGGTTTGGGTGAGTTTCTCTTAGACCTTTTTATCTCTCCATGATTAAAACTTGGATTAAGCATCGCTGACGGCGGACCTCAACTCCACTTTCCACATATGTAGCCGTCGGTGCCCTTGAATTCGTCCCCCATCCCCCATCATATCTCTCGCGACATGCATCCTTCCTTTTCTCCTTCATTGGACGGGGTATCTGTAAGTTATTACTTCCAAAAAAATCTCGTAAAGTAACCGTTAGTATCCAAAGACACCACAATAATCTAACCCGGGTCAACTTTTTCTCAGTCTACATTTTCGTCGGCTGCATCCTTATCGAGGGGAAAGTCCTACGAATCATTGCCGGCACCATCGTTGGCGTCGTCGGCCTCGGATACGTTGCCTTGGAATTTGTGCCGTCGATAGAACCCCCACCTACCATGCGCGAGGCGGATAGCACGTGGGGATCTGAGCAGGTTTAAAGAACGACAACGCAATTCGATAATTTGAACATATACCAGGAAGGGCGGAGAAGAGAAGGGAAGGCCGGCATATCGAGGAGTGGATATGTACTTTTGAGTCATGGTGTATAGGGGTGGGTGATGGTGATATGTGTGTGAGAGGGGGAAGGCGATGGTTTTAATACTGATCGCTTGCTGGGCTAAGCTGCAGCTCCTTTTATTTTATTTTTTTCACTTAAAACTGCTTCCGCTCAGCTGGCCCCCAAGCGGTAATTTATATACATATATACGGAGTACACATCTATTTTGTTTGAAATCTGTTTACCTACTTTCTTCATTCCCATCCTCCTCTTTCCCTTCACCTTCGTTATTATGTTTTGCGAATATCTACGTTATTGACTTGAAATCCTTGCGAACAAACCCATTATCTATCTCGATGCCTATATTCTTCCTCTTCGTCTTCTACTACTTCTCACTTATATGCACGGGGCTTCCTGCGATTTATTCCTAGTATGAAAGGTTTATTTGTCCCTCTACGTTTCTCACCGCTTGATTTGAGCTTGGTCTGGTATCATTCATCCCCTTTCCTTTCTCGCTGTTTGGGCGGTTTCGCCCGGGCTGTGTCGCGTATAAAATGACAAAGTTCTATGGATGTACTTCTATTCTCAAGAAAGATTTTTGGTCCCCGACGGTAGCTCCAATCCCCTCCCCCGCCCTTCCACCGTGTATGCAGGCTGATGAGAGAAATATTAGAGCCTGATCGTCCTCTTGCTTCCTGGGCTTTGGCGTCGTCGCAACACAACACACACAGAGTTCTACGGCTAACGCAGTCCTTATCTCGGTTACCTACCATCATCGGGCTTGCTGTTCTGCTCTGCGAGAAAAAAAAAAAAAAATTCCAGGCAGCGACGTTTCTCCACTGACATAAGTTAATCGCTGAATGCTTGTGTTGGCCGGCTGCGGCCGTTGTCGTGGCGATCTCAGAACAAGAGCCAAGGATTGGATGGCTACATGGCCTTAGCTTCTTCCAGAACATAATGTGGAAGGTGGTTGATCACTATATTAAGCTCTTTGTAAATAGCTCTATTAATACAATCTTCAACTATTCTACAGATTATAATTTGAATGACATGTTTTGCTTTTTAAAATATTGTATTAATATTTTGATAAGAGTAGTTCATCTTTTTCAGAAAGACTTTTACGAGACATAGTCGGCTTAACAGTATCACAAAAATTGACACTAGTTTCTGAATGGACATGCTGATATTGAAAGCATGATCTCAAAGGAATATGATGAAATGGAAATAACTTTGTTGCTGATGACAAGTTGTGGAAATGAGTCTTGGAGTCACTGAACCAGGCCGGTCTTGTGTGATGTTGAGCTATTGCCTTTCTCAAATATACTCAGCATTGATGTTCTCAGCCTGCCCAGTTACATCATCTTTTACCTGGCAGTTTCACTTGTTGGTAATTCGATAATTTGAACTTTTTATAGGACAAACATACAATATGAAGTTGGGTGCTGGATGTCTCATTATCAATTGTACTGGTACGCCACTGGCTCTCTCAGGTTGCCAGATCAGCTCAGTAGATAAATAGATAGAGACAACAAAGCATACCACCCCTGCGACAGAAGTATACTTTATTTCCAGCCAGATAGTACGCCTTTTTCCATGAATCTGCGGGAGGTGTGGGGAGTTGGTGGTTGTGGCCTCCTTTTTGGCATTTTTAACGTACACTTTGAGCCAGAGTAGTTGCTCTTACGAGAGAGCGCTCAAAATAGCCTAAGCAAGTAATTATGTATGGTGAACTGCCTCAGCAGAGCATTAGAAGCCAATATGCATTTTTCCTGTAGATGTCAGGAGTTTCTCTCTCCGTCGAGTCGTTTTAAAAGAAGATGGGGCATATCTGGCACTAGGTAATCCGCCCGAAGGTTCCATGTGACGATGACTCTGCGCCAAGCTGTTACCCAAGCGTTGCGACGCCCTCCCATCTCAATCGCGCTCGTCTTTTACGTGGTGCTCAATCCTGACTCGATCTTGGTTCGCTGCGCATAATAAGTTTCATGCAGCATGCGCTGTTGCCTGGCACCTTGGCAATATGCCTTGATAATGCTGAGCAAATCAAGTTCGCTCTCCGTCCCTGTATCAAGGGGACATGGGTACTTGCACTGCACACCTGCTGGCAGTGTTTTCGTTCACCTTGTCGGGCGCTTGGCTGCTTGCTTTTAACCACTAGATCATTAGCGAGGTCAAGTTTTCTGTATACACCCACTAGATGGCTACACACACTTCCCCCTCCTCCCGGGCTTTGCTCTGTTGTTGGTCAGCGAGAGTGGGATGGATTTACGTAAACGTTCTGATATATCCCGTTAAATGCGGAAGTGTGAAGGGTGAGAAGAAGTTAACGGAGACAAGGATAATAATATTAATGGCATATTGAGTGGACAGGCGACCACTCCAGTCCGCATTGCTAATTTTAGTCACAACCCACCGCCGTGCTAAAAAAAAGTATGCTGTATCACGTGATTGCCATAGTATAGCACCTTATTCGGCACTCAACAATAATCTCCGGATAAGCACCTGAAATGCATTCTGGGATCCTGCACAAAAGTTAATTATAAGAACCTCTGCCCCCTTCTGACCTCGATGCATACTCGCAAGTTAAAAGAGCCAAAAATTTATGATTATGACCATATGCCTAGTTCAGTGGCGTCCAACCCGTCTCTCAAGCATCAGTATCCTAAGCCCCATCCATCCGACAGGTCACAATATCGGAAAAGGAAGAAGCTCGACGCACCGGCACCAGCATATTGGGATAACCTGTCAAAGATTTGGTTGACCAAAGATGCGTTAGAGGAGTTGGATCGAAGAAACAGCTGCCTGAAACCACCCCAGAACCATCATCATCCTCTCACTCAACAATTTCACACTGAGCTGTTTCAGTTTGCTCCAGCCTTTCTCCGTGATTGTGCACCTGCTTGTTCAAAGCAGATAAAAAGGGTTTCCAGATTGGGAGGACCCGACCTAACTGACCTTAGAAATGTATGTAACTACAAATCCATGCAAATACACCATTGCTGATAATATTGCCCAGTATTCTAAACAGGAAATCTTCCTTGAAAAAGCAATGAGCTCAAGGTCCCGGGGTAGAAAGCGACGCGCAGGTTCTCCTAGTGCAGATATGAAGAGTACCACCAAGTCCACAAGCACCACACCCTATAATCGTAACTTCCAGCAGAATTTAATTGATCATGGTGTTTACCCTGATGGATATGAATATCCAGATGGTCGAATACCAGCAATGCCAAAAAACTGGGAGGAGATCAATAAAACACTAGCTCAACCCCGACCCTCCCTTTCCCCATCAAACTTCTCTGATGAACATTTCCGGAAATTCAAACGAGCAGATACACATGCATCTAAAGAACAACCAGTCACAACATCAGTGATTCCTATCATTGAAGGTGACATTGATGATCCCAAATGCGCTGGAGGGGGATACTCACTTGGAAATCTTGCCCCCTTAACTGATGGCACACTGGCTCAGGCCAAGCCAGATCACTTCTACGGTGCGCGTCCTGAACAGCTCAATCGCCAGATCCGCAATGAACTCTGCAATTATATCATCCCATCAACACAGGATGATCTTCCGATGGTACCAAATTTCTTTTTGGAAGCAAAAGGGCCTGATGGATCCTTGGCTGTAGCTACACGGCAAGCCTGTTATGATGGCGCTCTAGGAGCTCGTGGCATGCACACTCTCCAGTCATACCAACAAGATAGATCAATTTACGACAACAATGCTTACACTCTTACATCAACTTATCATGGCGGTCAACTCAAGCTATACACAACTCATCTCACTGAGCCCGAAGGCCTAGGCCGTCACCCTGAGTATATTATGACCCAGCTCAAAGGCTGGTCAATGACCAGTGACCCAGAAACCTTTCAACATGGAGCATCTGCATACCGAAATGCTCGGGACTGGGCAAAGAAAAAGAGGGATGAATTTATTAGGGCAGCAAATGAAACGCACGCAAAGGCCCAATCTCAGCTTCATTCAACCTCTCAGTGCCAGACAGCTTCCGAGGCAGCTCTCACCTTGGACACCTCTGATCTATCGACATTGTCCGACCAAACAGAGTATCAAGACACGCAATGGAGCTTCGCAAATACAACTGAAGAAGGAGGAGAGTCTCAGATTCTTAGTAGACATGCCAAGAAGCCGAGAGTTGGCTCCATTGTTGAAGGTAATACAGCGGGTAATAAGACTACTAGATGCCCGAACTGATGATAAATAGGGCTCGTCATGCACACGGGGAAGCCATAACCTGCACCAGGGCAGCTTCCCTTGGGTTGATCATAGTCACGAGAATACCATAATAATGATCGGAGTTTCTTTGCATAACTCTGGAACTTCTCACCGGGGTGTGGGCCTTTTTAAATCCACATAAATATAATACAATATGTTCTATATTCGTACAGCTTTTTCCCTTCCAATATTCCTATCACATATTTTTAATTTTTACAACTAAGCTACATAGCAAGCGTGGAAAGACCCGAATGTTTAGGTCTAGAATCCAGTAACAGCAACTCGTACTGAATTACACATCAACCAGCAATGACAATTGGGTTTCAGAAAAGTCACTTTGTCTTCCGGGTCAGCAATAAAGCCCACTGGACATGGAAATAATCCTTACCGGCACTCAAATGTTACATGCTACCTCCCGATTTTCTTTCGCAGAGGCCTGCAGATCGGCATCATATTGTTCTTTACTCTGTGTTTCTATTGTCTCGAGTATCGCGGACATTTGCCCAAGTATTTCAATCATTTTGAGCACCTGCCTATGGATCTCCATGATTTCGTCTTGCTGAGATATATTGTCGCCGCCCTTGATGTCCGAGGAGGTTGACAAAAGTCTTCGCATGCCATGGGTTGGCATTCGGCATGGAGGGGAATGTTTTAAAACATCCTACTGCAAGTGAGAAGAGCGACGGGGTTTCTGTTGAGATACGAATTTCCAGTTGATGATTTATTGCGGTTTAAGAATATAGACAATGGATATCCAGAATCGGGGAGGTTTTTATATTCTCCAGGGCTAGACAAAATAGACGAACTGAAATGGTTCAAAGAAAAACCAAAGTGAGAGACAAAGAAAAGGGAGGGAAGAGAAAACAAATAAAGACACAAACAAAGGAACACACACAAAGAAAATACCATACCATGGGTGTAGGCCAGGTAGACCTTTGATGGGAATGTGATAGGCAATATCAATAGGGCTCCTGGGCTGGAATGAAATATGAGAAGCGAAATAAGATCAAATGAAGGGAAAAGAAGCAAACAAGAAAACAATCAAGACAGGCATAGTAAATTGATATTGACACATACACAGACAAAGATCCTAACCAATCGGCTTTACAATCCTACGTCCACCCCCACTGTGCGATCTGCCATTGACTTGTCCCCTCGCGCGCGGATCCCGGGATCCACTACTCCGTACCTTTTCAACCAGCCACCACTACTCCCTACTCCATGGAGAGACATTGGCGTGGGACACGCCAGAAGTGGTCACTTCATTCATGGTAAATGGAGATTTCTGTAAGTAGAGGGTACGTGCATCGCTGTGGCAGTTTCTTTGTAGCAGCTGTTGGGATATTCTCGCTCAAAGGCATCCATGTTTTCTCAGCCTCAACTTTGACTTCAACTTGCGAGTTGGCAGCGGGGTGCGAAGCTTCAGCTTGGTGGAGTACTGCACCTGCAGAGTCGCCTTGGATCTGCCTGGGAAGTGCTTGGTGATCTCATCCCATGGCTCACCTCCCTCCTTGAGTTCTTTCAGCAGCGCGTCGTCCTCTGACGTAAATGGTACATACACATATACCGGTCATGACAGACGGCCGCCCTTCTCAGCCGGGGCTTGACATACTGTTTGCATTTGCTGACAGGAGCCGGCCGGTCTCCTTGTGACAGAATGTTATAGTGTAGCACACTTTGGACCCAGCCACATAGCTTGAAAGAAAACCGGAGACCGGTATGCTGTCGCCTGATTGATTCATCACTGCATCATCTAGTGGGACAGTGGACACACTGGAGGAATCACTGACTGGGTTTTTATCATACTTCATTGTCGGATTCCATTTCCCTGGCTTATTGTTTACCACAGCAGTCGGAGAGGGATCTCCTGTGCAAGTGTCAGAAGTGACAACAGACCTGGATGACTGCCATGTCCAGAGTTTTCGCCGCTTGCGCGGCTGCCTAGTGACATGGTCATAATCATCACTTTCCTGATACACCTCATCATCACTGCCGCTGCTGCAGTTGCCGGAGTTATTGAAGTCACTGTTGTCACTGAGGTTGCTGGGATTGCTTCTGTCACCTCGACCCTCCCTCTCCCGGAGAACATCTGGCAGGGAAGGAATCTCAACATGAATATCTGTGCATCGCATGCATCACTGCCCCATCAGTCTGTGCTCTTCCCCAGCACATTTTCCAGGACTGGCAGGTGTTTCAGGCTCCAGTTTGGCTCCCGGGCTGGAAAATGTACTCATGATCTCTTCACCTGTGGCACCAGTGCATACATCAAGAACAATAGTTCTTCTGAATTCATCATTGTTCAGAGGATTCTCTTCATCACTCTTCAAGACCATGATGATCAGTTGCTCTGCTGAAGACAGTCAGAAGGCAGAGCTTCAGAGACAAATCAAAAGAAAGAGAGAGCTGACTTACTCTGATAATCTTCTGACCTCAGTAACTTTACAAAGCTGCACAGATGTTGATCAGAGAAACTCACCAAGTCAGACAGAGAGTATAAGACTTTCAGTTCACACTCATTCAGTGCTGAATTGTGATTGCTATCAGAGAGAGAAGAGGTGATTTTCTGAGATGATAATCAATCAGCCTTCTGTGAAGATCTATCACTTGAGACTTCTCAGTGAGGCCTGGCGTCTGACGCGGTTAAGTCTGAAGAAAACATTGTATCTAGACTGGCCGCCGGGACCATGAATTTCATGTTTGGTCCCATTTGGTCTGATCCCATACATTTCTTGGCGTGAATCCCGCTGGGACTGGCTATCAAAAAAACATGTAAAGTGACTATATATCAGATCTTAAAATGAAACCATGACTTGAAAAAAATGAGAAAGTGGTCTCATTTGGTCCCATTTAGTCCCATTCTTGGTATAAAGTTACTATTTTTAGACATTTTAAGGTTTTTTTTAGACTATTTTTAATTTTTTAAAAAGTAACACTTTTTGATAATGCTCAAATGAGATTTAAAGTCATTTAAAGCAATAAAAATAATTTAAATTGAGAAGTAGAAATCATGGTCTCATTTGGAAAATGTGACAAGAGTAGACAGTAAGTTTCACTGAGACAATATGAAACTACTATCTAATGTTAAAACTGTGTAATGGGATCAGTCAAATTGATAATAAGACTATCAAAAAATCTGATCCTGGTCTCAGACATGGTCACATGATCAGTCTAATTATATCTTTAATCAGCAGATCTCTCAGCAGATCTTCACTTGAATGAAGAGTGTCTATCTTGAATCACACTGATGATATGAGTGCTGAACAACTCTATATTATTATAGTCAGTGAAACTGTGACTGCTCATGTCAATTATCTTCATAATATTCAAATGTTTCAGCTCAGTATTAAACTTGTTCAACAGAGTGTTCAATACTCAAACTCTGATCTGACTATTAAGATCACTGAGAGTATCTCTACAGAAGAGAAGAGAAGATCAAAGAGATGAATAAGTAAACAGTGATTCAGAGATAATGAATTATGCTGAGAGTATAGAAGTAAGCTGAGAAAGATAGTGTTCATGAATAGAGAGTCTGATAAGAAAAGACTTGAAAGACTTGAGAGAAAGTGAGTAGTACAGAATAATGAGATTCATATTCACAGCTATAAATTGAGTATAAGAAATGTAAATACTGTAGAGAATGTATGAAAGAAGCAGAATAAAAAAAAAGAATGAAGATTTGAAGATTGATTTAAGCTGTATAAGTCAGAGCATTCAAATATTTTTAATAGAATACACATAATGTCACATTACAGTGTTTTTTACATGAAGAAGTTGAGTTTTCTATAATAAATAGAGTATATTAATGAATGTATAGGTTGTAATAAATGTAGAGAAGAGTATAAAGAATGTAAATATAGTAGAGAACATCTGTAAAGAAAGAATGAAGATTAATATCAGAGTTATAAAGACTGCAGAGCCTGTTCATGAATTTGATGAAATGCACATGATATCATGTGAGATCACATTACAGGGCATTTTACTCAGAAAAGTTGGTTTTTCTATAATATATACTCCGTAGAGAGATAATAATAATATCATGTAATGTACTGTACGTACATATACATGTACAGTACAATACCTTGGTAACTTTACTCTTCGGACGGGTTTTCCTAAGCCAACCAATTATGATGCGTGGTTTACGGATTTATAATTTTTCTCTGTCGCGCTAGTCCGCATCAAACAGGTAACTAAAGTGAAAAAGGAACAGGTGGGGGGCGGACATTTTCTCACGCATTATTTATTCCCTGGCCTGGTCAAAGACTCATCTTCAAGGTCCAACCAAGTTGTGGGGATTTCTCCCGACATTCAGAAGCATTCTCTTCTTCGCGGCTGGGAATAGCCTCTTTGGGGGAGAAAGGGTGCGGTGACAAGTAAGTCTCAATCAAGTTATTCTATTCAATGCTAACCAGAAGTGATTTCAGACCAAAAACGAAAAGGAAAAGGACGACGGGTAAATGCGATCCATGGAGCGGGCCAACCTCACGGTTCTGGAGGAAAAGGGAGAGAGAAGCTTCAAACTCTGGGGAATGACGGCGGAAGATTAATTAAAAAAGAAGAAGAAGAACAAGAAGAAGAAGAAGAGCCTTGGAGGGTTTCGGGACGCTAGAGGTTGAATAGCCTCAGCTAACCCAGCCGGCGCAGATCGCATGGCCCAATGAGAACAGCGCGAATTATAATCAAGGGCCTTTGGTTCTTGGTTCCTGGGTATCTTATCAGAAATTCCGGCCGCGCGAGTTTGGAAGCTTCGCGCAGGCATTTATTTATGGGCGGATTGGTTCCATCAAAGCAGATATAACTTAGGTAGATAGGTAGAATATAATTTATTGAAGGTCATAGCTGAAAAGGATAGTTACCCGTATATTGGTCGCAGTATCAAGCCCCCCACAGCTCGTTTGGCCCGGTAACAGGCCGTGTCAACTCCTTTTTTTTTTTTTATCTCCAAGCAAGAGAGCATGGAATGTAATCGGTGTATCTGAGCCACGGCCAAAAAAAAATAAAGATCTCAGCTCCCAAACCATCTCTTTTCCTCCTCCTCCTCCTCCTCCTCTTCTTCTTCTCCTTCTTCCACCTTCGTCAGCCCCCCACTCACTCTCTTGTATTCTTCGTGCCAGCTAGCTCGCGATATCCCTCCTTGCTGGTGGCTCACCCTTCTCTCTCCTCTCTCCCTCTCGTCGATCTTGCCACTTCTCCTCCCCTGACAAATCTCAACAAAGACCAAAACTGCCCCGTAAAATCTCTTCGACAGGAACCTCACCGGAAAAAGCAGCTAGCTATATGAGATCGTTATCTCCGAGCCGTTCCTTTGTTCTGCGATCAGCTCCAAGTTCGGTGTGTGGCGGAGTCTCTTTGTATAATCTAATCTGATCTTTGATCAGTCTGCTCTGGACTTGGATTGTGAGGAACAACATCTGCTGTGCTGTCCCCAGTCATCGAGAAGCTGCAGACCGTTGTGGACAGCCATCCTGCAAACTTACAGCACAGATATTATTGGCATAGCTATATATCTCGTTTCCCTGTGTCGACATCGCTCCTCTGTCTCTATCCTCCTCAGCGCCACGAACCGACTCCTTTGTCTCGTCTTGGTGCCCCTGCCCAAGACGCTCCTCGTTTCCCGGCATCTCGAGAAGTACTCAATTAGACCGTCTCAATTTTGCCTTTCTCCTCGAAACTCGTTTATCTGACTACGAAGTCGTACTTCCGAAGAAACACGGACCGTGTACAGTAACTGTTACCCACAGGAATGACGGGGCTTTTGGCTTGCAGGCCGCATACAGAGGATACGAGATCTCCTACCAAAAGCGCAGATATTCCCATGCGACAGCCGTCCGCAGAGGATTTGGATGCGGCACATCAGTTGGTATCCTCAGCACGAGGTGGACGAGATAATACCATAAACTTCCATTCAGACAGGCAAGAAACAGCGGGCAGTGCGTTAGATAACATCCAAGAGGATGCGGCTGGGAAGATGGATTCACAGTTACAAAATGGACACCAAGCTCCTGTCGAACAGCGCCAGGATCAGGCACCAGCGGAATCTGGAGTCAATCCAATAGATCGTCCAGTGCCGTCAAAGCAATCCCCTAAACCGCAAAGTAAAGAGCCAGTTTTCACGGGGCATTCATGCAGGTTCGTCACCCCAAATTGCTAACATACGCTCTGGCTAATTCTATCTACTACCCTTAACACATATCGCTAACCACTTCATCCAATACAGTAACTGCGGTACGAAACGAACGCCATTATGGCGAAGGTCTCCGACTGGTGCTACGATTTGTAACGCCTGCGGTTTGTATCTCAAGGCGCGGAATACTGATCGCCCAACCCATCGTTCCCGCTCTTTGCTTAACCCGTATGGCTCTAATCCTGCGCAAAACGCCGACAAGTCGCGGAGTAGCACGTCCCCCACAAACGACGGAAACGATCCCCGGCAGGCAGATGCGTGGTCGAACTATGCCGTCAAAGAATGTACTCCTTCAGGATCATGCCCAGGTGGAGGAAGTTGCAATGGCACTGGCGGGGCAGAAGGGTGCGATGGATGTCCTGCTTACAACAACCGTGTTTACAAATCAGCTGCTCGAAGCGCTATGGCATTTCATATTCCGAGGACTTCGCCCCAGTCAAACCAAGGCGGTGGCAGTACGGATGGTGAAGCTGGTTCGTCGAATCCCGAGGGGATGACTCTGCATATTGCTTGCCAGAATTGTCAAACTACAGTAACTCCGCTATGGAGGCGCGACGAGAATGGCCATCCTATTTGCAATGCTTGCGGTGAGTATATATCCCGTTGAACGCATGGGACGGAATTTTTTTTTGGGACAAAAGTCTAATGATATGTGATACAGGGCTCTATCATAAACTCCATGGATCCTATAGACCACCAACCATGAAAAAATCAATTATCAAGAGAAGAAAACGTGTGGTTCCCGCCATGCGCGAGCATTCACCCACTGGTGCGACTCAATCCTCGAATGGCTCTGCATCTCCTGAAGCATCTCCCGCTACCCTTGCACACGGGCGTGATAGCCATCGTCAGTACCAAAACGTTGAACACGGCAACAGGCATCCGTCACCCCATGCCAGACCTTTATATCCACCTGCGTTTCATGCCCCGCCCCCAGCCGACTTCACAGGATATACCTCAAATCCCGTCTCCCTACCTCATCATCCTCCCCCCACTCCTCAGCAACTACGACCCTACGACAACAACGATGCCATAAACCCCGCTCGCCCATCTATGCCCGCACTACCCAATCCGAAGAAACGCCCCATCTCCGAATCATTCTTGGAAGACTCCCAACAGCAACAACAGCAACAACAACAACCCAACCAAACCCCCACTCACCTTCCCCCAATAAACCCACATGGCGCCCCTTCCTCCACCTCCGCAGCCAATAACCCAGTCCGTTTCAACTCCATCTCCTCACTCCTAAATCACCCAGACGAAGCAGCGGCGGCCGCGGCGGCAGCAAGCCACGATCACGATCGTGACGATAGCCGCCTGGACCCCGCTCTGTCAGCAGCTGTCACCTCTCGACCACAACAGCAAGATCATCACCAACAACAAAAACAACAACAGCCCGCCATTCCCCGCTCCCCTTCCCGCTTCAGCCCTTCTTTATCACCAGGATTGCCACCTGCTACTGCTACCGCTTCCACTGGCGCTGCACCTGTTAGTGGTGCGGGTGCAATGGACCTAGGGGACGAGAAAGCAGAGAGGCGGGCGCAGTTGCAGCGTGAGGCGGAAGATATGCGGGAGGCATTGAAAGCGAAGGAGAGGGAGTTGGCGGCGTTGGGAGGAGAATAGAGAGGTGCGGGTGGGTTGGAGATATCTCGTGTTTTTGTTAGGTGTATCTACTATTTGGTGGAGGCCGATGAATCGTCGCTGGTGTTGTTGCGTGGAGAGATTTCTGTGTTCTCTTTCTATTCCTTTACCTCATCTCTATTCCTCTTATGTTTTCCGTTTCCCCTCTCTATTTTACGCCTTTTCTCCATTTAGTATGGTGTTATTGTATTTTGCTTCACGTTTTATTTTCACCCTCAAGGGTGTTGGGCAGGTATGGAAAGGATGGGTTTAATTGTCTATATTAATGTTTATACCGGCTACCTACATGCGCAAGCTACATGAATTTTAATTACGTGGATTTTCTGAAGGCGGAGAGGAAAGGGATAGGACTTTTTCAATGGCTCAAACGCGAGTTCTTCCTTTTTTTATTCTCTCTCTTTTGTCGTTTTTCTTGCTCGCTTTTCTTAACTTATCGAATTTTTTCTCCGTCTTTTTATAATTACCTCAATTTTTTTAACGTCCTATCAATGTTTTATTTCCTCCTTTTTCTGAAGCTTTTAATCTCCTTCATTTCTATAGTAGCCATCCCCATTTTCATTGCTTGATTGAAACTACAGAAAGAAAAGGCTCAAGATGGAAAAGAAAAAAAAATGAGACCGAAACAAAAAAAAAGTTGCCATGTCGTTAGCCTTCTTTCTTCCCCCGCTTCACTTATACGCTTGATTTACGAAATGTCGTGATGAAATGGAGAGGTGGCTTTCGATTTGATAGGAACAATTGCTCTGTCTATCTATCATCTTTCCCCCCTCCCCTCCCCACTAGCCAACGCCAACGCTATCTATGTTATCCAGTAGCAGTACATGTATTCACAAGCATATACACGTATATATGAGTGAACTTTTCACTCCGACCTCATCAGGGAAGCCCGGAATGCAGGTACCTCAAAACAAGCTGCTCTCCCACTGTCTTCAATTCTTCTCTACACAGCAGCACCAGAGAGAGAGAGAGAGAGAGTATTGGGCAATCTCGAGAACTTGGATTCACGCTCCATACGATAGAGAGCTCAAGGGGTTGGTTACAGGTAGAAGAAGAATCATGGATGCCAAATCCTAAATGGACTATTTAGTTAACCCAGGGCTAGCATGTTAGAACATAATATCAGAAGTATGGAGAACACTGGCTACAATAAAATAGCGCTGTATCGGCGTGTAGTTGTCGCACTGAAGAAATTCAAAGGGCTGAGGATGTTCTTGGGAGGGGAGTCAGTTAAAGCTCAACCAACCTCGGTTGCCCCAATAAATAGGCAATCGTATATTGGAATCTGTACGCGCCCTGAGCAGTTTCCTGGTTTTTTTCAAGGTAGGGGAAATAATTATAAATAAATGCCCAATGGCGTTCGTTCCCCTTTGGACTTTCATACACTTCCTCCGCTTGTCTGTCTAAATAAATACGCTGTCGAAGTTGTGATTTGGCATTAGTTAGACAAGATCTATTTATTATGTTTCTTTTATATCAAACACCCAACGGCGAGCCAACGATACTAGTATTGAAGACGTTAAGGGATCTCAAACGCGACGAGAGCGCCCTACTCCTAGCTTAACTAGTTAACTGTTTACTACGCCTTGACCTCTTATTAAAATTCTTTCCCATCCCTCTAGTTAGTGCCACTAGACGCTGAGAAAGCGGTTCTTGCACATATGTAGCCTGCCCTGTCAGTACTGCCTAGTTACTCTTCCTCACTACTACCAATGGGTCCCTCCCGGCTTCTCTGGCAAGCTTTCTCCAACCCACCGCTCCCCACCGCTGATTTCACTGGTAAAACGGTGATCGTGACGGGTGCCAATGTCGGTCTTGGAAAGGAGGCAGTTAAGCATTTCGTTCGCCTAGGCGCTACAGTCATTGGAACGGCGCGGACGAGTATCAAAGCAGCAGCTGCCCTTGAAGAGATCAATGTAGAGACTGAAGGTCCCGGGCGTGCATTGATCTGGGAGCTGGAGTATGGTAGCTACGCATCTGTTCTAGGGTTCTATGGACGGGTATTGTCAGGGCTGGGGCGATTGGATGCAGTGGTGCTGAATGCGGGGGTTTCAAACCGCAACTATGAGCTCCTCGAGGGCGACGAGGCCTCGATCACGATAAACGTCATCAGCACATTGCTCCTTGCTATATCTTTACTCCCGAAACTCCGGCAGTCGGCCAAGTTATACAAGGTCACCCCTTATCTGACGGTGACAAGCTCCAAGATTCATTCCTGGGCAAAGTTCCCCGAGCGTGATGCTTCGGATATATTTGCAGCGCTCAATGATCCGCTTTCAACGACCATGCAGGAACGGTACGTGTGCTTGTATTTCATTTTGCTTTTCCCCCCTTGTTCATGGTAGAATTCCAAAATTATCGTCTCCTTCAATCAACAAAGACTTTTTTAATATGTATTAATGATGAGTTATGTAAATGCACGGCATATATCACATGTAGCTATCCTACGAGCAAACTACTCCAACTTCTCGCAATACGGGAGCTTGCTGCCCGGACTGCTTCCAGTATCCCTTCAGTTGTCATCAACCTGGTTAGCCCCGGACTCAATAGGACTTCCCTTACCCGCCAAACAACGGGCTTGGAAGCTGCTGTGCTGACGGCCATCCACGCCATGTTTGCCTGGGACCCAGAGGTAGGCTCCCGCATATTGGTGCATGCTACGACGGCAGGAAAGGAATCGCATGGAGTGCTGCTGGATAAATGTGAGGTTGGAAAGTAAGTTGTTTGGAGCGTGTGCCGCCCTCTCCTCTCCTCCCCCTTCTCTCTGCGGAACCCCCTGATTCTCTCACGAACTATGGATTGGCAATTGTTATCATGGGAATTGAAGGAAATGCTAACAATCCTATTTGCAGCAATATTTTGGCGCCTTGGATCGAAACTGACGAAGGTCAAAAAGTACAGAGCAAAGTTTGGTCTGAGCTGGAGAAGAAGCTAGAGGCAATTCGGCCTGGTATTCTTTCTGAGATCTGATCAGTTAACCAGGAGGGGACTTGGGTTGGGTTTGTATTGTATTAAAAGCCAAGACTTGTACTCCGCTTTTTAAATTAGTATTATTTGCATACTATCCCAAGGTCAATGTAAGAATAGACGCCTAAATTGGGTTTATGTCATATTACAATATTATTTTAGGTCAGAAACTCAAGAAAACCTCAAATGAAAATTTGTGGGACAATAAGGTATTAAAATGCCAGATACATGTAGTAGGAAACAAGACAGCTTCTTTATTCAAATTCAAGGAGGGAGAGCCATTGTCAAACTTGTTAAGCAATCTTTAGATTGGATACTAGCGTGTCTCACTCCTCTCGCTGTCTGACATCGAGCAACTTGTAACGAAGCTGGCCGTCACTCACCAAAGTGCCCGTAGAAGAAGTGGAAGTTGACATCCGTCGAAGTTGGTAGATGCAAAAGTATTTTCGAACCTTCCTCAGGAGATAGCCTCTTGCTCGCTGGACACTGATTCGGATTTAAGAACGGCTAAGTGGATCGCGAGGTAAGGGATTTATGGGAACTTCACCCAAGCAAACCGCTCAGAAGCAGTTCTTAATATTTAATCCACCCCTTTGCTTCCGTCACCACCGGCACCCGGGGGATTAGTGGCGCTTTTCGTATATTATTTATACTTCGTATATTGTCTTTGTTGTTGATTCGTGGAGAATGCGAAAGCCAACCCGCTGCAAAGTCAAAAGCTAACGGTTCTGAAAGAACGCCCGGATGTACTCACTAGAGAGGGTCAGCGGGTTCGGAATACTTTCCACAGGAGGCGTCCGATGTATCCTCAGCAACATGTACACGGTTTATGATATAATTCCAATCTGCCGCCATTTTCATAGCACGCTCCCGTTCTGCGCGGACTTGTGACGCCGAGAAGACCGTGGCCCCTTTGGTCTTTTTATTTCCTGATGGGCGTACCGGCCCGATGGTCATGGAAAGGCTCTCCATAGCCTTTTCTTCATCCTCCATGTCCCGTAGCCGCTTCCGGATCTTCCTTGCAATATCACAGGCCAGCTGCCCTTGCGGAACAGAATAATCCTCTCCCTGGAGCTGCCTATACAAGCTCCTAAGCGCTTTCGTATATGTCCACATTTGATAGTTTTCCGTGTCGATTTTACGGCGGTCGAACCAGAGATCCGTTAATGACTGTATTACGAGGCTGAGAAACCTGAGTAGTTTCCAGTCATCCCCGTGAATGAGAAGTGGGATGATGGAAGAGTCGTGATAAAGGTGCTTTTTAATGTCGTCGAATTTTCCAGTTTTTACCATGGGCAGGATGTTCATATGCTTTAGATCCTTGCATGTTGCGAATTCGTGTATGGTTTGAATCACATTGCTGCGACTGAGCCCGATCCGGTCCCAAGCTCGATAGATAGCTAAGTGCGTTGGATTTTCCTGATGACACTGTACGCCATTGAAAACACATCGGTAGGAGGCGTCGTCTTCCAATTGAAGTTTCCTCCAAATCTCAGCCCAGTATGACTGCTCCGCTGTCCCAATTCCTGGCTCCGGTCGTATAGAAAGCTCCGCGAAAAGATCTGCGTATCTGGCATAAAATGTGGCTTTTTGAAGCGTGATCAACCTATCTTGCAGGATTTGGTCATCAGATGAACAAGCCACTTGCAGACAAGGGGTATTATGGAGCGATCGATCGTATTTCCGCAATGTTGCACGCCATATGTCTTTGACGCCTGTCAACTCCCCGTCCTCTTGCTCAAGATCGAGCAGTCGGGCGCAGGTGTCTTTGTAAATCTGTAGCGCTCGGGTTCCGATTGGGGATGGCTTCCTCTGCGAGTTTCGCAGAATGCCATCTACATACATGAGCCTATCCTTAAGATTCTCAACCGTGTAATTTTGGACTGGTGGTGGCGGAGAAGGTACGTCTTCCACAGGGTACTGGTCGGCATTGCCAAGCAAGGTGACTATGTCGTAATGTTTCTGAATCCTTGCCTCTTGGGGCTGTTCTGTGAATGTCTGGGAAAAGGACATACTGTCGCGAAATCGATAGCGAAATTTCCTGATTTTGGACGAAGATATCCTGCTCAAAGTCGAATGAGATCTTTTGAGCGACTTATCGGCGTTATCGTCGGGGGCAGACTGCAATAATAATAACCTATTAAATACGCCAGTCATCCGGAAGGCCAGTTCACGGTGATCTGCACGTTATATATTGAAGTCCTAAGGCGCTATACAGACGGATGGCCTATCGCTAATCAAAACATATGCGGGATAAATGGCGTACGAATTCGTTGGTAGCCTCAGAGGCGGTGAGAAATTATATCCTCGCATCCCAATACTATCCACAGGGAGATATGCATAGGAGAAAGCAGCTGAAGAGGACGATGACTTGCAGACGGATTCATCCCAACAAAGGCCGAGGGGCATTCTAGAAGTTAACTAGGCAGCCAACAGCGGGTACTATCATGAATTTCTTCGGGCCACTGCAAGCCCAAATAACTTGAGAGACCGGAAGCGAAGCTGCTGCGGCGCAGCTGGAATCATTCTTGTCATATCTTGGCTCATGACACGCTGTGAATGCCAACCGTAGTTGAGGGGTCGTGGCAAGCCGTAACGAGTGACGGTGGTTGCTGATCGTGAGAGAGACTCGTTGACGTTGGCTGTGATTAATCGGAAGTATTCCATGGAACGGCAATAGATTCCATTCCGCGCCAAATATGTAGCAAGGCGGTCACCGGCTAATTGGCCAGAAATGATGCATAGAAATTTGGGTGTACAGAGAATCTGCCGGTTCAAGTTCAGCCCCATTCCGCCTTTTAATGCGAAGTACACTGTTGAAATCGGGGGGCCGGCGTGTAGAGATGTCACCGGATAACTGCATGCTATTATTTTTAAGAACTCCGCCCGCGTCCCAAGCGTAAGCGGGGAATGACAGGCTTCTTGTCTAGCGAGTTTGTCGTGGTTCGGGGATAGAATGCGGAGCTTGAACGCGGACTAGAGCTATTTAATATGGTTCTACTCAGCCGCTGCAGCCGAGATGGGAGGAACGCATGCAGCTGCAGATGGAAGGCGGAATCCATATATATATGCAAAATTATTAAATATTTCTGGAAGATTCCTTCGGGAAGAAATAATTGCATAGCTTGTGGAAACGCTTTGGGAAGTATTTTTTAAAATGGATAGGATTTTGGCCGCCAAGTTACCACAAATGTGTAAATTCCACCGCTGAGCCCCAGGTCGCTCTGTACGGGCGAAAGAAAATCCAGATCGGTGAACGTGCAGGAAAACTTTTCGCAAAACAATAGATGTTGACCGTCTCTTAGTAAACGCCCCTCTCTGAGAATGGGTACACGCGCCATTTGGCCCCAGCGCCTGGCTAACTACTAAATGATCATGGAATCCGCTGCTTGAATAAATAGAGAGGGACCGGGGATCTGGACTTGCAGCGCAGATATACAGAAAGAAACGACATTTTGGGAAGAATATATATGTGATATGTCAGCCGCCAGCTGATGACCCTTTTCCACCCCAGTCTCATCTTCATTCTGGATACGTTATGAGGCCGCGCGCGGGTTCATGGGATTGTTTGGGGCAGTCTTGGTCTTCACCGGTGGTCGCGTCCACTACTTTCTTCCCCCGATGATAGAATTTAACTGTGAGCAGTACCTTTGATTTGATAAGTACATCGCTGCTTTTCGAATATTGGGCGTCTCAGCTGGTCTCTGCCTTGCTGTATGGTGCGTCGCCTGCGTCATCTGCCACCATGCATTGCTGAAGGGGGGACCTTCTAAACGGCCGGCGTTCTAGTCTTTCCTTCGACTTTGGCTCAGAATGTTTATTGGCCTGATCGAGGTATTCATCACGGGTAAACGCGAAATGGACGCTTAACCACCCGTTAAGCGGAATTCCTGTCTCACTAGCATAGGAATGCAGATCTGAGGAGTCAACGATCGGCTCTTGAAAGTCAGGGTCGGGAGCATCATGCTGCCATGTACCAACTGGCGTGTACAACTGGAACGCTTGACCGGTGACGGCCTTGAACAACCTGTGTCCAGAAAAGGTCAAGTCTTCCCAGCGACCGCGATAGAGGATGGGATCCACGAATTTCATTGCTTGCCAAAGTGTTACTGCTTGCCGCATTAAGTGCTCCGAATATAAGGGCTTTGGCGGAGAGACGATGACAAATAACGATATTTCTGGAGAAGTGTAGCTGCGTTCCATCATGGCGTCCCCAAGCCAGTTGAAGTGGTGGATGTTGGGATAGTTCCTTATCAAGTCAATTTGTCGCGCCATTTCCTTTGCCGCTTCGGAAGACACCAATTTCAATGGGGATTTAGCTGGAGCCAACGCTAGATACTGTGGCATGTTGTCCAAATGTATTTCAATATCTTGCAATCTGCTGCCCTCCTGTAGCGTCTCGGTGTCCAAGGGATCGTTCAACGAGGCAGGTGGGCCTGAAGGATTTGAATGCTCCAGTGAGTCTACCACAAAGAACATTGAAGCATTTTTATGATCCTCCTCTTCTTGCTCAGTAGACTGCTCGACCTCATCCACCCAGTTAAAAGTTTCCGGCTTGAGTAGACTTAAAATATCGTCTGAAGTAGCCGCCCCGACATATTTGGTTCGCTCTTGAGACTGCACGGAGCCCCTAAGTTTTTCCCTACGGAAATTTTTTCTTTCTCTGGGCGAACCCTCAATATCACTGGGCCCAGGAACACTTGAAGCGGATGCTCTGGAAAAACATCCAGACGACGGACTGCAAATAGTCCAAGTTCATATTGGCTCTGGTCCTCGCAGTAATTATCAACTATTGGTGGTAAATGCTCAATATCAAACAATTCATCAACATCTGTTGGCTTGTTAGAGTCATTTTGAAAATGTTGAATTTTTGAACTGAGCCCAAATGGCATGACTATGAGGAATTCGGTTCGTAGAAGATCGTACCAAATATTAGTAAAGGGGGAATGAAAATGATGAAGCTGTGATGGTAAAAGGGGATGTTTAAGGTGCAGGAGGTTATTCATCAACTTCCACCATACACTGAGGAATGTATAGAGCGTAGAGGGAGCGTGGAGTGAAACTTCGAGCTCGTTCCACTAATAGAACGAAACATATCTTTGCATTGTGAGTGATTTCCAATGGGCAATGAAACAACTCCAAAAATAAAACAAAGCATACAATGGAAAATGGAAAATGACTTTGCCACAAGTCAGCAAAGTAAAAGAAATAGAATGTTTAGAGACAGAAATAGGATCCCTAGCAATGCAGAGCAGAGTAGAAGAAAAGCTACTTCTTGTAAGTAGCATATAAACATCGGTGGCAGAGCATTTTCACAAAAAAGCGAGGGCGGATTCCACGAACTCGTGGATTTAGCGAGAATATTCTGCAAGATGAACATAATAGGAGGAACCTTCAGCTCTAGAGACCAGCGAAGGCGAGGCGGGAGGCTTAGCAAACCTATTATACTTCGGCCTATCACTATACATTGTGTTATATCCTCCTGCTTGGATGGCTCTTCTTATTAGTATCTCAAAAACCCAACTGCCAAGTGGCAAACCTGATTGGGAAACAATGTGAAATGGTGCGGTAACAATCAATTCGTTTCTGTATCTAACCGATGGGCGGAAGAGCTATAAGAGAGAGCTAAATACTTACAAATGTTGTGTCAAGCCATTTTTTAACCCGTCTATAAGCCGCACATTTGTGCCTAAAGGGGAACAGTAGCAAGGAATGCAAAGAAACAATGCAGCTCTAGACTGGCTTAACACCCTTGAGAGCAGCTGGTTGAATGGACATTCCCTACTTGGTTGAGCAAGTAGGTAGAAAACTCCCTTAGACGAATAATTAGGCAGGTGGCCCATTCAGTCACCAGGATCAAATGAACATTTCAATTTCTTTCTTGCCCATACTGTGAGGTTGAGAAGCTTGAAACATTCCAAACATGCTCAAAGAGGTTCCACATAAGTGGAAAGACGCTCTCCTCATAAAGAAAGAAACAAGGTGTATGACGTTGGCCAAAACATAGAGCTTTTTTGATTCAACATAGAGCTCTTTTTGACATAAATGTTGCTGAAACCCGCATCCTTGTCAGTCAAGTAGAAGTTGAACCAAGCTTGTCAAGATGAGGTTGAGATATCCTAATCCGGTCAAAAGCGTCTCGCGCGGCTAATTCGTAGCTCCTTTTGGCCGCTGAGTCAGCTGTATTTTTCCATACGCCGAAACCCGGAAATATTATTTCAGCCATTAAGTTAACTGGCACGGTTATTGCTTTTAATGGCTGTGAATATCCAACAACTAGCTGCAAAGAACAAACAACTACCAGATGTGAAAGCAATAATAATCTTTCTTTATGCTTCCAGCAGTACGCTCAAATGAGTCAGTACTAGAGAATTTCTCCAAGGATTCTGAACATGAGTCTAATTTCCAATGTCACCCTGGGCAATGGTGACCTAGTATTTACGTTCCGTATTGTAACACCCATCACCAGAGCCGGCCAGATGCGGGGAACGGTATGGTATCGGATTGCATGAACACGAAGATATTATGACTCCACCATAATAACTGATATACCGAATTGTTTCGTTTATCATCTCTGCATACCGATTCTTAGCAGTGCTTTCAGTTGCAATAGATCTATAGATCGCATATGTACTGTTTCCGATCTCACAGCCGTGTAATCGGTAACTTCGCGCAGCTCTACGCTCCACGATCCTTTAAGCCCCGCTCGTTCAAACCAACATTCCACAGCAACCCCATTGCTCAACTTGCGAAACAGTCATATATTAAACGAACCATGGCCACGGCGATGGGAAAGCGCCTTGAAGGCAAAACCATTGTTATCACGGGCGCCTCCTCTGGTATTGGAAAAAGCACGGCTAAGGAGTTCGCAAGAACATCTCCGAAGAACCTCAAATTGATCGTCACCGCGCGACGGATTGACGCATTGAAGCAGCTCGCGCAGGAGATCAAGGAGGAAGTTGGCGACGGTGTTAAAGTCCTGCCGGTCCAGTTAGATGTTAGCAGTCCCGAGCAAATCAGCAACTTCGTCCCTTCCTTGCCAGCGGAATTTCGCGAGATTGATGTTCTGGTCAATAATGCGTGAGCGCCCCGAGGTTTTGATACGGGTTAATTGCTCTTTTAACATTGTTTTTCACTGGGAACTTTTTGGATGACTAACTAATATGGATGAAACTTCAACAGTGGACTGGTCAAAGGCGTTGCCAAAGCCCCTGAAATCGACCCCAAAGATACGGACATTATGTTCTCCACAAACGTCACCGGCCTTATAAACATGACACAGGCAATTCTGCCTATCTTCAAAAAGAGAGATGACGGCGGCAGGGGCGATATAATTAACATTGGAAGCATTGCTGGAAGAGAATCATATCCAGGTGGTAGCATTTACTGCGCAACCAAGGCTGCGGTTCGAAGCTTCACGGATGCATTGAGAAAGGAGCTGATTGCAACGCGGATTCGGGTTATTGAGATTGACCCAGGCCAGGTGGAGACGGTAAGACCATATCTCCTATTAATAGATATTATTATCCACTGGGTTTGTTTCTTCAATAATCGAAGAGTTGCTGATTGGATATACTTGGAAAAGGAGTTCTCCGTCGTTCGGTTCTATGGAGACAAGTCCAAAGCCGACGCCGTCTATGCGTAAGTATAAAAATCCAATCACTCCACTAAACTATACGCTCGAAATGTCTTGATTAACAAAATATAGTGGCTGCGAGCCTCTCACGGGCGATGATATCGCTGAAGTTGTTGTTTTCGCAGCTGGCCGTAGGGAGAACGTCGTTATCGCCGATACCTTAATATTTCCTCAGCATCAGGTATGTTGCATGACCCTTGGTGCAGGTAGTGATCAATGACACTAAGGATTAAAAAAAAACCCCCGTTGGCATCATACTGACAATATCCTCCAGGCATCACCCACAGCCATGTACAAGAAATCATCATAAAAGGATGGGACAGACATATTCATCAGTGGTGATATCAAATGCCATCTTTCGGCAGCCCACGGAAAGAAGATAGAATAAGACCCTTCACGTGCTGTGATGAACAGCTAGCTGCAAAATAATATTGTAAATACATATAGAAGTGGCTAAATTTATAAATTGAGACAATGCAATCGAAGACCGTGTAACGTACTGGGAAATCTTGTCATACCATTGTTCATCTCTCCGGTCCTCCGTGCATTTTATATATCACCGTCGGAGAAGTTTTATCATTGGGGTAGATGTGGGTCTGCTGGAACTAAATGCAGGCTTTCATATACTCAATAAGTCACTGGATAAATATACTAATGGAAATGAGGGGGATGTCAAATCAAAGTGTTCTGGAGCTCGTGGAAAAAAAAAAAAAAAAAAAAAAAAAAAAAAAAAAAAAAAAAAAAAAAAAAAAAAAAAAAACGAAAAAGGAAAGTCGTTTCTCGTCTTAAGTTAGAGGTTTGAACAGCCGGAAATATAGAAATTAATGCACGAGACAGGACACTTTAAAGACACGCAGATGCAAACCAAAATTTGTAGAATGCAAAACAAGATAAAGCAAACGCCTATTCCTGTGCCAACAGGCCTATTTCATCCCCGGGCCTATAGCTTCTATAGATATTTCGGGTTAGGTAGTGTAATTAATATATGCAAGTATGTACCCCTGAACTTCCCCAAAAGGGTTGGTCCTAAACCACACGCCCGAATTTCTCAGTATGTATGTATCTTCGAGAAACGGAAATGGGAAGCATGGCAGACCCCTGTAAGGAATATAACATATTTCTACCGTATTGTCCCTTTTTTTCGGTTTCTCTTGATTATTCCGAACCTCGCAGCTTCGCCTCGATATTAATCACATCTGATTCACTACCAACTTCGATAACCCTGTTCACCTCTGCGGTGTTTCTCATCAGCTCGACAGCGCCAGCATACATCATGCGCGATGAGGGGTTGCAGTTTTCTGGCAGGTAGTAGAGCAGGACATAAGGGACGGAGAGACGGCCGGAGGACTAATTATTTCCCCCAAAAAAAAGTTGAGCGAAAGATTAATGTTAGCATTGTTTCTAGGCGGCTCGGAGCAGGACAAAGAAGTCGTCATCGGCTTTTAAAAATGTTGGGGTGTGCGTCGCCGAAACGTCCCGTTTGTGCTGTATAAGATAATGCACATGGTGAGGTAAGGAAGGTAGGAAGGCATTTACCAGCGTGAGCGGATAACTGAGCAGGATAAACCGGGGTGACGAATCCGGAAGTTCGTCTGCAACATCTTCCATCTTGTTGTATACTTCGTCATCGGCGGGGCGGACCTCTTGGCTCTTCGAATCGATCGTATCTGCGGCTCACAAAGCCCAATATATGGTTTTCGGTTATCCATTCCGTTCGTAAACGTTGGGTATATGACCAGACAAATGAAATTCAAATGAATAGTAAAGCGCTCTCATCTATTTTCTTTGTATATATATGCATAGGAGCATGTATATTACTATTCAAGGGCAATGCGGCCACTAGATAGGGGAAAGGGGATAGGTGTACAGATGATAGCTTGAGGATCCTTCGCTCTAGACGTTCCCAACCGAAACTTGCGAAGCTTCTCTTTTGTCTCCGGGGAGAAGGAATATAACCTGGTGTCGGACTGTACAATTATTACTTGCATGTTAGCTTTCTATGCGAGCTTGACTGCTAATTAGGCGTGAATAGATGACTTAGGGCAAGTGGATTACCATCTTGGGATCTTACGGGTGGTTCTCTCGAACCGCTGTACGATGTGATGTATAGAAACTGAGGGGATGGGAGAGGAACAGGGGTTTATCGACAAATATGTCAATAGTTGAATAGTAAGTATTCTTTCCCTGGCAGCCGACAAGGGACTTTTTGTCTGATATGTTTCCAAGGGCTGGTTGGCGGGTGACGACGATGGTGGGGGGGGCAGGCAGGTTGGGAGGAGTTAGCCGCGAGCACTGCCGCACCTTCTTAGCCGCTCGCTTCTGCTCGGGTCTCGGTCAGGGCCAAGCTTCGGTCGGCTCTTTTTATATCCCTCCAAACATCCAAGCTGATAAAAGCCCTGTTCAGCCAAATTCCGCTAGCCCCCTGCTGCCCAATTCTTTGTCTGCGCACGCAAGATAAATGATTCCCCGCATCAACCAGCTAGTCAGACGTCTCTCCCGCCCACGACCCAATTCCGTACATATTCCTGCTGCCACAGCAGCCCGTCCGATTGGGTCTCCGCTCTCCATGACATCATATACGGTGACAGCGCTGGCGAACAGCAAGAAAACGATACGCACAGCAGCATGTCTGATAATCGGCGACGAAGTCTTAGGCGGGAAGGTGCGTTAATTTTATTTCTCTTGCGGGCACTGGGGACCGTGTATCTACTGGGTTCATTGATATAAATAACAAAAACCAGCTACGCTAACACTGGGAGTAACCCCCTCCTTCCAGACCGTCGACACCAATTCCCCCTTTTTCGCAAAGTACTGCTTCTCAATGGGCGTGTCACTAAAGCGCATAGAGGTCATTGCAGATGATGAGAGCGAGATTATCGAAGCTGTAAAACGGATGAGCGAAAAATACGACTTCGTTGTAACAAGCGGAGGAATCGGCCCAACGTTCGTTTCCTGAAATTCCTATCCCCCAATCCCCAAATTCCCCTCCATTTTTTTTCTCGTCATTCCCCTCTTAAGCATGGAGAGCATACATATGTACATACATTCCCATGTGTCAACAAATGCATACGTAGCCCCTGTTCCACCTCACAGTCTTATCACCGCGCTACATATGCATACTAACTTCTTGGGTGTGTGCCGGCGGGCGGTGGGCGCTGGTGGTCGCGGAGGATATCACAACCGAATCACAACCTATCCACATCTCCGCCATCCAATCCCAGCACCACATACACCCCGCAATAAAAACAGCCACGATGACATTACCTACCAATCAATAGCACGGGCCTTTGGCCTCAAGCTGAAGCTACACGAAGAGGCCCTGGCGCGGATGCGCAACCTCTCCAAACCGCAACAGGCGCAACGAGACTTCGACTGGGATACCCCTTCGCCGGCACTCACGGCACGACTACGCATGGTCAAGATACCCGTAGATGAAGCCATCCCGCTGAAAGACCAGGCTCTATTTGTCGCGGACGACCTCTGGCTGCCCGTCTCCATTGTCAACGGGAACGTCTATATCCTCCCCGGCGTGCCGCTGCTGTTCGAGCGCCTGTGCAATGCGCTTAAGCCATTGCTACAACCCCGTCTAGTTAATCCAGATGGGGATGGGATGCATCGGCTCCTGTTCGCGACGCCATTGTATGAGAGTACGATTGCGCCGTATCTGACAGAGCTGGCGGCGAGGGTCGAGCCGCACGGTATCAAGGTGGGTAGTTATCCGCGGTGGGGCAAGAAGCGGAATACGGTGACGCTGGTTGGGAAGGATCTGAAGTACATGGAGAGCCTTATTGATGAGGTGGAGAAGAATGTGGAGGGGCGGAGAGTCATGAGGGAGGATGAGGATGACCCGCCGGAAGATGAGGCGGAAAGTCCGAAGTAAGGAAAACGGAATTTGGGTTTGCTATTTATTGAACGTTTACAAGCGAAGGCCGATCTAGACCAATTCATTTCTATGATTGATTGAATCGTAGTTGTATATAAAAATAACATATTTCCCCGCTAATAGCCCTCCTATTCATCCTGAGAGAAAATATTCTGGGCCCCGCTCCGCCTCACCTCCGCCCGTTTTCTTTTAGCCTAAAACACCTATATATATGTATATACCTGGTATATAACTCCCACCACCTCGCCTGCTCGACTGCGCGGCAGCATATACTATGTAGAAAACCCTAACTGTTTTGTGATTTGATTTGACACAAGCCGCTTGTTTCATCTACCCCCGATTTCCCTACATGTTAATGCGATACAAGAGCGAGAAAAAAAAAAGAAAAAAAAAGGGAGGGTAAAGTGTTTCAGGGCATCCTAATTGAGTACTTCACAGTATTTATTTAACCACCACAGCCGGAGTAGCAACAATATTTAAATGATAGGCACCAGTTCATGCGCGCATACACAATCTACACGGTACCCCGTACATTTTACATGTACATGTACATATTTACTTCTGAACTTGTTACTCACAATCCAACTCTCTCTAAACTCATTATTTCTACTCCCCCCCTTCCTTCCCCCCTTGTTTCGCAAAGCGCCCTGGGTGAGGTAAGAGTGCTTATGTATGAACGCACTCTATACATGTTCATTGTATCTACCCAACAGAGAGCACATGCGCAGAACAGAAACAACCTACACACATACATATAATACTGCTAGGTTCTCTAGATATGCATCCAAGTTGACTTACTAGAAAATGACACCTAATCTTTTCTCGGTTCCACCAAGACCCCCCTCCCCCCCCCAACCCCCTCCTCTTTAACATTTTATATGGCGACGGCCGTAGAATACTTCATATATAAAGTCGGTGTCGGACGGTGGTGAAAGGGCAACAGGGCAAACCGGGAGCGAGGAACAATGCCCAAAACCTCACTCCAACCATCAACCAAAGGAGTCAACTGGCACATTGTCGGGCGGATGCATAAAGAACCTATTTTTATGAGTGTGTGAGAATCGAACCGGGCATCTGGGGTAGCGAATGTTAGCATCCACCTGCATGGGAGAAAAAGTCCATTACATGCCTGAGGTTTCGGTTCTGGAACGGACAGAAACCCAACGTAATTCAGGGTAGTACCTCATCCTTGCATGACATATCCATTCGTCAAGGAAGGTATATATTGTCCTCAGAAACTAGGATAGCTGCGGATTAAATAGAGAGGGATAATTATTCTCATCATTTGCTCTCTTCCGTTTGTTCCGTACAAGGGAGAGAAGCTTCCCGATCATGCGATTTAGACCGTCCCACTGGAAAACAGGGATTTTTGGATTCTTCATGGAAGTATTCATGGAAGGATGGTCTGAAAGGAAGAAGAATGATTTCTCCAATTAGCCAGAGAAAGAACTCTGGATGCAAAGGAACCTCCGCTAAGTCAGGTGACGGGAAGCTTATGTGGCAAGGATGAAACCTTGGGCACACTGCCGTGTCCCATAAATAAATATGTGAGATATTTCCTGGCTGTCAGAATTGGTACGGTCTCCCTATGAAGATCCGATCCCGATGTTTTGCTGGACGAGCTTTGGTTTGGCGCTGAAATATCATAAGCCTGATGACCTAAATTAGACCTAGACCGGACTGATCGATGATTTTCTTCTGTTTCTTCTGCACGGAATTTCGCGGGGGTTAACTAACTCACTCCAGCAGCGCCCTTCCTTCCCTTCATGCTGCACTTAAATTAGTAGTAGTAGACAAGATTGTGTGTTTTTTTTTTTTTTTTTCTTTCTCAGCGGGTTTTCCAGCATTGAAACCGGAAATCATCAAATAATGCAGAAATAATGCCGCGGACCGCGGAACCTTGTCATATGCTGGTGGTGGTGTCTCTGATGTCATCAAATTCCCCATCATCCCTTGTCCAATAAGCTTACGGGGTTATTATCTCCTTTCGTACAGCAATAATGTTAAAAATAAAGCGCTGACCTTCCCATGTTAGTCTAAATTTGTTTCCACTACTGCGCATGTTGTTGACAGGTTCTCAAGTTCGAATACAGAGAAAGTGGGGTTGAGGTCAACGCCCCTTTTATCCTCAACTTTGGTTCGTCGATGACTTTTTAACGCTTGAATGCTTATCTTAGAATCCAGATATCTGGGACCCGAACTGCTTGTTAGCTTGGCGTCTTGTGCTGCATGCATCGCATGTCGTGTCGCATGTGCAAATTTGTGGACATCCTGAGATAGGAAATATTCGTGGCTTTTGCTGAATAGCGGCGGGCAAGTGATGCTTGTCTCCCAGCCTCGACTTCTAGTGACGTTTGTTTCTGTCATTGAGGGACCTTTCTTTTTGAAGATTTTCAGGATTATGGTGGGCAGTCAGTGGGGTCCTCAGGTATTAGCTACTGTAATTTACGCCATATTTGGCCTGTGCCAAATAATGAAGCCTGGGGCAGGCTTTGCTAGCAAATTCCCATGAACGACGATGATACCATCATGATTTCTTATTTAGTAGCCATCTCCAATTGGCCAGACAGCTTCTTCAGGGACAGGAAGAGTGGATTGGGAGAAAGGGGGTCCCATTGGAACGCTGTTCGTGTTCTCCTTTTAGCCTCCGGCTTCGTTACGACCAGCCCGTACATAGTTGAATGTCATATTCATCCTCTTTAAGCTTTGAAGTTACAGCGTAGTGTTGGTTATCAAAACCGGGAGATGTTAAAAGGCGAAAATGAAGGAAAAGCGAGAAGGTTACATAAAAGAGAACAACAGAGAGCAATTGCTCGTAGGATAATAATGGATTCACAACAGGGTGATCGGAGGGCGAATGGAGGGAGCTTGAGAGCGGAGCGCACAAATGAGCAGCGAGAGAAGCAGTCTCCACCCGAATTGGACTGCCGACTGGAGGAGATGTCATTGGTGTGCATGTTGTGCAGGGTTAACTATCGTTTCTTTTTCTTTTTCTTTTTCTTTTTTTTTCTTTTCTTACTTTTCATCGTTCGAGGTAACTTAGCCGTCTTGGGGACTGGTGCGAATGAGAGCCGGCCAAGAGAGCTGGAAATGCGGGTTCAGGTTGCATGCCCTTGCATTTTTGCCCACGACTCTGTGCATGAGGGGGCGGCGGTCAAATACGACGACTTTATAGGGTTGACTGAGCCAGGGATGAAGAAAAGGAAAAAAGCCCATGCAGCGCTTGGAGCGCAGCTAGCGCGGGTGAACTGGGCCATACCATACGACGCAAAAGGTTAACTTTCGAACTGCAACAACGCCTATGCAGGATGAGAGGAGGAGAGGGCAGCGCGGGCAGCGAGGGCACACAAACCCTAGAAGCGAGAAGAAGAAGGTGGGCGATTGGGCTAATAAATCTGGCAGTCTGTGATCGCGCCTCCGATGGCGACGAATAGATGGATATCATGGATAATAGGGTTCATTAATGGGTGATGAATAGGAAAATCACGAACTGCGGGAGTAGTTTTGGGACATTTGGAGCTTTATTATATTGGATGCGTTCTGTGAAGATAAGATATATCTATCTACCCAGGTATATTCTGTGTATACCAGGGGTTGTACAAGTAGATGCAGTACATGTACAGAGGGAGATGTATAGGAGGAGTTTTAAGTCTGGAGAATACAACCGTGTGGCCCAAAGTCACAAATGGCATCTTCATTAGTTAACTACTCCGTACGGAGTAACTACTCCGTCCAGGCAACACAATGCCAACCCCCTTTGTATAGGTACACACGCACACACCAACCATCTGATATCAAGTAGAGTCACAACAGCAGCAGGAGGAGGAATGTAGCATTTTGGCTGTGGAATAGAAAATGCAATGTGTAATTCGTTGGTTCACCTGGGGGTAACTCGTGCTCCCTGATCCTTGAAACTCCCTTAAGTAGTTACATACTCTATGCAGCAACCACACAATTCTTGCGAGTGAGTGAGTGTTCACCAGACTGACTCCCTCCCCTCCCCACTCCACTACAGCGTACGGAGTACTACACCACACCTTCCTCCGAAGAAGCTTACAAAACCGACTAAACCGACTAAACCAACCAACAAATAACCTAACTAATAAACCTACTAAACCCACTGACCCTTGGCCGCAACCATCCAAACCGCACCCCTAATAACGCGCCCCAACCAGCCCCCTACCGCCCCGAGTTTGTCCCTAAACCCGCCTAACAACAGTAGCTCCGGTTGGTCTAACTACGTACAGATTACTCCAGATCCAGAACCCACCGCCAAACCACAGCCACACCGCAGACCACAGTTCGACAATCCAATCCCCGCCTCCAGCCATTATTATTTGTCTCTCGATCATCAAGGAAGGGAAGAAAGCGCCGTCAGAACTGATCCATCGATCCATCCATCGATCCATCCATTCTATTCCCACCTCACCTCATCTCTTCTCTTCCATCATCGTTCTCTCTCCTCTCCCCTCGTCCAGCCACCCAACTATCCAACTTTCTCTCCAACTCACCCCTGACTGTGTGTCCAGGCTTGGCTTTTGTTTTCTGTGGCCTCAAGCGGAATCTCGCTCCCCCCCCGGTGTAGTCAGGTAGTTTTTTTCGTTTTATTTTTTGGCGCCCATTCTCCTCCCTAGAACACTCTCTACCCTACCCTTCCACTATCGCTCAAACCAGCCTCTCCACCAAGGGCTACAATTGAATCCTTCTATCGTCGTCAGCTTCTTTGTCGTCATCAGCTTCTTTGTCGTCATCAGCTTCTTTGTCGTCATCAGCTTCTTTGTCGTCATCATTCCCTTCACCTGGACTTGTAGTAGTCCAAGCCTCCCACGAGTTTCGGTTCTCTGCAACCCCAGACCACCACAACCAACCACATTGCTGTCACCATGGCTTCAAAGGTTAGTAGCATCAACTCAACGCCATTCCTCCATCTCCTTCTCTCCCGTCTCAATCCCATCCCTCCATCCCTCCATCCCTCCATCCATCCATCCATCCCAATGTCCGTTTCCCGAGGGAAAGGGTAGAAGTAAATAGCCGGCCAGGCACCTTTTGGTGTTTTTCACTAACTCGTGTCCCTTTCATCGTTTTCTATCAACAGTTCCTTCGAGAATACAAGCTGGTCGTTGTCGGTGGAGGCGGTGTTGGAAAGTCATGTTTGACCATCCAATTGATCCAGAGTCATTTCGTCGATGAATACGATCCAACAATCGAAGGTGGGCAGCCCCGTTCCCGTGGTTTCCTTGCTCCCTTTCCCCATCAAAAACAACTGGCCGCGGTAACTTACACTGGGACCAAAACTCCGTGAAAACAGATTCATACCGGAAGCAATGTGTTATCGACGATGAGGTTGCCTTGCTGGACGTTCTTGACACAGCTGGACAGGAAGAATACTCAGCAATGCGAGAACAATACATGCGGACAGGCGAGGGTTTCCTGCTGGTCTATTCCATCACTTCTAGACAGTCATTCGAGGAAATCATGACTTATCAGCAACAAATACTGCGCGTGAAGGACAAGGACTATTTCCCCATCATTGTTGTGGGCAATAAGTGCGACTTGGTGAAAGAACGGGTCGTGTCTGAACAAGGTACGGATCGGCCTTCAATAGAATATTTGATTTTGATAATGCATTACGACGGATGATTGTACTATATATAATCCCCTTATTTACAGCACTAACGCTCATATGTGGGAAACTACAGAGGGTGAAGCATTGGCCCGCGACTTTGGCTGCAAATTCATCGAGACCTCCGCGAAATCTCGCACGAATGTTGACAACGCGTTCTACGATATCGTACGGGAAATTCGCCGCTATAACAAAGAGATGTCATCGTATTCGTCGGGGGGAGGCGGTTATGGATCCCGAGCCCCAGAAAAAATGGACATGGACGACCGCGAAGACGCGCAGGGATGCTGCTCAAAATGCGCCATCATGTAGATGGGGAAAAACCTCGTTAAACGACCAAAAACAAAGAATTGTTGACTGCGATTAAAGGAAAGGAAAATAAAGAAGGAAAACAGATTTAAAGAAAATATACGAAGACGGAACCACGATACACATGCAACCAGACAATTTATCATTCTCCGCTTTCTACGGAAGAATCAAAAGAGAAGAAACACAAATTTAAATACCCTACGAGTCGATAGAATGATGCTGGACGACACTCTTTTCAAAATCCACGGAAGCTTCGAAATACGAGAACGCCCTTTTGACTCTCAGTTCGCATTCCTGTATTGCTTTAATGGACCGAAATTCTCCCCAACCACCTACTTTTCTTATACCGCCATTTCCCTCCTGCTCAGGTTTTGTCCCCGAGGAGCCAACAATTTACTCTCCTCCCTCCCCCGCCAACAAAAGTATTCCCATCCTGATATCACTATTTTTGTACTTCCCCTGTCGAGTCGGGCCAAAGGCAACACCAGCAATTTACTCTGGTCCAATCTCGCCTGCCCAACGCCCCTTTATATTTTTCACCTTTCACCGCTACATATATTGTTCACCGCACGAACCTTCAACCTCAACTCTAGTTTATTTCCTGTTGTATGCTCCATTTTTCCACCCTATTCTTCTCTTTCTTTCCTTGTTCTCGTTCATTTCTGGGCGCGTATTTCACAGTACATTTTTTTTTTCGTTTTTACCCAATCTCTATTTTATATTTGGTCCCTCTACAACCTTCTCTCTCTACCCTACCTCTCTTTTTATTTTGTTTATTTTTTTATCTTATTTCATTTTCAACTGTCCTTATTCCATTCCTTGAAATTCCTGCGTCGCTATTCTATACCTATATCGCCATTTCATCTAAATCCCACCTTCTCGCCCGTCCATTCCCTCACAAATCACACCGTATCCAACAATGCATGTGAAGACTTGTTCCTTTTTTTTTTTTTTTTTTTTTCCCGAATAACATTTGGGTAGGTGAGCAGAAGAAGAGCGCCTTAGTGAGGATCAAGACCATTAAATACAACGTTCATGTATGCTCGCAGTCGGCTTTTCCCGTCTATTAACTCCTTTTCATCCTCTCTGCTATACGCGGTTTGCTCTTCATCTATTTTATGCTTTTTTTTTTAAAAAAAAATAATAATGCTCCCTTCTTCAAATCTCTCTCTCCCACCCTTCCTCAATTGAAACTGGGTCTATATTTGTGCCTAGTTTGTTGTTTGTCGCCTTTGTTTCTGTCTTTGTTTGGCTTTATGGTTCACTTCTCTTTCATGCGTGTGTGAAATCTCGTCATCTAGAATCCAGTTATCAAACTTTTTGTTTTTAGTTCTTGCTTTCTTTTTATATATTATATTCCAATTATACTATTTTACCTATTTCTCTTTCCATCCTTCTTGCTTGTTCAACCCTGCTTTTCTCTGATCTTCTTTTCCTCTCCCTTTTTTTCGTCGCGCAAGTCCTGTCTCTAGGTTATATTGTCTCTATTCTCTCTTTCTTTTCAACCTTATCTGTGTCTCTTACAAGTTATGTTTCACCTTTTTATCATTTCCTACTCTTCATTTCTTCATTATTTTTTAAATCAATCAATCTACTATTTTACCTTATTGTCTCTACATTCAAGTTACCAATTTCATCAGAACACGGTTTCAGAGAAAAGTTTTGCATATGATCTAGTCAGATGAGGGGGTTGTGAAATCTTCTGTCCTCCCACAGATAAAATGGCCCTATCTATTTTTTTTCATTCAATATACACAACTACTACCTGTGAGTAGATCGACAGCCGGGGATCGGGGTTCTCCGTGCCAGCGTGGGTAAAGATCAGTTACATATGTCACCAAGCACTTGGGTCATTTCAACAAGCGAGAGGATCAATCACACCCGAGACGTTTAACCGTGTAGCCCCCAGTTTTCCGCGCCTTTCTGGCCCGATTTGTTATTGATATTATTATTGTTTTTACTCAACGATGGCATGATACATTACATCATAAAAGCTTCCCGCATTTCACACATACAACATAACCCCCTTCACCCGTTCCGTCATTTAGATCATTTCCATTAGGGGTGCCCGTTCCAGTTCCACCCCGCGTAACCCCAGTGCGTGCGTGCCACGCAAGAAATGTGTACCCAGGCCGGGTGCCAGGCATGGAACAGAATCAATATCGAATCTTCGACTGACACACGTGTTTCCTGCTGGTAATTTTAGAATGGAGAGTGGGAAAGCAGGGGCAAAAAAAAAAAGGGTGAAGTCCCCTCTCGCCCTTGAAATTCACGTAGGAGCCATAGTTTAGGCATTTTCGAACTAATAATCCATTATTATACACATCTCTCTTGCCCTGAATATCTCTTCCTACTACAGGATTACATCTAGCACTGATGATGTACCTAGGTGCCATACACCCCTCCATATTTCATCATCATACGAACAAGTGTCAGTCTCTAGGGGTGTTGATAGACTTTGTCCGTCTGTGTCTTTCTCCGGGTATGTCTTATTCTTGTTTGTTTGCATGATGGATCAGGAAAGGAAAAGAACATGGGCTAAGGAAGAGGGGATATTTGGAATAGAGAATGAAAGAACGAAAGAATGAATTGACTGAAGGAGCCTGTGTCTGTTGGGGATTCTGCTTCCATGAACAACGAAACGCAGCCGCTCGTCGTTTCATCAATCCACAAGTGGTGGTCCTGAATCTACTGTTGAGATGAGATGAATTCTTGCTGCGAGGGGAAACTATCACGGAAACAAATTCTACTCTACCCTAGGGATGGAATGAGTAGATGAACACGTAACCCTTTTTGGACGCTGATTGTGCGCATAATTCCTCTAGGGCCCTGGAGGTGCGGTTCAACGCTGTGTTATATCATATTCTAGTGTTATCAATGAAGGAGTCCTATCTGATTTCGCTGCTCTCCTAATCGAACCGTTCCCTCTTGAATGTCACCGAGGATCACCATGCGATTGGCGCAAGGAAGCAACTAGGAACTACAGACCTCATTGCTTGAAGATAAGTATACAATATTTTTAGTGGCCTGCTAACCTGAATTCCAGAGTGGCAGATCTTCTGCTGTATGTTTCTACCTCTACACAATCTCTACACTATATATACTCATTCTCTTATCAAGATGAATTTACTTGCTGCTCTTGAAGCTTCAGAAACTCTCTCAGAAATCTCTATTACTTCTTCAAAATAATTAATCTGTGATCAATATTGAGATACTCTTCTTTTTTATAAACTTGAGTGAATCTATGAGAAGGTCTTCAATTATCTTGAGATAATCTATCAAGAAATTCAATATTATGAATTAAAAATAATTATTTCTAAAATGTATATCAGCTGTTCTACTCAATTGTGTGAAATAGTTAAATAAAATTGAAATGTTTATCATAGCTTTAAAATCAACTATTAAATATTATATAAGAAACTCAATATTATTCTTTATTTTATAAATATAAAATATTTAGTTTCAGTAAATAATGAATTATTAATATTGAATTTTTAAATATTAATCTCTTATTTTTTTAATTAATAAAACTTGAATAAAATTTAACTATCTACTGTATAAAAATTTTGAAGTAATTTATAAAATAAAAGAAACTCTGAATTTTATTTATTAATATAATAAATGAAAATTTTAATAATATTATAAAATTCTCTGTTTTTTCTAAGAAAAGAAAAATAAAACTAATAATTAATTATATTTAAGAAATAGCTCTTATATACAGAGTAGTAATTATTATTAATTCTAAAAAGCTGTTATAAAGTTTTATTAATAACTCTATTTAAAGTATGACAGACTGCATCTGATTAATTATATAGACTATTTCATTACACTTCATAGATTTCTACTAAAAGCTCTGATTCTCAGTTATTAATTCTTAACTGAAGAACTGATAGAATTTCTATTCTTCTACTCTGAAGCTTTATCTTATATATGTATAAATATCTGTAAGAGGTCTACACTGAATAGATCAGTATAATATATAAATCTTATATAATAAAAGTGAAAAACATTAGAAAAGAAAAATAAAAAGAGAAAGTATAAGAATCAGTAATCAGAGTGAATATTTATATATATATAAGATAAAGTTTTAAAGTGAAAGAATAGAAACTCTGTAAGTTCTTCAGCTGAGAATCAGTGACTGAGAATTAAGACTTTTAGCAGAATGTAAGAAATCTCACTTCTTATAGATTCTTTACCTCTATTTCTATCTCTTATGTAATTAATAGAGTTAGCAGCTCTTGGCTATATACAATTATATAGACTGAAGTTTATGAATACTATTTATAACTCAGCTTAAATACTATTATATATTTAATCTCTATATTTATCTTTCTACTGTGAATACTTCTAATAGTTATCAGTATATATTATATCAAGCTATGAACATCTGAATAATTATCTATAAGTACTTATTCTTACATTTCAAGCTCTATCAGTCAGTAACTATTTATTATAACTGAAAGAACTAGAAACTTGTATACTTTAATCTTTATAAACTTTACTACAGATACTCAGAAGTAGTTATCTAAATTATAAATAATTTCTATAAAAGAAGTCTTAGAGAACTTATTAATTACTTATAGAATATTATTCTCTATATCTATAATAGAGAAATTCTCTGAATTCATGAATAAATTAATCTTAGTAAAGAATATTCTTAAGTATTTCTTACAGAATTAAGTTATTTTTCTATAAGAAATACTTACTATCTGTAAACACTTTAAAACTGAGTCTCTAGATATAATCTTCAGAGATATTTATAAACTGAAAAGAAACTTTCTTAAACTATAATTACTTAAGATTATCTACTGAATTACAATCTATAAAAGCCCCGGTGACTGAATGATTAATGCAGCCACTCAGTAGCATCTTGATGTGAGAAATCAAGGCATGTGAGTTCGAAACCCGCAGGGGATACATTAAATCCAGAACTCAAGCACCTCAGGTTTCTAATAAATACAGATGTGTACAAATCACTTCAATAAATTACTCTATGTTTCTGAGATGAGAAGTTATTACTGCATGTATTTAATTGTCACTTCTTTGTAATTTCTATGTTCTTGTTATCTTGGCATGGTCTCAACACCTGTATTTCCTTCTGTATAATCAACACTTAGCCTGTATTTAACATCATGTAAGAACTCATCATAAGCTCTGCTTGCATATAAGTATAATAAAAGAATAATAATAATAATAATAATAACAATCTATAAAAGGTTTTATAAGTTTGTATTTAAAATTGACTTATAAGTCTGACTATATAATATAAAAGATGAAGAAGCTGTTATCTATATAATAACAGATCTCTACTATATTAAAGTCAAGAATTAACTGAATTATCTAGAGAATAATTATAAGAGATTCTACTAATTCATTCTTAAAATCTATTTAGAGAATAAGTTAAAAGACTTTATAAGCTGAATAGAGAATATCTGAGCTGTGATTAGACTAGTCACTGAAATTATGAACTTCACATTTAATTTCATTTGATCTGATCTCATACATTTCTTGATATGAATTTCACTAAGACTAGTCATTAAAAAAACATGCAAACTAACTATATATCAAATCTCAAAATGAAATTGTAACTTGAAAAAAATGAGAAAGTGATCTTATTTAATCTCATTTAGTCTTATTCTTAGCATAAAGTTATCATTTTTAGACATTTTAAGGTTTTTTTTAGACTATTTTTAATTTTTTAAAAAGTAACACTTTTTGATAATGCTCAAATAAGATTTAAAGTCATTTAAAGCAATAAAAATAATTTAAATTGAGAAGTGAAAATCATAGTCTCATTTGAAAAATGTGATAAGAGTAGACAGTAAGTTTCACTGAGACAGTATAAGACTACTATTTAATGTTAAAACTGTGTAATGAGATCAGTTGAATTGATAATAAGACTATTAAAAATTCTGATTCTAGTCTCAGACACAGTCACACGGTCAGTCTA